CCTGAAGGAGTGAGCTGTGTAGAGCTGGGGAGACAATTGCAGAGGAGCAGTAGGGATCTTAGTCGAGCTCTGAACCAGGTTGCTGTCATGGGAAGGTTGTCTGGAGTGAGAAATAGAGGTCCGTTAAAATCTCCTTTTTGCCGCGGAGGCGAGTGTAACGCATCATGGACCTGTAGGGGCAGAGAGATGTGTCGGAGCGAGCTATTATTGTGTTGCAGGCGCCTTTGATCTTTGAATGTTTGAGATGAAGGTTGAAATGGTCAGGGGACATTATGTTGGGTGAAAAAGAGCGACCTTTGTGTAAGCTTCCACTACGTCGAGATTATTGCGCATGACAGAGATCCTCTTTCTCTGCCACGTGTGACTCCACGGCGCGCAGGCCACGACCACTGGGAATGTCTCGTGTAGGGCAGAGGAGATGCTCCGGTGGAAGGTAGCGGCCACGGCCCGGCAACCCAATGGTCCTGGAAGAATCCCCCAAAACCCACGGAAGGGGCACGTCCGTGTAGAAGCGGAGACCTGTAGGGGCAGAGACATATCGAAGAGGGCCATTGATGTTGCAGGCGCCCTTACGCTTAGAATCTTGGGTTGAAGAGTAGATAATCAGGATAGTAGGATGGTCGGGAAAGCCGTGTCTCGGACCGCATGAAGGTTGAGCGAGCAATGGTGAGACGCTTATGCAGAGAAGCCATAGAAGGCGAGCAGGAAGATGCTGCGAGGAGGGCAGACATGTACTTGGAAGATGAGCCGGAGTTCGGTGCCGCTCAGAGCCGCTTCAGGATGGGCAGCGTGATGGGGAGCCTGCGATCAGAAGAGTGAAGAATACAGGTATGGATGCCTTTGATTAGGAGTCAGATTGACGGCTCAGCGCAGCTACTCGGCCAGCTGCATCTGATAGAAACAGAAGATTAAGTAGAGAGATGAAGCATGACCGCCGAAGCGACCCTGGGAGCATAGGTGCGAGTCCAGCGCAGCGCGGCATACTCAGCCGGGCTGCGTCCATTAGAAGCAGGATAAGCTTCTGAGAGAGTGGGTTGCAGCAGTAGCAGTAGCAGTAGCGGCAGCAGCAGTAACCTCAGATAATAGCAGCAATAATCCTGTATCAAGCCGCGGCAGCAGCAGCAGCAGCAGCAGCAGCAGCAGCAGCAGCAGTAGCAGCATCCTTAGAAAATAACAGTAATAATCCTGTATCAAAGCCGCAGCAGTAGAAAGTTGTTGTAGCTGTTCAGTGTTTCAGAAAAAGAGATGCAAGTGAAGAGAGATGGCAAAGTAAATGAAGCAGCAGCAGCAGTAGTAGCAGCAGTAGCAGTATGAAGCAGCAGCAGTAGCAGTATGAAGCAGCGGCAGCAGCAGCAGTAGCAGTAAGAAGCAGCAACAGCAGTAGCAGCAGCAGCAGCTGCAGCATCCGTAGATAATAACAGCAATAATCCTGTATCAAAGCCACAGCAGTAGAATATTGTTGTAGCTGTTTAGTGTTTCAGTAAAAGAGATGCGAAGTGAAAAGAGATGTCGAAGTACGTGAAGCAGCAGCAGCACGGCAGCAGTAGCAGTATGAAGCAGCAGCAGTAGTAGCAGTAGCGGTAGCAGTATGAAGCAGCAGAGCAGCATTAGCAGGAGCAGTAGCACCACAATGCGATTCATACGAACAACAGACGTGTCACGCCAGTGTGCGCTGCTTGTCTCCGTGAGCCAGGTTACATACGTGTCTGAAAGAGCCGAGCCGTAGAGACAGGTGCCCCCCGGGAGCCTGCGGAGCGGGAGCGCAGGAACAGCAGCAGCGGCACATGTAGTAGTAGGAGCAGCAGGAGCAGGCAGCAGGAACGGGCAGCAGCAGGAGCGGCAGCAGGAACAGGCAGCAGCGGGATCAGGCATCAGTAGGGACCGGCAGCGGCGGCGGTCAGAGAACCATGCCCGCGGTTGTTTAACAGCCTGAGGAAATAAAATCAACCCGAATCCGAACATTCCCATGCGAAAAACAGACGTCCCCTGGAGCCATCTTGCTGCTTTGGTTATGGCAGATACGCATGAACGATCACTGTTCCACGCGTTCATTAGCTCCAACACCACTTCACGCCCATTGCAGATTCATGTTGGGCCCTTTTTCTTTCTGCTGCACTTTCAAATGCAACAACTGCAGTTTAGTTACCTAATTTAATACTAGTGACCTAGCTATTTAAATGCATGGCCCCTCTTTCCTCCCGCAGATAGACGAATTTAATACAATCATTTAACAATAGTGACCTGCGAGTAATGAGATTAATGCTGTAAATATGGCGCCGTGGCAAGAGCTCTGGTGTGTGCCGTCTGGAGCACAATGGGGTAGTCTTGCAGATTTTTTCCGACGTGGTTTTACTGCGAGTGGCAGAACATGAATCTGAATTAATGCACATTGCGCCTCTTGTATCCCCAGACGATAGAGATTGATGCCATTTAATATGCATTGCCCCTCAGTTAGCTCAAACACGTGTGAAAACGAAGCCTGCAGACCAAGCACGGGGCGAAACTGACGCCTGCAGTCCAGTGCGCGGGGCAAAAACCAAGCCTGCAGCCCAGACTCCGGGATTAATCCGTCCGCGGTCAACACACACACATGCCAGGAGACTTGGGAAAGCAACGGGACAACGCGGCACGCCGACGGAGGCAGGGACACGCACGGCACCGCCAGACCGTCTGCGCGCGGCAGCAGACCACGAGGAACGAGCAGCACGGAACCCGCGGAGGGCCCCGCGGAGCAGCCCGCAGAAAGAGCCCGCAGAGGAGGAGAGCAGTGGAGACACGCAAACCGCAGCAGGTGCAGGGACGCGGAGGAGGAGCAGACCACAACGCAGCAGACGGAGGACACCAGGGACACGCACGAGTAGCGTGAGTAGACGAAGGTGATTCCTCCAGAACGATTCTTTGCGAGGCTTCGAGAGGCCGTGAAGTGGGAGTTTTTCCACTTTTAAGCGGCTGCCTGGCCGGCACGGATGATTGGAAGGGGGCGTTTGCTGTGCGATAGGCTGGGGATGCGAGCTGGCCTGGAGGGGGTAGCTTTTGGCTGACGTCTTCTAAATTGAATTTCCGCGAGCTGCATTTGTGACTGTGTGGTTTGGTAACATCACAGCCAAAGAAAGGAGAGCTCTAAACAAAGTGCTCTGCTCTGAAAGAGGACTGTGAGCAGTGAGCTTTCTGTTCTGGTTCTTTATAAACCAAGCTCTTGAGATGATGAAGGACCTCTCTGGCCACCTTGGAAAATCCATGTTCCAGCTTCTTCCCTTTGGATATCGTTTGTTGAGATGCAGGACATCTCGTTTTGGGGTTGTCAGTTTAAACAGAGCACTTTAATGATCTTGTATTGAAACTGTTTAAGTTAATCAATTTCACAATTGTTTCTTTATTTATTAGATTATTTTACTTTTAACCTTGTTTTACTGATGTACTTGTCTTGTGCACACTGGGCACTTTTGCAAATGTATTCCAATGGGGTTTTTTTTGCAAATGGCAAATAAAATGAATCTGAATCTTATAAAAACCTCCCTTTCTACTGGTACTGTGCCCTCCCCACTCAAAACTGCCACCGTCACTCCCATACTGAAGAAGGCTGTTTCTGAGCCCTCTGACCTTAATAACATCTCTAACCTTCCCTTCATCTCTTAACTTCTTGAAAAAAACTGTTGCTGCTCAACTCCACTCATACCTTTCCCACAATAACCTCTATGAAAAATGTCAATCTGGCCTCCGTTCCCTCCACAGCACTGAAACTGCCAGGATTCGACACCATCTCACATTCCATCCTTCTGGACAGACTCTCCTCTGTTGGCATCACAAGCACTCCCATCTCCTGGTTCTGCTCCTACCTTTCTGACCACACCCGGTTCATCCAGCTTAAACTTTTTCCTCTCGTTCTTCTGGTGTTCCACAAGGTTCTGTCCTCGGCCCCAGGCAACGTTCATTCATATTCTATTCAGAGTTTTCATGGGGCAACATGTTGAGAACATTCTTCCATTCAAAGATAAACCTTGTGTATGTATGTCAACATGTGGAAAGGTCTGTTCTTTTGTAAAGTGTCTGTGAGTGTCCAAATAAGCGCTACTTAAGTACGATGTAGTATTATTATTATTATTATTATCATTAGTTTCCATGTGTACATGGACATGGTGGGGGTAGAATGTAAACAGGTTTACAGACTGGCCTCAGTCCTCGTTCTACAGTCCTAGATCATTCCTGTCCATCCGTGGGAGCAGATCCCTCTCTCAATGTGGCCTTCCCTGACATTCCTGACTTTTGTTGTCTGACTTATTCTTTGTCAATGCAGAGGGACAGTGGTGATGATCCAGGACATTTAAGGACCATAATTAACATTTATGGACATTGGTCATCCGCTCCTTATGGACCTAAGGCTCCTATGTGTCTGTTATTATTGCATTTATTGTGTTTCAATAGTTGTGATTTAGGGCCTAATTAAGTGAATTTAATCTAATCTAAACCATCGAACAAAATAATATATATATTTTGTTTGTGTTACATTAAAGAACTTTTATTCAAATAAATTACATAAATCGACTAAGCAAAATCCGATACATTCTGATAATTTTCTCTTTTGGTCAAGAACAATGATCACATACACAATATAACTGGCAACAATTCACACAGCCTAGAAAAAAGAAAAGTGCAAATGACTCACAGTGTCCAACAGTTTGAAAGAGAAGTCATCTCTCGTAGTAGTGCAGTGCTTACAATAGGACTGTTTCTATATACAACTCTGGCACTCAATAAATTAGCTTTTCTCTTTAGGGCTTTTATTCTTTTATGCATTTGATGAGAATGCGCTAAATTCATAGGATTTATAATATAAACTTTTCTCAAGTAATAATTCAAACAAAATGAAACATGATTTTGGAATCCAGCATTTGGCCCTATCCAGTGGAATGGAATATAATATTAATATAATAACTCTTATATAAATAACAAGGAAAGTGAAAGTGCTCCCTTCTTGAAAGTGTATGTTTGCACACAGGTGTCTATGCCTCTGCCTCAGACTCAGAGTTGTCCATGTGCGACACAGACGAGCTGTACCACTCCGCACTCTCCTCTTCCGGGACGCCGGCTGCTCCGCCGCCGCTCTTGTTGTCACTCAGCATTTCCATGGCAACCTGGTGGTACGGGTGCTTGCGCTTAGTGTGTCTGCGCAGCGTGTTGCGCTCTGCAAAGCGCGTGTGGCACAGCTGGCACTGGTACGGCTTCTCTCCGGTGTGTACGCGCTGGTGCCGCTGCAGCTCGCCCGCCTCCCGGAAACGTTTGGCACAAATGGGACACACGTAGTTCCTCTGGCCCGTGTGGATGTGCTTATGTCGCTGTGGAGACAAGACTTAGACTTAAACACACTCGTAGTTTGGGTCACGTCGGAACACAGCAGCTGCACAGGGCCCCATTGGATAACACTATAATCTTTTAAATGTTTCTAATTCTAAAGAACTCTGGTTCACTTGGGGCTCCATGTGAACTATCCCATGGACTAATGGACACAGGGGCCGACACCGCTGCTTCTCCATTCATTTCCTTCGGAACGTGTGACATCGTTGGTCCCTTTTGTTGTGTCGTCAGACTCATGTCAGGTACAAGCAGAAAGGCAACGCGATCCAAGAAAGTTTACAACATATTGACTTTAGTTGCTGTTGCCAAATACTACATCCATCAGTTCCATTGATGGGGACCAAGGATTTGGCAGAGTGCAGGGCCCTTAATACTAGCGTTCTATGATGTTTGCATGTTTGATGTTTATTCTCGTTATTGTTTCATATCATTGTTTCCAATTTCTTAATTTTAGTGCCAATCACTTCAGATCAACTACACCATACTATAAATACCCTCTAAACTAAACAAAGGTTGTCTTTCAAATCTGTAGGCTACTTAATAATAGTAAAATGTTGTTAAATTCAATCAGATCTGCTGTGAACCAGGACAGAAAACTGCTCTGTCTAAAACTCTGTTGTCTGTTTATCAACCCAACGCTGAATCTATCAATACAATAACAAGTATTTTAAGTTAAATAAATGATGATTTAAAAAAAGATTGAAATATTTGTTTTTAATTCATCATCAAAATCATGTAATACAGTATTTAATGTAAACATTTAGTCCTTTGCTTTTTACTTTGTACACTCACGATTGTGTGTCCTCCTCTGACTCAAACTTGATCATTAAATACGCTGATGACACCACCATCATCGGCCTCATCAGTGACAATGATGAATCCTCTTATAGAGCAGAGATACAAAATGTGGTTCAGTGGAGTAAAACTAACAACCTCCAGTTGAACGCATCCAAAACATGTGAACTGGTCTACGACTTCAGTCGCAATAGTTCTCATTTGCCTGTCGTAATCGACAACTCCCAGGTGCAGATTGTAGAGGAGTGCAAGTTTCTGGGTTTAACTCTGTCTAACGACCTGAAATGGGTTAAAAACACTGACCGAGTCGTTAAGAAAGCTCGTCAGCGTCTCTACTTTCTGCGTATACTTAGAGAATTTACCACTAACTCTAAGATTCTGCTTAACTTTTATCGCTGCACCATTGAGAGTTTACTTGTTGGTTCTGTGTCTGTGTGGTTTGGAAACATCACAGATAAAGAAAAGAGAGCTTTAAACAAGGTGCTCTGCTCTGCAAAGAGGACCGTGGGCTGTGAGCTTCCTGTTCTGGAGGTTCTTTATAAATCCAGACTTTTAAACAAAGCTCTTAGGATTGTCAATGACTCTTCTGGCCACCCTGGGAAAGCCATGTTCCAGCTTCTTCCCTCTGGCAGAAGATATCGCTCTCTGAGATGCAGGACATCTCGTTACGCTAACAGTTTTTATCCACAAGCTGTTATCAGTGTGAACAGAGCACTTTAATGATTTGCACTTGTTTTGAACTGTTTCAGTCGATCGATTTCACAGTGACATTTGTTTACTGTTTTATTTGTTTTATTTTTGTCTTTTAATGTTGTTTTATGTCTGTATTTGTCTGTGCACACTGGAGACTTTTGCTAATGTATTCCAATGTGGTTTTTTTACTGCAAATGGCAAACTGAATCTGAATCATTATTGTGTCGCATGGCATCTAGAACGCTCACTGTTCTTGATATCAAAACATTAGTTATGTCTGTTCTAATGATACAGATCTTATTAAAAAATCAGATTTTAATCATGCAAATGTATTCACGGTGGTGTCACATCTATTGACACAATAATAGAGACTTTGTATGAGTGACACCACAGTAAATATGAGAATCATCGACATGAATTAAGTTTGGTATATTACATAAAAGATGCATATGCTTTACTGAGTAAATATCAAAGATCACAATTTTTCAAAAGAGGTACAGTAGTATTTAAGACAAATACTGTATTTCATCATCAGTCTGAACCTTTTAACCAGAGGTCGGGAATCTTTTTAGCTGAGAGAGCCAAACAAGGGTCTACTTGACAAATGATTTCTCTGGGAGCCATTTTTTTTTTTTACTGTGAATATGTGATTTTTCAAAACAAGGTCAACACATTTAGAGTGTAATATTAGTCTTACAATGTATATTTTTGTTTAAAGAACATTGTTATACTCAAGAATCCCAATAAATAAAGCATTCTTAATTTTAATGCTTGCAAAGATGTGTCTGAGAGCCAAACACAACCATCAAAAGAGCCACATCTGGCTCTGAGCCACAGGTTCCTGACCTCTGTTCTAGAGGGCGCCTTCACACTGCAGTCCCAAGTGAACCAGAGTTCATCTGTGGAGATGTCAAACTCCCAAACACGTGTACACTTGTATTTTAAGCATCCTTTCCCTAATGGTTTCACTGACAGTGAACTCTGGTTCACTTTGGACTGAAGTGTGAACATGACCTGAGCAGTACAACTTATCAAATGTGTTAGTTTGGGCCCAAACTTTTTACGTAGGACTATTTTAAGATCCCGTAGGTTTTTTACCTTGTAAACCAAGTGTCCCCTGGACCTTACTAGCACTTTGTGCCATGGTGGCTCTGTTAGGACCCTCTTCCACATGGTCTGGGAATGCCCAAGTGTTGCTCAGTTTTAGGAGCTTCCTATTAAGTCAGACAGGGACTGACAGTCCCTGTCCGACTTAATAGGAAGCCCCCTCACTCACTGTCTCACTGACAGAGGTTATAACTTTAATTGACATTGTCTTTTTAGATGCGTCCAGAGGGGAGCACCAACAACCTGTAGAACAGTGCTCTGGACATGTTGTTATTGTTGTGTTCTCTTGGGCCTTTTAGCCAAACAGAGAGTCTGTGTTACGTGTGTTTCTGATTTGTACTGAACGCAGGTTTAAATAATTTTACTCAAAGTGGTTATTTGATTGAGAGAGTCACCTTCTTCAAGTTCCTTGGGTTTTGGCTTGAGGAAAAATAAATCTTTCAAAAATATATTTCACATTTGTGTAATAGTTAGGGTCAAGGTTTTCATTCAGTTACAAAATATTATGTATTATGCAAGATTCTTCCTCTGCTCTGGTCACACAATACACTTTTTCACTCTTCCCTTTGTTTTATCACAGGCAACGGGTTCCAAACGCATCACTAACTTACGTAGGTTGGCCTTCGCGGTCTGTTAGAAGAGCGCAACAATGTAATACATGTTTTTAAAAAGCGAATATTGTAAAACTCAGAATCCAAAACACGGATTTCTGAATATTTTGTATCTCAAACTTGTTCTATTGTCGTCTCACTCAGGGACATTATATGGAAGTGTGTATTGATTAGCTGCCTTTAATAATTATTAAAGTTGACATTGTGCTTTTTTCAGCTATAGTAAAAATCTATAAAACTTGCAGATCATTATTATGTACAAATGAAAGAAGGAGAGCTGTTAAACTAATTTATGACAGACGTATTACACGGAAATGTATCATCATCATTATAATGTTGATAATTGGCTCACAGCTTGTAAAAACTCCAAATAAAACATCTTAGAAAACTAAAATATTTTATTGTATATAAAGAATGGGCCGTGAGCCAAAATCAAAATTATAGCAAACAAAGGGCTGGCATATGTACCTTGGCATGTAATGAGTCTATTAGTCATTTATGTAGTGCATTTCACAGATCAAGGTCGCAAAAGCGCTTCACAATATTTTTAAAATATTCATATTTTGAAAGCTCTTTGAAATTTAGATATTGATCTAAAATGTTGTTATATATCAGACAAATGAAAGTATGTGCCATTCCAATCTGCACAAAACAACTTTTTTTGTCACTTCCAAAAATGTATGTGCGACGTGGTTGAATCATTTTGTGTAAGACGGATGAAGAAAAAAGCAGTAAATAAAGAACAGTGGCTGTGGAGGTGTTCAAAGAGACCAGGAGGAGACATGCCGCCTTTGTTGCTGGAGACAGATTACTCAAACACGAATAAATCATTCTGAAAACAACTCTGAGGGTGTAAATGACAGGGAAAAACAATTATAGTATAATGAAATTCCTAAAAGTCTTCCAGTATTTTGTATTATGGCTGAACGATTTACATTGTAAAAAAAATAGTTTGTTGTGTTTGCTGTTTGCATCTCAGGGATTTCATAGTTTATCATTTCAATAACTCCAGAACATTAACAGCCTGAGCCACTTTACAATGTGCCTTTACAATTTGTTAGTGGCTGTCACTAAAAAGTGATGTTCACTTGATTGCGATGAATCCTGCATCCCTATTTTGTACAGTAGGCCTCCTGTAAGCAGAGGTGTGAACTTATTTATATTTATCAGACTGTACCAGATCTTTCACTTTTTGGATCTGAGTTGGCCTCTTATTAGGAGAAGATGTCATCGAAATTTCCCCACTGTGGGACGAATAAAGGAATTCTTATCTTATCATTCTCACCATTGGCATTCAACAGAGCTTTTAACACACACACGCATACACGAACACACACGCACACACACATCACACAGAGATTTATTTTGCCAGTAGCGTATTCTTCTCACCTGCAGATGGCTGGAGCGCTTGAAGGCCTTGCCGCACTGTGGACACACATGGGGTTTCTTCTGTGAGTGCGTGATGGCGTGACGCTCCAGGTCGGACATGTAAAAGAAAACCCTAGGGCACAGCTGGCAGTACAGCACCCTCCGAGCACCCTGCCCTTCGGGGGTCCAGTCCGCACTGAGAGGGTCGACTTCGTCCATGGGCTCCAGCTTGGTGGTGTCCATGAGCGAATCGTCAGGCGGCTCGGCACAGTTGTAGTAAAGATGGTCGTTGAGTTCAAATTTGGGGTCGGAGAGACCGGGTTTTGACTCTGCGGTGGGCAACTGTAGTTCTTGGTCATTGCCGGGTTGAGAAGAGGTCTCAAAGTTTAAAGCGAGTGGTTGTGAGTGAGCAGAACCGGCAGTGGATGGCTTGTCTTCGGTGTCTTCAGAAAATATGGCTTGGTTTCCAGATGGCGTGGATTCTGAAGAGCTTATTGGATTTTGAACAAACGAGTTCTGGTCCGTCTGTGGAGTCACACTAGAGCTAAGGATTGTGTTGCCTGAGAGGATGATGTTTGCCTGGTTTGGGCCGAGTCGAATCATGGGATGGGTCAAAGGCGTTCCGCTCGCACCCATTTGACCCAGAGGTGCTGCCGTCGTTGTAATCTGGGATATCTGGCCGGTGGTAGGATCCAGGAATGCAATAGGTGTGGAGGTAGCGGTTGCGTCACCAGCAGAAGACGCCACAGGGGAAAGAAGAAGCAGCATCTGAGTTGAAGACGGAACCTGTGAAAATGGCAAGGACAAGCTTAAGGGAGTCTGAACGGACGATGTGGCGGACGAGAGGAAGAGGATGGGTGTGTTGTTGGAGGAATTTGTGAGAATTTGTACAGGTTGATTGGGCAGCGTTATTCCAGATGAGGGCTGAGACAAGATGCTGCCAACTTCCTGGCTCGGCTGAGTTTCCTCGTTCTCAAAGTCATGCTCCAACTGTGGCGAGAGTGAAGGAGGAGGAGGACTCTCTGAGATTGGCTTGTCACATGATGCGTCCGTTGGTTCCTGTTCTAAACTTTGGCCAAGACTAGTACCTTCCTCAGATGATAAAGAAGGCCCGTCTTCATCAACTACACATTTCGCTTTCTCCAATTTGGAAATGTCGACTTGAGGCAATTTGTGTCCGTCCGGGCTTAGGGTGTATGGAATGCCTTCATTGTCTATTAAAAGTAGATCTTCCAGGTTGCAGTCCATAGACGAGTCAAAGTAAGAAGGGGAGAGTTCTAAGTCACTGGTGTAAATAATGTCTAACTCACTGTCCTCTTCCACTATGTCTCGATCTCCCTCCCCATCAAACTCATCCACCTCCATTATAAGTGAACTCTCTCCCCCGTCTTCCAACGAGCGTCCGCACCGCCTCTCACGGCCATTACGTTTTTTCGGAAGACTTAAATCCAGGGGTTCAGTCTGTTCCTCCATTTCCACAACGTTTAACTTGCAAGTGTCCAATTGTATCCTTTTCCAAACTACAGGAATTGTTTTCTGTTGATCATTCTCTGGTTCCTCTTTAATCTTGAACTGCGTTAGTATTTTCACTGGATCCTTGCTTGAAATGAGGAGATCTTCTAAAACATGGGTGTTGTTATTTTTATCCTGGCACAAATCATTGTCTTTGTTTAATTCCTTTTTCCCCGTATCTCCCTTTTTCATAAAGTCATCTCCGGATTTTTCAGAGATCTGCTTGATTTCAGCTTCACTTTTGAGTCTGTTATGACCCTTGGTTGCGTTTTGATCCACAGCTGGGAGAACAACAAGCTTTTTCAAACAGGAGCGGGTCAGGTCTTTGGTGCGACTGAGGGTGGAGGCAGTGATTGGCCTTTTGCGCTGTGGGGGAGCGACTATTCGGATTCTGATTGGCTCCCTGCGCAGAATAGGCACGCCGGTCTTGACTGTAATTGGTTCCCTGAATCCACCACTCTTACTTGTGTCGTGGGACGCCGGCTTGGGAGTCCCGCCTCCTTCTGGCTTTTTTCCATTGATTGACAGTGAGTCTTCCCTGATGGTCAGTGCTTTTTGAACAGGGCATGGCTGGATGTTACCTGGCACAGTGCAGGGGGGGCTCTCCTCTCCCTGTGAGTTTAAGCAGACCTCGGAAAGTGGCCCTGATATCTGTGTGCACTGGCTGCCATTTTGAACATTTAGGCTCCCACTGGTCAGGACTGTAGCCAACTGAGAATCCATTTTGGGGCATACCTCTTCTCTGAAAAGGTAAAGAAGAGAGACTTATTAGAGCATATGTATTGTGAAAATGAATACAATACATACACATACATGAGTTAATAAACATACTACATGTATTAGTATGTAGAGTTTATATACAGTATGTGTGATTGTGTGTGTAATTAACTAGGAGTTTAAATGGGGTCATTATTGGGGTCAAGTTTACTATATCAAACCAAAAGACAATATAAATATTACTTCATAGTTAGAATAACAATCAAAGCAGCAGTGTGTACATCCCAATAATTCTGCATGTGACATTCAAACGCAGTTATCATACAAAATAGGCTACATTTAATTTGGGATCAGCATTTATGCCTGGGCGCGTTTGTACAGGTTCATGAGGCTGCTCACCCGGTGACATACAGTATAAGCCCCTCTCTCTTAGAGCAGTGGGCAAGATTTACACTCCATCCAAAATATACTTCCCACACCATCATTTACCATAGGTGCTGAAAAAGAGCCTATATGAGCCAGGTAAATGGGAAAGTAGCCTGGCGTCGATGCTGGAGGACGCCATTACGCAGAGTCCATGGTCCGAAACGCCACCGCTGCTGCTGCTGCTTCTGCTTCTGCTGCTTCTGCTGCTTCTGCTGCTTCTGCTGCTTCTGCTGCTGCTGCTGCTTCTGCTTCTGCTGCTTCTGCTGCTTCTGCTGCTTCTGCTGCTTCTGCTGCTTCTGCTGCTTCTGCTGCTTCTGCTGCTGCATGGTCTGATCAAGCGTGCGCACTGACAGCTCTCGGACCTGGGAGCATCACTACCGCGTTGTCGCTGTCCTGGTTCTAGCGGAGAGAGGAGACGCCGGCTGGAGACGTGCAGACACCCTCACTGCTCTGCCTTGGCACCGCTGCGTCCTCGGACCTACAGCCAGCCATTTTAGAACCGTGGGTCCGAGACAGGCGCAGCGCGACCCGGCAGACAAACTTTCCCCAGCGCGCTGTCATGCACCGTAGCTGTCAGCTGTGAGATGCGCCCCCCATACATTTAACACTGTACATTTTTAAACTATACTCCACCCATGAGCCTGCTGCATAGGGACTGGCTTACCCGAGCTGTGGATATTTCCGGAGGACCAAATATGACTGTGCGCTGTAAAGGGTGATGCTGCGAATGCTGGAGGAGGGAGGGGTCAGAGGGAGTTGCTATGGTGTCGCAGCCTACCGGGTCCGAGCAGTGGCCATGTTCAGCCTATGGGTAAGGTGAACCCGCAGCCTGCAGAGGAGACATGGATGGAGCCGGTGCGTTAGGGCAGTAATTGGGATAAGCACCTCAAATTTGGAGAAATGGGGGGGGGTCATGATGGTCATGATGGGACATGGAGAGGGGGCAGACTCGTATAGAGCAATTTATATGAAATTCAGGTTTCAGTTGTAATAGGGGCTTGCAAGAATATTAGAATATTCAAGTTTTAATATAAACACAAACTGGTGAAAGTATATCCGCATTTGAGCAAGTATTGCCACTGTATTTTTTGAATTACTATTATTTTTGGTTTAGTATATTGAGTTATTGTTGACTTTTCTCTGATTGTGTTGCGTGCTCCTCATCCCTACTGTCCTGTAACTGGTGATACAACACTGAAATATCCCCACTGTGAGACGAGAAAAGGACCTCTTAATCTTAAAAATATTCCTCATACAAGACAAAAATGGGCATTTAATTTACAAAGCAGTTTTAGGGTTTTTACCAAGGTTCCAAAAATTGTATTCTGTTTTTCATTAATTAACCAGGATACACCCAGAGTCCTTTTATGATTGGGGAATCCAGCGCACCCAGAGGAAAGTATTCAGACATGGAGAGAACATGCACACCAATAGAAAGCTCTTCCTGGTGTTGTTTAAAAAATTGTGTTTTTATGAAAATTTTGATTATTGTATTGAAATAGAATTGTGTCCAAACATTTGCATCCAAGTTGACTTTGAAATGTTCACATCAGGACAACACTGATTGTACCACAGATTGGTGCCAGCAAACCCCAAAAAGGCCAGAACACACGCAGGATTATTTCCTTGCAATTTATTACAGCATCAATGAAAGGGGCATTCTTAGTGAGTGGGGGCAGAAATACAAGGAAAATCAAACAAGAGGCATTTCACATTTTCCATGATTTTATTTTAAATACTCACACTGTCAAAACTTACAAGTCAATTCAGACTTGATGCGTCAAGGAGTAACTTGTCTAAATGGTGCTCTCTATGGTCTATACATTACTTATAGACATTCAGCACTCACAGATGCTCAGAAAAAACACATGAAGGAAAACCTTGTGAGAAATTTCACACATTTGCATTTAGTAATAGTGTGAAAACAAAAGGGCAGCCGGTGATTAAAGAGCAGGGTTATTGCTGTGTACTTTGGACCATTTGCAATAAAAGGTCAGTGTGGGGAAAAACACATTTGTTTGATCTGTTTTCAATAGATCAGGAAGCACGAGAGAAGGGACCAGTCGTTTCATTAGAGAAACCTAGAGGGAATATATGCTCCGCAAACTATTGAAGGGAAAAGTAACCCAATAGGACAGTGGATGTGACAGAAGCACCTGTTATAGTAGATGCAGTGGTAAAGAACAGGATAGATAGCTGCAGTATCAGGGGACGCTCTGATTGTGACACTATTTTTTCAGGTTGGCCAAGGTCATCAGTCCATCTCGTCCGGCTCACAGGCCTCAATCTCTGACACCAAACGATGTGGGAAGAGTTTATACTGCAGCCATGTGGGTTCTAGAACCAAAGGGATTCATTATTGCAACTGCATTCATCCATTGCATTGAAATTAAAGCGTGCATGCTGATTCCAAACATTGATCAAATACATTGATTGGGTCTGAAATGTCAACGTACCCAAGTAGCAGACTGGTGGCAGCAGCTGTCCATCAAAACATGTCTGTACTGCAGTGAAGCTGCACATTTTCTGGGGATGTTTGCAGAAGAACGTTACATTTTCCCCATGAGGAACCATGGCATCAGTGACATCAAAGGGCCAGCGCTTCACTCCCCCAATCAGCACCCGGCTACGTTCAGCAGGAATGAGACAGCGAGCTGAAAAGAAAGAGCGAAGACATTGCATATAGTCTTAAGTCATATACAGTCAGAGCTGTGTGTGCATCTGGTTTCTGGAATAGTCTTGTGATCACATGAATATAGATTGTAAACTGTTGGCCCTCTTACTTCTGCAGTGGGGGGGTGCTTTACTCCAGCGCCCGTTTGGGAGGCAGGTCACCTTCTGAGGCCCATCCAACAGGAAGTTCTTTTTACACAAGAAGTGAACATCAAATCCCACCTCGTACTCAGTCTTCTGGACGGCCACAACATAACCGTTGTTCACCTCCTGAGAAGGCTGGCAGAACACCTCTGAGAAAAGAGAGAAACAGATGTAGCACACTGCTGTACACCACTGTAGCCACTAGATGGCATCGCAAGACAACACAGGACTGCTCATTTATGAAGGACACATTGTACTGTGAAGTTATTGGCTCAAATAAAGACTTGACTGAGCATAAGTCATGAACATAAAGACAAATCGGTGTGCCACAGATTGATTATGAAATGCACATTCTGCCTATGGACAGAACGTATATTTTATTGGCAGCACTTACTTTTACAGATGGGATGGGGATACTGCCAGGATTGGTTTTCCTGACAGAAGTTCTCACTGCTGCCCACTAAATCCGCTCTGCAGAAGAGACAGAAGAACGAAGGACAGATGGCAAAGTGACGCTTGAATTGAGCCCAGTTTCAACATTATTATAAAATAAAATAGCTGGAAATTGTATCTTTTCAATGCCTTCCTTGTTCAAGCCAGCGCACTGCTCTGGCTGACACATGTGTGGATGACTCAGTGCTAAAGAGGATTCAATATGAGATTAGCTGTTATGACCCAGTTAGCTCAGTTGGGGGAGTGTTGGCTGCATGAAAGAGCAAAATGAACTTCCTGTAATTCATCTTTGACACCCCACTCCAGGATTTCATATTTTCCCTCTTTTTACACATCTTCTTTCTGTGCTCACACTTCCTTCCGTGAGTGTTGACTTGTCTCTTACCCAGATAAGCAGCTGTACTTGATGGAGGTCCCCACTGAAGCGTGTCCTTGGATACTGAACATGTCCGTCACATCTTGAGGCAGAGCACAGGTCAGGGCCGCGGCGGGCTCTGGAGCCGTGGGCAGCGATTCTAAAGGGAAAAAGAGTTATAAATGTATTTTAATGTGCCAGATGTTGACATAATATAGCTTATCACATTATTGCTATTATCATTATTCAATCACAGTTTGTCCTTCTATTGATACATTTACAGAAGTTTAACAAAAGTAGTATATAAAGGTAGAATTGTCAGAGCAGAGTTTATGGAATTATTATTATTTATTATTATGGAAAGAGTACAGACATGGAAGCTAAAACCTGCAGCTTAAATTCATGTGCGGCTTATATTTGGACAAAATGTATCCGAGAAAGTCCAAAAAGTACAGTATTGTTTTTTTCATCTTCTTTTAAGCTGTGATCAATCAGTATGTTTGCATGCACAGACATTTCAGCCTGTGACAAACTGTCCGACAAACTCTTATTTAATTTTTTATTTGTACAAAGGATAAGCCCCTACAGATGAAGCATGAAACTTGTTTTCAAGGGGCTCCTCAAAAATGCACCAAGACAGACAGTAAAAAGACAAAAATAATAAAGGTTTCTTGCATTTATGTTAGGGCTGTAACAAACACATTTTTGATACTTGATTAATCTAGCAATAATTCCTTCAATTAATTGATTGATGGATATATTTTAATCTAAATTTGGCACCATAGCTGCTGGAGGACATTCTAATTGATAATATTTACAGACACATTTTAATTGAATTGAGACATGTATGCATTTCTTGATTACTTTTTGCGCTCTCCTCTGTCTGAAATCACCCTCAGCATTTGCATGTGTTGGAGTCTTTGAATAGAGCTACAATTAACAATGAATTTTAGGAAATAGCATGCTTTTACTTTTACATTTTCTCTCTTTTAACCATACGATAACATTGTTTTCAGATCGATTTACTGTAAGCTATTATCAGGAACTTCTGACATAAACATGTAACTCCCCTCCTTCTCTCTGAGCCACTGTCTCAGTCCTGACACTATGATGTCATCGTACCACTATGACAAATGACACACACACACACACACACAATTATATGGGGTGTATTTGTTAATCCAGGTTCTAAAAGGCTGTGCAAAGTGTGCAAACTAAAATAATGTGCGCATCAGTTTTTTCCAATCCATTTAAAACTATAAAATACTTGTAAATGATACAGGTTGCACATAAGGCTTACAGACTTATATGAATTGTGCTATATAAATACATTTCCTTTAATCTTTTTAGTGAAGAATATTGATTTATGACAAGATAAATTTCGGAATGTTTTTGTTGATTTCTTTTGTTTTTGCTCCAGTTACCGACTTTTCATCATAATCTGAATTGGTATATGACCCAGTGCCTTTTTGTAATGGAAACAGAAATAGCCACTTTTGTATCCTTCCCTCTCCGAGCAGTGTTATCTGTGCTTGTGTAATGCCTGGCAATTGTTCGGCTCCTGGACATTTGAGTGGATCACGCTTCTGCAAATAAAAATATGAAAGTATTGCTGCAGTGACCCCCGCTTTGTGAAGTGCACTGTGCTTGGAAAGGCAGGGACAGCTCTCGCCTCGGGCCTGTCTTCAGTATCCAATGTTAGAATGTAAAGGGGCCTATGGGAGACGGGAGTTTGGAGAGGCTTTGGCGGTGGATAAGAGCCACGAAAACAGTGGCCTGATCTCGCATCGTGCACCAGGGCCACCCACACGGCAGCAGCACCCACAGGTGAGCATTGATCTTTAGCTATGGCAGATTTTGAATGGCCTGCACAGTTGTGTAATAGTCAAAAGTCATTCTAAATTGTGCCTATAGTGTATTTGGGGCCACAGCAAAATAAAAAAAGATAGCCCTAAAAACAAAATATAGGCAGGAAGTGAATTGTGTATGTTTTTAAGTGAACAGTCTTACTGGTTTAAAAATGATGGAAACCCAACTGGAACAACTGGGAACCCACTGATTGGATAATCTGTTTGAGAACCAACATATTAGAAATTACCATAAATCATTTAGTAATAAAGAATAAACCAGAAAGAACAGATTAAGAAAGAATATGATTATTTTTGATAATAATTAGGCATCAGGTTTATATAGGGCAATTTGGACACTCAAAGAAGATTTACATGGTATTATTTATCCACTCCATACACAGTGGTGATAAAGGCAACCAGTTTGTTCCCTTCAGCCCCTTTGACCACCACCAGCCATTCACACACACCAGACTCATATCAGGCAATGTGGGTGAAGTGCCAAGTGACCGTCTGAGACAATGAAGCATATTTGGTTTGACTTCATTTCTGCCACTATCACAACCTTACAAATGTGATCATGTTTACCAGACCAGGAATTGTGCATAAACCCACTGAATGTATAGTAGTTTGGTTGCAAAGTTGTGTCTTGTGTATTAATTGGAGGAGTTGGTTCCATGTGTGAACTAGGAGTTTTTGGTTCGTTTGAAATACAGAATCAGTGGTAGTGATAATAATTTAGCTCTATATCAATTAAACTTGTACAATGCATGTGTTGAATTCTTTTATCTGAGATGAGAAGAATATCCATTCCATTCCCACACATTGCATTTAGAAAGGGGATCAAACCCAAACGCTCTTTACTGCAAGCCAAAAGCACCAACCACTCAGCCACTATTGATTATGTCCTGGTCACTATAGCAACAGGGTCTTTCTAAATTTCCCTTACAACTATAACAGCACAATTGTACAACTAGGCAACAACCTCAACTCTCCCAGGAAATCTGAGTCCGCATCCTCCATGTTTTCACTTTCCCTCCACAAAACAAAACCAGATGCAATCGCAGTGACTACCACCCAGCGCCCAGGCTCCCTGCATGAGCCCGCAGCAGCGAGCTTGTCCTTGGCTGGCTTTTTGTGATGAGAGCCCTTATCACAGGCCTCACATGGGAGCGGATGAGAGGGGGAGAAAGAGCCTGGAGCAGAGCGAGCCGAAAGAGCGCACTGCTGCTGTGATGCGCGCCCACTCACGGACACACAAACCAGTGACACCTTCAACGCACTAATGCATACCTCTACTTGTGCCACTTTGACAGTGCTCAGCCGCCCACCGCATCTTCATGGGCCTATAGGACGCGCGCACAACACAATCAAGTCCACCCACCTCCTGCCTGTCTCTGCGTACAGCTCCAATCCATCACTATTCACTCTTTTCCTTTTCAAATCCAGAAGAATGGCAAGGACAGGCCAGAGATATTGTGCTTTTGATGGGGTATTGAACAAAGCTGGCTTTATATTGTACAGCATGAGATCATAAATGAAACAAATTGTCTTTCACTTCAGAAAATAGAGTATATACTTATTCGAGTCACTCAGGCAAAAGTAGAAGCTCTCCATGGAGATAATAATACAATAATGGCATAACTCAACTCTGCATGACGGGTCACATACAGAACTGATGACATTTTCTGATAAGACAGAACCCCAGTTAAATGATAGTTTGTTTAAGAAAATAGTACAAAAAAAAATAGTAAAAGTGAAACAGTTCCAGCCACCAACTTTTCATTCACATTTTTTCTTTAAAAATGATTATCTGACAGTTTGAACGTGCATGCATTCATTCTTTCTTTTCTTATTTTGATCAATAATCCATTTCTAAATATTCTTTTAGGTGATGTTTATTACCCCCCCATATAATGTTTCTATCTGTAACTAATAATAAAGTGCACCTTAACTTATGGATGGATTTGGAGGAAACTGTATGGGTTCAAGCCTGCACACTGCCCTGGCTGCATGGAACAGAGCTACGCCTCTTGGTGGAGGTCTGCGCTCGAAGAGTGCTTTTCTAGATTGCTTTGTGATGGCTATATACTCTCTCAACCTATGTATCTGCAGCCATGTCCAACCAGGAAGTCACTTTTGCAAACTTTACCAAAACCTCACCACCCCGTTAAAAAAACAATAGATTAAATTATAGATGAGATTTTTAGTCATATCTTATTCATCAGATATTATACATTTATTATATCCATCAAAATTATGTTTCAGTGAACTTGGATGGATGGATCGTCCCCTTTTCACTTTACCAACATTAATTGTGGAAAAAAATATCTCATGGTCATGACCCATAAAGTGGATACTTTTGTGGTCTGGAGTGAACACCTCTCAGTTCTTTTAAAGTGGGTTTTTACAATACTTGGAGCATGTAAATGTGAATGGATTATCTACAGAGAGTGAGAACAGTATGGCTATAAGGATTTAGTGTTGCTCTGATTGATATGGTATTAAAAACTACAACATTTATTGAACTCTATCTGGAAGTAGAGTAGAGTAAATTGCAAATATACATACAACTCAATTCCTTATTTTTAATTGATTCATGAAGGGAAACAAGGGACCCTGCTGGCTGCACGATTCCAAAAAAAAACTGTGTATTTTTGCTATCAATGTGTGGGAATAAAAACAATGTTGAAAATAGTTTTATAAATAGTGACAGACAGAGAGCAGAGGTGGGCCGAGCAGCAACTACAAATCTATAAAAATGTCCATGTACAATGTATACTTTGCCAGGAAAGAGTTGAAGTATTTTGAGTTGCACAACACTTTTTATTACAAATTAATTATCCTGATTAAAGCGTGAACACCGTCTTTATTTATGACAGATATATGATAAATATAAATACCACTATGTTCTTTCTTTGTGGTGAACATCCCTTAATGTTTTATAAAGAGTTAAATGCAGCTGATGTGTTGACCGCAGGCAGTGAGGAGGGCACCATTATAGAGCTGCTTCTACTGTGAGAGCTAATGGTCCTCTGCAGGAGGCACAGCTCCAGTCTGTGAGCAGCTCCACCAAAACTATTTATGGGATGTGGATTTTCCAATGAAACCGCATTTAGGTTTTATATACTTACGTGTTTTTTAAGTCGAAGTCGCTGTTGTTAAGGTTTTTAAGGATTAAAATTGCATGACGCATGGAGTTTATATGTTTATCAGAATCAGAATTATTCTTAAGTAATAGGAAGTCACAAACTGGGAATTTGCTTTGGTATATGGTGCAAACAAATTATCAAAAAGTTGTAATAAATAGATATAAAAAGGCATGCATAAAATTGTGCATAAAAAGTGCACACAAAACATTTCTCCATAGTGAGATCAATAAAGTCTTTCTTCTCTCATCTTATCTTATAAGAGACATTTAACCGTGCAACCGTTTTAAAGCCACAGTAGGTAACTGCATGACGCCATGGTGATTGAATTCTGTGTGACATTCTCTGTTGAGACATGTTTACAGCCATAAACCGTGGAAGATTTCAGCCAAAGGAACAACAGGAGAGTTTGTGAAGAATTAAGCATGTTCAGTTTGTGCAATCAAAAACATAAAAAGTGAGACTATAGCCTAGACATAAATCCTCACTGTTGGCAGCTTTTGTGAGAAACTCTTTATTTGGTTTACAAGTATTGGATTTACAATGTGAGTTTCTGTTGAGTGCACAGACTTCCATTCATTTTCATTGTGTTGTATCACAGTTTTTACTTTTTCACAAGTTTCTATGACAACAAGAATGGTGTCCTGCTTTTTTTTCATACAGCTCATTGGAGTGTCACTGTGAAAATACTTCATTGGAACAAGTCTTTGCTTCTTTGTCTTCAAATTTTAGGACAGACACGCATCATTGCTTCTAAAGCCGAGATAGAGGACAGACATTCAAAATCTACCTCTGTGTTTGGGACATTGTGATCTGTTATTCTAAAAATCTGCAGATATTCACAGCTCACCTGAAGGAATCTGTATATGGGGAAAACATGGTGGGTTTCTGTGGGCCGTCCTACCTATGCAAGTGGGCTCGTCTCCGCTCCACTGTCTGTCGCCCTGACACCGGCGGATGATGGCGTCCTGGCCGGTGGACAGGCTGAACCCGGGTCTGCAGCGTACTTCCAGCAGCGCGGAGAAGGAGTGAGTGGGCGAGAGCAGCCGCACCTCTGTGCTCTCCACCGTGGGAAGAGGCCAAGGACACGTCCGGCCTGCACCAGACACACAATACAGAGACTCAGCATTTCACCAGAGATGAGAGCCAAGTTATATATTCATGTTTTTCAAATTAATATTATTATTATATTTATTGCATTCTATGTATGTGTGTTATTGTTTTCCATTGTTCTTTCAGACACACTGTTGCTCACCCTGGGTTTCTTCTGGATGAATTGTTCTTTATAAATAATTTTGGCTTGACTTACCACAGTGTATGGAGAGAAAAAAGAAAGAGAAGCATCTTTGGTGTCATGAACAAACTGTACTTTTTATTCATTTAAATTCACAACAATTTGTAAGAAAAGTTCTACATCTTTTGTTTATTGTTATATTCTACAGCTTCCCTTGTGTTCACGTTGGTTGAATTTAACACCATCAGTGTTAAATTCAAACAAATTTAATTTACAAATTTAAATTCATCATTCTGTTGGGGATCAACGATTAAAGGAGCGGTATGTAAAAATCTGGCCAAAAGTGGTACTGCAACCTCTGCCACTCTCCCTGACTTGGGTTGCCAGATGCGCAGACAAAACCAGCTGGGACCATAATATCGGAATAGACAAGAGTCTATAATCTATAACCAACACCTTTTTCACAGAGGCCCCAATAGAAATCCTCGTTTTTTTCCTTGTTTTGTCATTAATGATCATAACAAGACCTTTTTTTGTACTGCTGCCACATGTTACTTTACAGTGAGATTAGCTCGACACTGTCAGTTCTGGCAACTCGGATAATGGACTTTCTGATTGGTATAACGGTGGAGGGCGGGACATCAAAATGAAAACAATAACAAGATATAGGGGCTGTAAAACTAATTTTGAAATCCAAATGTCTCGGCTGAACTACTGTTATCAGTTAAAGAAGTACTCAAAAGGACCATGGTTTATGGATGCCCTTTGACAAATTAGAGCCATTAAATAATGACTTGTCATGAAAATCTTACAAATTGCTACTATAAAGTCTAAATTCTATGAAAGTAAATGTACAATGTGCATTTATTTGGGGGGAAATACATATGTTTTTGTTTTTAACTTAGTTCTCTCTTTAAAACTTCTGCATTGCATGAGTGATGTTCACAATATCACATCAGCAAAAGAAAGTCAGAAGAAATGAGTTTGCTCTTATTATGAATCTATTGTATCAATTGTGAGCCGCCGTGTCCAAATAATTTCCTTTGTGGATTCTGTGACGTCTACGAGGGCTTTGAGCTGAATGCACTTCTACTGGTGAGCGCTTGATTCCTTATGAGCAACAGTGGAACTAAATATCTACAGAAAGGAACTGAGAATAATATGTATTCAGAATAAACATTTTTGATGTTTTTTCTTTCTTTTGATTGTATTCTGATGGCATTTAGTTTTATATCTTCAAAGAATGCTTGTTTGATCATGCATTGGCTTTTTACGCACAAAATACCATTTATAGCATATATTTAGTATTTTGTAAATACTGTACTTGCTGGACTGTTAAGTACCACAATTATACACAGGTTTTCATGCTGTAATGTAACACTTAACTGTTTTAACTGCACACATTATGATTTACTTATGAGGTGTTTTATTGCAATGTTGACATGTGATGATCAAAGCAGACTGGTAACTTATTTTGACAAATCACATTTTTTTTTTAAATGTCTTGTGTATCCCAACACTTATTTGTGTCGGCTCTCTGCTGTTCACATAAACACACTGGAGAGCAGGAATGTGTGTTGCTCATCTGCTCTGGTGATCAACAGCTAATGTCCAAATCTGTTTCTGCACTCACCTCTAACAAAGTAAAAATGCATGCATTGGCCACATCGCTGTAACGGCTGCACACTCCAGCAAGTACTGTAGAAATATAATTGATCTGCTCAACTCAAGCAGTGATGAACAAATTCAGTTGTAACCCCTCACACATCCTTCCTATTTTCTCCAAAACAAAAACAAACAAAACATTGTGAAAGGACCAGACGGTATGAACAGTATTATGTTTTGGAAATAAGAGGGATACGTGTTTACGTTCACATTTAACATTTTAAAAGTTTGTTGGTGATATTTTATCAATACAAATGCAATAACCTTTTGTCTTAAAATAAAGTATAAAAACATATGTCCAAACTGTGACTGTTTCAAACTAGCCTCGTACTGGATCCGGGCCTCCTCCCATGTGCTCTTTGTCTGTAATCTACAGATTGGCGTTAAGTATTACAAATATTAGACCAAATGAGGGAAAAAGAAAACACTCTAATGGCAATATTTTTTATTCTAACGTTAAAAACATACTCACAATTCTATCACTATAAATTAGATGTTAGCAGTGTTGATTTTATGTATCATTTTCTAACAGCTTGTAATTGTTTCATTGTTTTTAGTGTAAATGTTTTTAGCTTTATCATTGTTTTATTACATTTATTCCATGTGTGATCCCGCTGCTTCCAGTAATTACACAGATTATATAGGTCAAAATAGAAAACACCTGCATTTTGTCACCAGGTTCTACCATGACTTTTTGACCTACCCTTGACATCAGTTTCAACATTAAGCTTTTTTAATGCTGCAGTGTCACGCAAACCCTATCACTAAAATAACCGCGAGTCACAAAAGACCACTAATGAGGCCAGTGCTACAGCCCCAGTCCATGTGAACTGCTCCTTTTACACAATGATAAAATAAATAAATGGGCTTATTTGGCGTCAGAGCTGCACAGCACAAGCTGCGTTTGGAAGCTTCTGGAGTTTGTATTTTGCTGGAGAAGGCCCACACAGATGTATGTTGGCACAGCTGTGAGCACAAACACAAACAGAGTAATGAGGCCTGTGACAACACTCCCACATGCAGACAGTTACCTGGAGCCACACAGCTGAGCCCACACTGGCCGTCGCACAGACACTGGCGTTTGCTGCCACAGTCACCGTCCCGTTTGCAGGGCCGGGGGCAAGTCCTTCTGCTCTCCTGCCCCAACAGCCTCTCAGGACACGGATCTGAGGAGCACAACCACAACACATGACCTCTGTTCAATCTGCAAAGGAACAATGACGTTTTATGCCCCAATTCTGCTTTGTGTCATTGAGAAACTCTGTGTGTGGGTGGTCGCTGAGGCAATACCCAGTGACCTACAGGGCAGTGTGTTTTTGAAGGAAAAGTTTTCTTGTACAGTGAAGCTGTTCCATATGTGCTCCATCACACTCACATACCTCATGCATTTTATATTATACCGACACACCCTCAATGTCCAGAACATTGTGCAGAGGGAGGCACAGGAAACCATATGTGCAACAGCATAGTACATGTGTCCTGCTCCACACACATGCAGCAGGACGTCCTGCACACACCTGGTCATGTGACCATCAGCTCATGCCTGCAGAAGTCCAGCTGCGCACCAGCAGAGATAATTGAAGAGTAATCCAAGGCAAAGGTCAGTGCTCATTAGTGTGGCGGCAGAGGAGCCAGCTGCACACTGGGCATGCTCCTCATAGATGCTCCTCATACAGACCTATCCTTGAGTATAGTGAAGTATCCAAAGAGTATATGCAGGTGGAAGAGACTTACCCGTCGTCTGCAGAGAGGAGCTCCCTGCCAGGGCCCACAGGGACAGCAGCAGCAGTGCACAGTCCATCCTAGAGTCAGTCTGAAGGAGGGACAGCACAGGCAGTACTTTTAAGGGTGCTGTGCTGTGGGGGGGTGGAGGGGCTGGGGGATAGGGGTGGGAGTCAGGGGAAGGAGGGTGCAGCCCTGGAGAACACATCTGGTTCATGTTGGAAAGCAATGAATTAGAAAAGAAAAACAGAAATAAGGAGACCTTTCACCCAATTTATTCTGGGGTAGATAAATGAACTGACGTAGGCCTGTGTTTCTCTGCAACACTTACACAAAAACAGGAAGTCACAACTAAATAAACAGCACAACATGTTCCTAAAGTCTGTACTCGAAATTTGAATTTTTCATCTTAAGGAATCCGTGTAGGAAAGTGACTTCCTCCAGTAAGTCTCTCTTTCTCTCTAGGATTAGCTCATATTGTGTTGTGTTTTGACCACATCTGAGTAGATTCAGAACATGTTTAATCTCAGAATAAAGATTGTGTCTGAATGTCCATGAGAACAAATCTAGTGCTTTTGTTGTGCAAGAAGAAAACTGATTTGGTTCCTGGAAGAATGAACACAAACAGACCTTATCAGACCAAGTCGCCTGGTGATTGTCCATGTCGTTAGCACAAAATAATGCAGTCTCGGCGAGAAGTGTTTCACAAAAAAACAAACTCCAGTTAATGAGAACAATCTTTTATTGGTGTTTTTTGGGGGTGGGAAATCTCAACTACATCCAGATGCCCAGGAATTACACTGGCTGGGCACCACTGACACCACTGATACAGCAGGACAGTTGTAGTTCAATTAGAGATCACAACAAGAATAAATCAACCAGACACCGGTGAGCATATTAAAGGCTAGATCCTGCAGGGGGAGCTAACGATCACTTGATGAAGTGGCTGGAGGAAAACAGAAAACTGACAGTGTGCATTCTGCATACACAACCAGGGAACCCATTTGTAAATGAAGTCTCAAACCAGTGAGCCATCCCAAGTAGTAATGCAATTTTGGGCACGTTAGGAGGACAGTTACACAAAAAAATGCGGACTTTCCCATTTAAAGTCTTTCTGTCGCAGGTTTGCAATACCAAGAACAAAAAGGCGGCAGTAATACATAAGAGCAACATTAAAAAGGGGGAATTAACCAGAACATGGATATTTAGCAGTAATGTTAATTGTTTAACATAGGGATTCAAACCACACTCACGATCCCTCCCACTGAACATGACATAGTGTACCAGGCCCTGTGCAGGTCAAGCTTATACATACAGTATAAAGTATATATCAATTACAATGTACTGAAAAAATAGCTTTATAGGTAGCAACAAGCTGTGGAACAATATAGGAACTTTTGGCTTTAGTCTCTCACAGAAATTTGAGAAATGAAGTCTATTCCAGTCGCTGGGGTGAATACCTCCAGGTCATAGAATATAAATACACAGAAACAGTGTAGGCCCAGAATACACACAATATTCAATCTCATGTAGATAATTAAAACAGTAAAAATCCGTAAATGGAAAATCAGGATTGCAGAAATTGATACAACACTGACAAACCCTTAAACCAAACTACAATGTGGAAAGAGCATCAATAAACAGAATAGTGTATATGGACTAAAATCAGGGAGAAATTCTTCAAAGGCTTTTGAGATGCAAGTATTGGACTGAAAGAAGAAATGATGCTTATTGTCGTTTCAAATATTTACCACTCTTGAGTAAAAGAATTTGTACATGTAATCCTTGGTTAAAATTCATTGAAAAACACTGACTGGTCAATATTATAATATATTATAATAATGTTGGACTCTACAGACAAAATCTTCTCTTGCCAACACACACTCAATCCGGATGACATGAAAAGGAGCAAGTAAAGTTAAGTGCTTACGTCAAATCAACAAAATGTGCGTCTACAAAGTTTAAACATCGTTTTTCTCTCTATATTACAAATGTTAATTGCATCCTCAACCCTGCCGTTTCCTTCTTACTCAAAGAATGTTCGAAAAATACACTCCATGGCTAATCATCTCCTGATTCAACTATACTAAAAAGATATTTACTATAGTATATCCCTCACTATGCCCCGTCATGTAGAAAATATACAAAATTACTCTTCAAATTGGCTCTCCCGCTAATTATTCAGAATTATTATAAAAATATACATTTTCCAATAACAAAACTCTTAAAAGTCACATCTTTCATCGGTTAAATTATTCTCTCTATCTGTTGCGCTTTAAGAGTTGACACCTTGACAAAACAAGACACCTGAGCTTCAATAATCGATCTCTGCTGATACATTCAACATCATCACCACCATCCTCATCCATTTTGTCCATTGATTCACCAAAATGTCCGGCTTTCAGACTGAACCAAAGCTTGTTTCTGCTCCGCTGTTCCCCGTGCGCCGCCTCACTGATCGGCCAGGCGGTTTTCGTATTTGCTGAGGATGTTGCGACAGCGGCCCAGCTCCTTCCTCATCTCGGCCACTTCCTGTCGCAGAGCAGCGTTTTCCCGCTCCAGGTACGCCGCCCGCACCGAGATCTGGTTCTCTTTCAGCCGCCGCGCGTCTCGAGAACGCTTCGCTGCCTCGTTGTTTTTGTATCGCCTGGTCCAGTACTTCTCATCCTAGAAACAAATAACGTAAACAGGGCATTGGAATATGTTGGAACACAATAATATTTAAAGTAAAAATAGAGGAGAGTGCAAATACGTGTCATGCTAAAGTCATTGGAACAGCATTTTGACATTTTGGCAACTTAACAAGATATGTCAGAAGTATTTATTTTGTATACTCAGCAAAACATTCAAAATATGTTATAACTATGTATTTATCTTGTGTAGAGTGCTTCCTGTGATCCTACTATTCTTGTACTGTGTGCTGCAATGCTTAAATATCCAAACTATGTACCGGACGTACTGTACATATAAAAACAGCAGAAGTAACACAAGTCTCACCTTTAAGTTGTCTGGCACCAGGATCTTGCGGGCCTTCTTGATCATGGGCTGTGGCTTGAGCTCTTCTTCACTGAACGAATGCCTCCTTGGGTCGTAGTTCGGGTCTTCTGACATGTCCACCTCCGAGCCCTCCATGTCGAACATTCCCATCACATCTGGACCGCTGCCTGTCGGAGTGAGCAGCGGAGGGCAGGAGGAGGAAGAGGAGGAGGAGGGCGACTCGCACGATTCACCGATACTGGAATGGCTGCCTGAACATCAGAGGAAAAGAAATACATAAACACTTAAGTAATCAACTGGTCAGTGATACAATTATTTCTAAGTTTTTTTTAAGATCAAAATACAGAGATAGATACATTTAGAACATGTACATATAAAGTATTTATCAATGAAAATGTGGAAGCTGCTGTTTTTTTATTGTCTGTCCAGTTACTGATTAAAATGAACTTGTTTCACTCAAATGTGTCTTTTTTCCTCGCCACCCTAATTAGTGCAGCCTTCCTTTCACAAGCTGAATAGACTTCGGCCACCAGAGGGCAGCAGAGGGTTTAAAACCCTAAATAATAAACTGACATAAAAAAATATTCCCAAAGCACACTTCAACATTAAACAGTGAGGAATTATCGTAGCAGATCTAAGTGAAAGATAGTCAATGGTTTAATAGAACACTCTTAACATTTGAATATTAAAGAAATGTAATAATGTAAAAGAGTAAATCGAGACAACCATGTATTATCAGATTGCAAGTATTTGAGGGTTTCATTCATTGTCTTTGGGTTAAAACTCTTCTTTTTACCTCTTCAAGACATATATGGGGGGAGATGTTAAGCAATTCCTTCCATCCCCTTTACACCAGTTTCTGTAAGTGAGGCCATTATAGGGATATACATTAGAGGCCTGGACCAACCAGCTCCTCAGCATTATGACTGTATCTGACAAGAGCAGATCACGGTGAGGGCACATGATACAACTTTGGTGACTGTGTGTGGCCTGGGCAAACCCTTCACACACCCTCTTATGGTTTATACTTTTCAAACAGACATTCTGAATCATAACCTAGAAATAGCAGTGCGGTGTCAGATGTAAACAGGCTGACAAATGCCCAGCAACCATGGTGCATTGCAACTTGTGTGTTCTGTTTGGCAGCATTGCAACGAAAATTGGTACTATATTTTATTATGGAAGAATATGGTAGACCTTGGTAGACCTTGGTAGACCTTTCCACCTTGTGAACACATCACAAGCTTCAGTGCATGAGATGGTATCACATGAGAAGTCTCTTTATCACTAGAATAACACTAAAACACAAGGTTCCAAACACTTCGAAAAAATTGTGAAGTCTTTAAGAAACTTGATTGGATTACAATGTATTCTCAAACTAAGCTACATACAGCTTAATGACACTGTAGACCATGAGAAACCCTGAAATTTGTCTGTACATGTTGACTTCTGCTTCTATGTTTAGCACCGAACAAGAATACTTTAATTATTTAGGCTTAAAGGCCCTACATACACAAAAAAAGAGTGTAAGGAGCTCAAACTGGCTTATGTTTACAGACAATCACTTATGGGAAACATTTCTGTCTATATCTAAAAAAAAAACATTAAACTTTTCATAACATTTCAAAGAAAACCTTCCATATATCTTTTCCCAAGAAACCAACTGTTTATTTATTTACTTTGGATTGCCCTTTGGCATGAATCATCCCTTTTTGCTTGTGTGGATTCAGTCTCAGCCTCTTGGGCAAAACCTCACTTTGAAAGACATCCGATAAATTGTACTTCTGTCTTATGAAAACTCCCTGAAACCTGCATTGTGACTGACTTCTTGCAATATATTGAAATCATGAGTGTGCAGTCGCTGTGAAGCATTCTTCCTGTTCCCTTGCTCATCCCTGTGCCTCTTGGCCCCTCCTCTCCGCCTGATGGCCCGGCCCCTGTTCCCTGACTGAAGCCTCCGCACGTGTACTGACGCGTGCACATGGCCATGGCGTGTGAAGCAGCAGAGAGAGATTTAAAGACACGCAACTCAACGCCTCTCTCTCCCACTTGGCAATGTTTTGATTCACAGCCATTTTAACTATTCCCTAACTGTTTTTCAGAGTAAAAACCTCACATTGCTATTGCCAACAAGAAGGGAGATAAGCCATGTGTATTTCTGGCCAATATTAGTGTGAGTTGAGCATTCTGAGGAGAACTATGCTTGCTCATCACACCTCTTCTTTTTACACTCAAAGCAGCGTTGAATTGCTGAATCATTATTTCGTTGGTACGGCTGTCACATAACCTTGATTGCAGTTGAACTTTTATAGAGTTCTGGGCCCTACTGGATTCATATCAGCTGGAGGGAACAGCTTGTCTCTTCTGATGTGTCAAGTTTATGCTTTCTTTGGTGATTGTTTTGCACTGAAGAACCTTGGTGATTGGTATTTCTTTTCTCTTTTTCAGCTGTCTATTGAATAAGTCAGGTGCAAAAGTGTTTGTAAGTGTAACTCACCGTGCAAACAGTCGTTGCTTCCTCCATTAACACTTTGGGCCACTTCCAGACCAATGAGTGAGGGGGAAGACGAGGAGTGAGATTCAGGCGATGAGGATGTTGTGGAGCAGGGTGGTGAGGAGGGCGGTAGGCACTGGGAGCTCTGATTGGGCACAGCTGATTGGGGGCTTTGCGACGGTATCTGAGCAGCACTGGAACTGTTGTTGTTGCCGTGCCCGCTCCCCATGCCGTTCTCGGTCAAAAACTCCTCCAAGTCCATGTACTGAAGCTGAAAGAGGCCCCCATCGGCAGGCAGCGTGCGATCCCACAGAAGAGGCCCCAAGAACTGGTTAAAATTTCCGCCATGGCCTCCTCCTCCTCCTCCACCACCACCTCCTCCACAATTATTACTGTTGTTAGAACAAACAAGTCCATTTCCACTCCTCATGGTGCATAACGTGTCAACGTCGATTTCCAATGATCGGTCTTTATCTGAAAAAAACAAAATATTTTCTCATTATAAGATTCATGATCTCAGCATGGATACAAGAGCTCATTTCTCTCCTGTGCAGTTAGACAGATACATTGCCTACAGAGCTTAAGACTTTATTCAGAAGACAAAGCTATACTAACTATCTCATATCAGAATTGTACAAAATTAACTTTCTACTGTTGTTGTCATTACCTTTTGAGTCGCATGAGGCCTTGATGCGCTGGTCTGGCTTCATTGGGAGTTGCAAGAGGGACTTGAGTCCTGCCATGGAGTTGAGTTGACTTCCTGCAGGCTGAGCACAACTTCCAAACTGTGGGCTTGCACTGGCTGGTAGATCTGGAGAAGGGAGCTGTGAGAGATGCCTGGACATCCTCCGACAGATGGATTGTAGATAAAACACCTGGAGCACTTCAAGAGGCGAGGCAAACTTACTGAAGAATCTAATAAGTATGTTGAATGGCTGTGTGTGTGTGTATGAGAGAGAGAGGGCAGCAGAAGAGGGGGGGTGAGAGGGGAAAAGATCAATTTCAGTCCATATGAAAATACGGAAAGTGCAATAATGACAAGATAACGCAGTTATAACGCATGAATTCATATATAAACTTATTTTTACCTTATTTCCTTTGAAGAGTCTTGCCTTAGCGCTTTGAAGAAACACTATTTTCCGAGTGTTCCATGACAGCAGATGAGTTCAAAGTGTTGGCGCAGATTATTCCCAGTGCGCGTTTGGGGGAGGGACTGTCACGCCAGAAGTGTCCATTATAAACGCAGTAAAAATGCAATAAAACCTTTAGGCGAATCTTCAAATCAAGCTGCAAAATAAAAGAGCGCGCAGGTTGTAGTTGAAGACGACCCTCTATAAAACTGGAAAATGGACTGAGGCAAAATAAAACAAATGTGAAAGAACAGAAAGAAGTCGGAGCAGTGTGCGTGCTGGTCAGATGACAAGTTGTATTGGTGCTGCTCCTGTGCTGTCGCGCCTTGCAGAGCGTAGAGGGAGGAGGGACCGTTTCCTCTTTCTGTCTGTACTTTTTTTTGCATCCGGTGGATCTGGTCACGGGCGCACGGGCTCGGGTTTGTGGTGAGGCCGCGTTTGTGCAGAGCCTCAGCTGGAGCAGACACGGGCGCTGAGACTGACGTCACGGCCCACGGAACAAGCGGCAGGCGCGAGGCGTGGCTACCGGATTATTATTCATGAAACACACCTCCTGCCAGCGTGCCACACCTCGAGGGACAGGCTGTTTTTTTAGTCTGTAAGGGACAAACACTATCTACAACTGTTTTTATTTCCAGAGTGCATGCCCCCTAAAAATATGTGGCTATGATTAGATAGGCCTATAGCAACCTGACACATTATACTGACCAAATCACCAAATTACACTATAATATTCACTTAGGCATGACTTCTGTAACTACTTACATTGAATGAATCTATCGCGTACATCTTTTGGATGAATATATAGCAACATATTTTGAATGAATGCCTTATTTTGTTCATTTAGGAGCAGCTGAAATAACATCAGTACCTTTTGGTAATCCACTGAAACGTGAGAGCATCGTTTGTACAGGCCTAGGGACGCTGAAGCACGTTGCCTCCCGGTGTACAATAGCTGTTCCCACTCACGTGTACCCTACACGGTGAAGAGAGCTGCCCGCTCAGAGCTCTGCCTCTGATTGGCTGTGCATTATACAGACCCAGCCTCCAGCACGACTCGATTGGTCACAAATAGGTCGAGTGGTCCCGCCCGCACGGATTCCCCTTGTGCATGCCACTGCCGCGTGAGGCCGTCTGAGCGCGCGCCTGTGTTGTCCTGTGTCCAGTGTAGCAGCAAAGCACATGGACTCAAAGTCACTACTGTTTCGCCCTGAGTGTTTTGTGCTGAGGGCAGCACAGCAGGTGAACGACCAGCGCACTTGATCATATTTCAATCTGACCATTCACACCAATATCAAAGTCATTTTAATCTGCAATTTAGAGTCACTTTCAAGTTTGCGTTTGGAACTTGTCTAATGGAACAAACACATTAAGTCAACGAAAGTCCATGATTTACATTCATTGGTTTAAGTTATTTTAAAATGATTAAAATAAATTGGTGAATTGACCAGTTATGAATAAGACTGGGCCACTGGCACACAGCTTAACACAAGCGTATATCACTGCACCTCCATGTGACTGGCACACTCTCCTTACCAGCCGAGTTCATACTTACTAGGCTCAAACGAGTTGACTAACGCCACCTCGTGGTGTATTACAGTCTAGCACAATTTATCATATCAAGAAGGCTTGAAAGAAAAAATAAATAAAATATATATATATATAATATCAGTAAAATGTGGTCATTATACACCCCAGAATCCAGTTATATCCTCCTTTATATTCACCAATTTGGGGTTTGAACTTTCTCTGTTCAGTACAAGTCTTCTGAGGACAAACTACAGGGCCTCAGCTTTACAGAATACAGCTATGCCATTGTAATCCAAAAGCTCCTAAATTAGATTGAATTTGAAATTTTTCTCAGTGTTTGATATGAAAAAATAATGAACAAAATTCTAACATTTAAAGTTTATTCATTGCAGAAATATATTCAACTACTGACTTTTGAGTAAATAAACGTGATAGAAACGTACTATAACCATTAGTCTTTAGAAGAGAAAACAAAGTGCATAATGGTATGAACACATGTAAACAAACAAAGACAGGATTATGATCGCAACTCAACAAACAGTAATAGTGGTTGAGAAGCAAAAGTACGACTGATGTGAAGATTGATTGGAATACACACACAAATACATGGATTATTACATTGCTATTATAGGTCCTTGTTTAAATCACATGTTCTGTAAATGTAGCAATAAATTCTCATACATATATTAGGAGAATTATCTTAGAGTCATCAGTTTTTGGAGGATTTTACCAAAATGAAACAGATAAGCCATGGCTACTGTAACCATACTTACTCTGGCAACCTGCATTTTGAATTACAATTTGATTAACTGCAGAGCCCAGTAGATTTGGATAAATTTGTTGAAATACTGATTAAACCAGCACACGTTGGAATGATTTACAACCTCTATGGAAACTTCACCAGAGAACAAACATGCACTGATATACTATCAAAGGTTTTGTCCCCAAGTACATACTCCTAATAAATGCACTTAACATTTTCAGGAAAGTCCTCAGCCGCTAGGTGAACAACAAGACAGGTATACAGCAGAAACACTTATACAGAATAAGGTGTAGCAAGATTTGTATTATTATATGGGGATACATTATTAGCAGGTATTATCTCCTAAACTCTTCTAGTAACTGCACAGTGTCAGCCAAGTACAATGTCAATGCACTTAAGGGGTAAAGGAAACAGTCAAGGCTTTAAACATCCTCCAACACAATCTGGAAGAATTTCTGTGAGAATCTACATTAGCTGTTAACACACTCAATCTAATAGTCAGGAAAACAAAGCAATTCGTTCAGAGGCATAGACGCCTTTTGAGTTCTTTTTTTTTCTTTTCCCTCACCATTTCATGTGAGAAATATCTCCCTTTACGCCTCCATCGCTCTTCTTAAGGTCCCCTATAAAAACAACATGTTGCCCTGCATGTCTACTTGCTCTCCCTCTGTTTCTGATTTATCTGCCTCCTATACACTGGTTTTCTGCAGGCCTTTAGCTGAACGCCGGCAGGTTGATTTGTGCCTACGAAGAAGTGCAGCGTTCCAGAAGCGCAGGCGGCAGTTTCGGCAAGAGAAAGTCCCTCTGGTATAATGCTTGGCCCGGTGGACAAATGCTGCCACTGGTCCATGAGAGTGTTTTCCACACACGATACAGGTCAGACGCTCCTGTAAAGGCAAGGCCTTTTGGGTGTGTTTAGCTGCCATGTGGACTAGCAGCTCTGCTCTGTGGGAAAACACAGAGCTCGGGCATATCGGACAGCCAAAACGCTTCACTGGGACATTCAGGGAGGACAGTGCTTTTATTTTTACACTGTTTATCAGTTTGTATCCTCTTACTTTTCGAATTTTCTTGTGTTGGGCACGTTTACCATGAGGGTGCCCACTAACCGTCTTTTTAAAAATTTGATTTGCATTATGTTTAACCGTCTTTTTCTTCATCTTCTTGTGCCGTCCTATGTTATCTTGTGCCAAATCAATTCTGCAATCTGCTTGTTGCTGCAACTGTGTGTTTGACATATGAGGATGAAGGTGGGATTGATGGGGATGGTGATGCAGATGGTGATGTTCAGCTGAGGGTATTTCTGTGAGGGGCTGGAACGGAGCGGTGGTGTGCAATGTTCGGCTGCGAGATCCTGCGGGATAAATGTGCTCTCCTTTGACGCCAGCAGGGGAGTGGGGGTGCTGCGGGGGCATGATTGTAGAGTTTGGGGGCAGAGGCTGTGAATAATTAGGTGCATTGCTTGAAGTGTCATAAAAGAGGGGAGAGTAGCCGGATGGTGTATGCGGAGGAGGTGGCTGTTGGTTATGACTGACAACAGACAAACCCGGGCCTCCGTGAGTTTCGTCAGCAGGCGCCATTTGAAGCAATGCGTTTGTGGCCGCTTCATTTTCTGCCGTTGCTTGGGAAATGTCAGTAACATTTTGGTTGCTTCCGGATCTATTGCTTGCTTCATGATTATTTGATGAGTCGGTGCGGGTTATGCCATGCTGGGATTGCTTGTGACGGGTGAGACTGTTGGAGTAAGCGAACGACTTTCCGCACACCTCGCACGAGAAGACCTTTTCGCCCCCAGCACCGTGAACTGTCTGGTGGTGAGCGGTCAAATGGAAATGATGCCGGAAGGACTTCCAGCATATCGCACAGGTGTAAAGACGAGGCGTGGGCGGAGTGTGTGATGAGGGGTGCGTGTCTTGGGGCTTGACGTCTTGAGAATAGGAGTAATAGGAGGAAGTACTTGGGACTTGATTTTGACTCGTGTCTGGGACTGCGCTACATTGAGGGTTTGGGTTAAAGCTGTTAAGATTTTCAGTGTTGGCCGTGGCTGGAACTTCTTCATTCTCCCCTTTTTGATGGAGTTTACCATGCCGACGAAGGCTCTGTGAATAACCAAACTCCTTTCCACAGATGTTGCACTTATAATTCTTAGCGCCGGAGTGAACAGTTTGATGTTTGCTTAAATGAAAGGCCTCTCTGAAATATTTTCCGCAGACAGTGCAGTGATGGGACTTTTCTCCGGTATGAATGCGGTCATGTCTTCGCAGAGTCTCGCGGCGTGCAAAGCCTTTACCACAGACACTACAGAGATGGGTGCGTGGCAGTCCAGCGGTGCTCATTCTTTGGCCGTATTGTCGACGTTTAGAGGGGTCTTCATTGTTTGAGGGGTCTCTCTTAGCCCTGGGTTTGCGAGGGCGTTTAGGTTTGGCAGAAGGGTCTTGTGTACTGCTCATAGCCTCTTGGTCCACAACTGCTCTGTAGCTTTTGTTATCAATCGTCGTTGAAGAGGCTGAACCCAAAGAACCTAAACCAAGACCTCCAAGAAGACCCCCGATAATGTCACCCCGATCGTCCCCTCTGGTTCCACCACTATTAGCAACAGTGATGGCAGAGATGGCATGATTTACAGAACTAGTGACATCGTCTTCAGAGTCGTCCAGTAAAGAAGACAAAGGCAGGTGGGGTGGTTGCTGCAGATGGTGATGTGGGTGGCTCTGTGTGTGTGGATGCAGAGTTGGTGCCAGGGGTGCCTTTCTCAGAGCAGGGCCAGCCATCCCGCTCCCACAGGGGGAGGCACCAGAGTAGCATGGAGATGGGTTACTTTGAGAACGGTGGTCGTCGTGGTAGCCTGTGTAACGATTCCGAGAGTAGTCAGTGGGGTATTTACCATCAGTTCTGTCCCTGTCATTTGAGTTCCCTCCCCGCCCAGATTGATAAAGACCCTCACATCCTAAACTTGATTTTGTTTCGGATTCCCCCACAATATTTACACCTTCCTCCTCAGTTTTCCCATAAATATCCCCTCTATTGCTCTGATAAGTTCCCCCTCCTCCATTACCAACTCCACCCCCTCTGTCCTCACCATCATGTTCTAATTTGCTGCTCCGTTGTTTGGGCCCCCTACCTGGCTTGCCGCAGGTGCCTGAGGCCGCATGGTTCAGTAGAGATGTGCTCTCACGAAAGGCACGGCCACAGGCAGGACATCGGAAAGGCTTTTCATCATGTATCTTCTCATGCCGTGTCAATGACTCTCTACGATTAAAAGCCCGAGAACAAGTGGAGCAGCCAAATGGTCGTGCTGACGAGTGTATTACACCATGTTGTAGAAGGTGGCCTTTTTTCTTAAAGCCTTTGCCACATTCAGGACAATGAAATATTTTGTCAGGGCTCGGGCAGGAATTAGATGAAGGCTGAGGTGCTTCTTGGGTTGAATGAGGAAGGGTAGGGTCGGGCTCTGATTTTATATGGATGGGGTTTGGCCGAACAGAAGATGAAGTGCTAGTGCCTGCTGTGGTTGGCTCATGCATTCGTAAATGCCTGCGTAAACTAGAGAGGTGGGGGAAACTTTTGCCACACTCTGAACAACCGTATACACGGTCGGTTTCTGAACTTGAGGGGTTGGACTGCATTGAGCTCGGATTGTCACATTTAGCCATGTGAGAGTCAGAGATTAGTGCAGAAACAGCAGTGGAAGAGAGAGCAGAGGAGGAAGAAACTACTGATGAAGATGACGATGATGAGGGGTCACCCCCAATATTTGACAAACCAACCCCACTGCCAATTAAAGAAGTGGGTTGACCATGACTAAGCCCCCCTCCGTTAGTAAGATTAATACTATGACTATTGTGCCCATGGCTGTTGCTGTGACTTGTGCTATCAGCTTTTCTCTGTGGCAAATATCCAGCCATTGCTTTCTTCCTCCTACTACTGCTACTACTGCCTCCAATGCTATCCCCTTTACCATCATCTTTCGATAAGGACAAATGTAATGGTAAAGGAAGGGGCAGGCCTGTTTCTTGCTGCATTAAAGAAGCTATCTGATTAGATGAGAGAACGGGAATGCCTTGGAAATCAAAGCCACTCAAAGAAGAGGGCTGAGAACTTGGGTGGAGATGGTGTGGATGTGAATGAGAATGAGGATGGGAGAGGGTGTGAGGTGGAAGATGCTGCTGCTGTGGAGCCTGCTGGGCTGTCTGTTGTGGCTGGGGAGTGGAGTGACCATGTGAATGGGAGTTATGCAGAGCAGGAGGGGGACCAAGACTAGAATTATTTTCCCCTGCTTGGCTTAAACTAATACCCAAGTGGTTATGAGTCCCTTGTTGTACAAGAAATTGCTCTAAACTTGCGTTAGCAGGAACCCCAGACAAAAAGTACTGATTAGCAGCTAACATGCAACTAAACTGTTGGTGAAGGCTGCGTGCATCACTCTGAGACCCAACTAACTGGTGTCCCAAAGAGCTGACTGCACTGCTACTTGAGTGGTTAGAAGTGGGAACCGAGGTAGAAGGGGCAGGAGACGAAGAGGGGGCTCTGGGTGATACATGGGGGACAGATAGGCCAGAATGCAGAGGAGGAGGGGGTGCTGATGTTACTAATCCTCCCAATCCCCCCGTGCTCCCACTGCTGCCACTGCCCCCAGGAAAGGGCTCAAAGCGGCCTACACTCGAGTGCAACTGCTCCTGTGCTAGCGCTGCCTCAGACGTGTGGAAAGAGCGCAGGAACTGAGGGTAGCCTGGAGAATGGCTTGAGTTGCTGCTGTTCATCTTGCTTGTCTTTGAACGAGAGCTCTGAGATGAGGAAGATGGCTGTTGTAAAGGTGGGGGAGGAGGGGCACTCATCTTGGCAAAAATTGAGGCAGAATCAGAAAAGGCGTTACCTCTTGACCCCTGCAGGGGTCCCAGACCAAGTCCAGACAGAAGAGCTCCAGACGACTCTGCCTGCGGCTGCTGCTGAAGAGGATGCTGGTGCAGTTGCACTTGCTGTTGGTGCTGCAGCTGTCGATCTAAACCCAGACCTTTGAACTGGTGGGCTTGATGCCCACTTAACATTTCTATAATGTCCAGATTATACTTTCCAAACTGGAACATTTCACACTCACTGGCACATGGGGCACCAGAGCCAAAACTCCAACAGTCAGAGTGGCTGGTCAATCCCAACGATGTGGCAAGGCTAGGATTTAACTCAAAAACTAAAGTGTTAGTTTCTAAATATAAGTGCTATGTTGTTTTTATCCACTCTAAATTATAATGTACACATAATTGTTGATGTTTTGTTTGTTTAGAGGACTATGTTGTTTAGGCAGTAAATGTGCCATCTCCATATCATTGGGCAGCGTCGCATCCATCTTCATTTAACATTTCCCTAGGAAAAAAAAAGACAAAATCAGGCAGTATATGCACAAACTATCTGACTTGTGTGTATTACATACAATTTTGGTAAAAATTCACAGCAAAATGGTGCATGAGGAAAATCAGCAGTTCAATTGGAATATAAACTTAATGAGTGTGTGGAAGTTTTTTCTCACCTTTTTATGTTCTTACCATCTCCTCCACTGTGACTGTGGTGTAGTTACAGCAGCCAGACAAGCTACAGTTTATATGGGCTCTTCTCATGCTCATGTAAACACGAAATCCTGTGGACAAAGGATTGCAATTTTAGAAATACAATTCTTATCATAAGTCTCACATCACTACGCTTACATGCATGCATTTACTAAAGAGACGTAACATGTGAATAAACCACCAGTCGCTCTTAGATGCAAAACTTCTGCAGATCACATCCCACAAATGTTTAGCGCTATACGCAATCACGAAAGCGGATACCCCCGAGCTAATGGTAGCATTTTCCCCATGACAATACAGAACAAGTGAGCTTAGACAGCACCCAAAGTGCAGCCGGAGCAGGCGTGGGTCTGTGCGAGCCTGGGCAGCGGCTTACCTTCACATCTCGCTGCAGAGCTCAGTGGCAGATGGATGGGGCCTGTCACGCCTTCTTCTGGCTGAGAAGCTGCTAGCCTCCATTTCTGCGTGCTGTTTTCAGTCTTTAGCCAGAGCCATTTTCGCGGATACCTCGCAGAGTGGTCGCGGGTCCCCCTGGCTGCGACCACCTCCTCTGCACCGCTGTGGCCGTGCAAAGGACACTTGCAAAGCCACAGAGCAAGATTACTTTTGTATTCGCGATGATATATTTTAGGGAGAAAGTGAGTGACGTGTGCGCTCCTAACATTGGTCCTTTCCGGCCTGTGTAATGTTTCCGGGTGGCGGTAGAGGGGCGCAGCGCTTTTCCCCCACTGCCCATTCACTTCTGCACAGTCTGAGTCCCATCGAGGCTAGAGATGGAGACGCAATGTCCAATACTAGAGCCAAGATGTCCAGTGATACAACTCAAAGGCGCGTATGATGGCTGCAATGTTATCTAACTGCACTTTAGGTCCATTCACAAAACTTCAGGTGTTTGTAATTGTTCTCAGCTGATTTGGGAACAAAACACATTGTTTTAAAGACACCCTTGTTTCTAACACACACACACACACACACACACACACACAACACCAACAGAAACTACCTCTGGAGAGAGAATAACGGTGCTTGGTACGTATATGATATGCCCTGGGAGAAAAGATTGCAGCAATAATCTATTAAAGCTGGAATACCTAAATTTCAAAACATAACATGAAACGTTCTGATAGTTCCTGGCTATATCATTAGTTTTCACATGCATGTATATATTATGGCATTTTTCCAGTCAAATGTGAAAAAGAGAGGACCACCCTCACTCAGCCAATCAGCTCTCTGCAAATTTAGTGTCAAATAGTGACACGCAGGGCTCTTTGTTTCATGTAGTTGCAAACGATAACATTATTATCTATTAGGATGAACAACCCTAACCCTGGTTATGATTCATTCACATTATATATTTACAAAATCTTTTCATTATTTAAAATTAAGATGAACCCAGAACTATTATATAAATTGCCCACATCTTCCATATATAGACCTACTGCTTTTCTACATTCCAGGTTGTCAAATTGCTTTACAGAACCGGTCTATTATTCACACACCAGTGCATACAAGACAAAACTACTTGCCCAAGAGCACAATGGCAGCATTAATAAGTGGCAGTGCAATCACAGCCAACAAGGAGTGGGATTCACACCAGTGCTTTCACAGCCCATTTTAGGACCGTGTTGGATTTTGCCTGAGCAGGATGCGAAATTATATCTCATCAGAATTACTTTGAGATCCGTTTGTGAGCGGAACATTTCACAATTCCGTCGTCTATATCTCCTCCATACTTAACGAGTCTTTGCTATAGTTTTTGTTGTTGATAACTCACAATAAACAAAGCATATCCTTTTAGTGTTTCACCAACTTTATTGTACAAATTCTTGGTATCCAATGGGGGTAATGCATTGAACAACAACAGAAGGGTTGCTTGAACATCAAATAAATTAATTTCAGTTCCCTTTGAGTAGCCAAGAATCACAGTCGCTCATAATGAATTCATAATGGTAAAGCTCAGACCATATTCATTCATTTCTTTCTCAACACTAAAGCTCATAACATGCTTGGTAATTCTCTCCATATTGGTGAAAAAGCTTTACCCCATTAGCCATTTAGGAAGCTGTGACAATAGAAAGACAACAAAATGGTATGAGGTTTGGCACTGTACAAGTCATAAAATACAATGCAAATAGACCACTTAAAATATTCTGATTGTACTAGCTATACAAAATACAATACGGGCACAAATTAGAGTAGACCATATATAAAATTGTGTGAATGAAGTTTGAATATGGCTTGTGAGATTTTACAGACTTTGCTACAGACCTTTAGTGGTTCTAATAAAAAACTCTAATACTATTTCACGTCATCGGTCCTGTTTCCCTGAAAAAGACTTTGCGATCAAAAGCATTCACTTCCTCCCCCGGTCCATCTAAGATTATGAGTAGAAAACATTCGCCCATGCACACAGACATCATGGCGTTGAAACTTTGAGTGAAAACCGCCCCATGAAACGTTCATTCTTTATACATCTGCAACTCTCCTCGGTCGATACATCAAAAAGGCTCATGTTGTCCGATGGTGTTATACCAGAGTGTAGTGAAATAATTGAGCTCAATAAGGCCGATGACTAGGCACAGTACGAAAGTGATCGGTGACAGTACATCCACTGCAAAATGCCTCTCAAAGAAATGGAGCTGGCATGCATTGAGATTCAAAATGTGTGGAAAAAACCAGCTGCTCATGACAATGCTAGTTTTCTTTCAACATAAAAGTATAAAAAACAAGAAACACAAAAGTCCCACTGAGTAAAATAACATCACACCATAAGATAGTTGTAATAACAGTTATAATAGTTGTAATAATCATTAATAAGCAAACTCCATCATATTCAGAACAATTACATTGAGCACTATGTATAGGAAGATTGTCCGACTAAATGTTTTCTTTAAATTTGTCGATGTGAGTGAACTAAAACCATTTCCATCTTCAAAAAATCCAAACGTCCGCAAGTCACGTGCTCTTCTCCGACCAGTCATTGGCTAAGCTTGTACAAATTTTGGTGCAAATTTAAGAATGGATTTGTGCAAAGTTATCGTGTTTTTCTCTTGTGCTTTGATAGTTAATTTTCTGTACACGTTAATACCTAATACATCATGACAATATCAACACAAAATCAAGAGAAAGAGATAGCAGTTTATATGGACTATATATTTCACGTACAGTATATAAGATAGGATAGCCCTTAGTCGTGATAAGCGTTATTGATTTTTCACTTTTCTTTTCTTTTCTTTTCTACCGATTCTGGTTGAACTTGATGTGCGATATGATACAGCAAGACCTTGGATTGAAGATGGACAGGGCATCCGTAGTCATCCGAATCTCTTGTTGGGAGATGACCGATGAGTCAGAGCAACTAAAGTCAAAAAGTTGTCTGTACATAATAGCACTGACCCGACGAATCGATTAGAAATTGTGATTGTCAGTCCAGCTTCGGAGTGGTGTTTTCTTTGTATCTCCACACAATGGCTTTGAAGGATAGTTGTGTAAAGTACAACCTTGTATTTGTGCTCTAGGAAAAACTCTGACAACAATAAAGCAAGATGCTCCCATAAACATAGCACTTTTGTTCTGTTGCTTTGTGTGAATTTCAAGATGTTTAGCAATGGCTCTTGGTTAGTGTAGCCCCTTTTTTAACACACCTGATTCCTCCATTGAACAAGCTTACATCTCTGCAACATGTAACAGTGGTGCGAATTTAAGCTAAGGTCACATGGAAATCTATAGGCAACCCAGGCATCGAATTTGTAACATTGTACATCCATTCTGTAAAGCAGTCCAGTTGAGCCACAGTCTGAAGTCCTCCAGGTCCATTTGCAAAGCTTTCAAAGAAGTTCTGTATCCATTTAGAAAGATGAGGACGGATACAACGGTCTTTCCACAGATAATCATTGTCTCAAAGTCCGTTTATAATAGTTCTGTGGTGGGCTCAAACATGACTTCTCAACATTCCTCATTCTCAAACTGTCTGGCTTTCTTTCTAGTATGGCTCCTGAGTACGTTTTGGAAAAATAAAATATATAATACTAAATTATGAAGAACAGCTCTGGCAGTTTTTCCCCTTTCTCTCCCAGTCTTTAAGTAATGGCACTGTTATTAATGGCGATATGGTAAACTTTACAAAATATGGCTGATGTAGGCTGTCACATAACAGATAATCCTCACAATAGCTCTATAATACTTTAAACTTTGTAGCTTCTTAGTACTAGTTCAGCTATTTAATTACAATATAATAGTAATTTAAATGGCCAAGCACATATTTTGTAGAGATTATATATATATATATATATATATATATATATATATATATATATATATATATAAATTAATAAACTTTCATCTAGGAGACTCTATTCTAGTCTTATTTGTTATAGCCATTGATCTAATACTTAAATGCCATTGATCTAATAGTTAAATGCAGAAGAGATACCTATCCTACCTCTAAAGAGCGTAAACTTGAATTTAGGCACTAAGCTCACACTGTCACCTCATTTTTGCTGCCAGTTCTGATTCCTTGACTCCCTCCTCCACTGCCGGATGACCCCCCGCTGCCCCCTCCTGGTATGAAGTGGAGCTGCTCTATGGTGTTCTGCCTCTTAGTCGCAAAAGCCATCCTTCTGGCGCTGTGGCCTCCGAGCGTTCCTGTTCCCATGGCTACACCTGGGGTGGATGCCTCTCCAGCCCACCCCATTCCCCCGCTGATGTGGCCAGGCATTGGGGTACTCCGCTCCTGCTCCCTCCCAGAGGTTGGGTGAGAGTTCATCTTGATCATGTGGTGTCGATCCAGGGAAGGTGTGGCACAGACATTCTGCTGAGACTGGGCTTTCTGTTGACGAGGCAAAGTAGGTACAGCGCCACTTGGCGGGTGGGCATACGGGTCAACCACTCCCATCCCTCCAACACCCATGCGCTCCTCCAAGTGGTCTGGGGACATGAGCAGCCGCTCCTCACGCTGACGATCTTGTCTGTCCTGTCTGTCCTGCCTGTCCTGTCTGTCCTGCCTGTCCTGTCTGTCCTGTCTATCCTGCCTATCTTGTCTTTCTTGCCTTTCTTGCCTGTCCTGTCTGTCCTGTCGCTCCTGAGTTTTGCGGGTTAAGGTCTGTGTGTTTGAGTTCTTGTTCTTGTAGTACTGGTGCTGCTGGTTCTTGGACATCCGGGAGAGGGTGCCTGTGTTCCCAGGAACATCCCCCATGTTGAGCAGCTGATCAGAGGACTTGACCTTCCTCGGTTTGGACAAAGTATCGTAGTTAGCATTGAACAGTGGCTCAGGAGGATCCAGGGGGTACGGGTTGGGAGTAGGAGAGGCGGGCACACCAACAGGTGGAGGTGGAATCCAGGGCCGGGCAGCGTGTCTGGGCAGGGTTCCTCTGCCGCTGAGGGTGTAGTCTCCACCCCAGTGCAGATGATACTGAGAGGACTGGAGAGCAGGCTGAGCAGTGTGCGGACGGCGCTTGGTGGTGCAATAGCCTGATGAGTACTCGTCCAGACCTTTTTCTGCAAAAAAAACATGTAACAAATATTTAATACCTATCCTCTTAACATAACTTCAGACAATTAGTGCAAAATGAATCAACAAATTTGGATAAATATACCGAGGCGTTTGAGGGAGGAGTAGCGGTTCAGCTCAGGCTTGGTGGCGCTCTCATAGGAGGGGGGCAGCTGAGCCAGGTTGTGCAGGGAGTGGTGGAAGGACGGTTGGGATTTGGTGTTGTTGTGTTTGCTGGAAAGAAGGGTTCCTCCAGCCGCCAGCTGAGCGTTGTTCATCCGAGGGGTGCGTTCTGCAGATATCACAGGGACAAAACCAGTGTGTGTTTAATGAGATCTGCTCCTCTGGATATCGCACACTGCATGAGGCAGTTTGAATCTGCTAACATTCACACTGATAGGCAGAAATCAAACAAGCTTTCATCTCTAGTACAAGCAGCCAAAGATATGATAATTACCGTTATTGTTTCGGTAAATTAGTCTACTTGTAAGCTAAAACCCAAAATGAATGAAGCAAATTCTGCATAGAGGTGATTACATGTAATTTACATAGGAGCCAGCTGCCTTACCAATAGTTGCAGTGTGTTTGGGGCTGGTGTTTGATGGATGGATGAAGTTGTGTTGCAAATTTCCCACTAAGAGAAAAAAAAACAACATACAGCAATTCGTTTAGTACATCTCCAAACTCAACTATTTTTTAGAATACAACGTCTAAACATTAGACAAATGTGTTGTGCATTTGTGAATAAGTAACTCACGTCTGTTGTCCTTGCTGGGGAGTCCAGGGGCATACATGTTCTTCTGAGTTCGTCCCAGAGTTCCTGTTCCGTCAGCCACAGTCAGAGCCACACTATTGTTCCTCTCGTCCTGCTGCACAGGGCTCGACTGGTGCCGCAGCATGTCCACCAGAGCTCTGAGAACACCAAGGCCAGGGATGAGTTCTTCTAATCAATGCAACACAATCAATTAGAACAGCTTTTTGTTGATAACCAAGCGCCACGAGGGATGACCGTGATTTGTTTTTCATTATAAAAGTTCAGAGCTGAAATATGCCTAAAACTCTCCATGCTACCACCAGAATGGGAAGTTGAATTTGTTTTGTTTTTTTCAATTTAGAAAATTAGCAGCTCCAAACACCGCTATGTGATCGTAAAGAACATAATTTCACCTGAGAAATTCCTGAAATGAATTTATGAGCAACAATTTTGAGTGTGATGTCATAGAGGTACGATTACATCATACTATTACAGGAACTGAGGCTGGAGCCTTGAGACAAGAGAGGCGGAGTTACATTTGTGCTTCTTGCAGATGCAGGAGGGTCTACGGAAAGGGAACGCCTCTTAGATGTTTTGAATTGTTGATTTTCGAATCTGCTGTGGCTAAATTAATAGTCCTTCCAGGTGACTGCTGATTTTCAGCTGCTGCCCTTCTTTCCTCTTCTTCCATCTGATAACTGACCCAGTCCTACTCTGTATACCTCTGAGATCTGGTACTGACGAGGCAAAAGAACAACCCTTAAGTGGGACATTTTTGTGGCAATGTTTTAGAATCTTACACAGTGATGTGTGCGTGCTCTTCTGTTCATTTGCATTTAATGCACTAACTTTTCACAAATAGATTATTCGACTAGTGATTCAAGTTGATTAATTTTATATGTCAAACCAAAATAAAATAAAAATATATCTATTTTTGTAAAACATTTAGATAACAGCACATGACTCGTTGGCTGCCGGAACTGAAGCATGAACTGCAGATGGATGGCCAGTAACCTTTAATAGTACCAATGTCCATTTCACACGGTCAAACATGACAGAGAGCAATATGAAGAGAAATGTTGAAGAAATACCAAACATCATATTGTGGTGAGAGCATATAATTCAAATTCAGTTTATTTTTCCATTTGCATTAAGACTACATTGGAATAATTGTGCAGGAGTACCCAGTGTGCACCACCTCTAATTCTTTACTATAAAAACAACTTTAATGCTACTAATGAGTGAATGTAGAGCGTCATACCTGGGCATGTTGAGATCTCGGTTTATGGCTTCCTGTTGCACCTTGTTGAAGACCACCTTGATGCCCACAGCGACAGCGATCATGAACACCACCACTCCTCCGATGACGAAGCCAGTGTTGTGGCTCTGCATCTTCAGAGGGTCGAAGTCTGGGTCGGGTCCCAGCTCCTCCGGGATGAACATGGTCTCTGTCTGCGTCTTGGCCCAGTCTGGGGAGTGGTAGTTCTTACAGTTGTCCTGATCTAGTTGGCGTAAGTTGTCCGGGCAGCAGAAGCGGTAGTGGCAGGTTCCACAGCAATAGATGAACGTGTCTTTAGTGCAGTTAAAAGCAGTATCATAGTGTCCCATTACATCATAGTAACCGCGGCATACATCTATCCAAACCTCCACGAGCCTGGGGCGACTTGGGGCCACCTGGGCCGCACCTAAGGGCGGGGCAAGGGCCTCTGACGACGTAACGTTCTTGGGAAACATGACTTGGGGCAGCGGCCTGGGAGGGGTCTCCAGGACTTCTTCTGCACTTTCTGGAGGACTTTCAGGGGCTTTGGACCTGTCCTGAAGAGCTGCTGGTTGGGCATTCTTCTGGATGGCGCGTAAGAGAGTAGAACTGGACTCATTGCTACTCTGTGACTGGTCAAAGAGCAGTGAGGAGGGGGCCGCAGAGGTCTCCACACAAGTGCTAAGTGGGGCAGTAAGGAGTGAGAACAGAGAGACAGCGAGCACTCGGAGACTGGTGGTGGGCGTCATTTTTACATGACTAAGAGCTCTATTTTTTGTGTTTGAGTCAATGCTGTATCCGCTTTTGCAGATTAATCCACTAGAATACCATGTGAATGTACGAGTAAACATGTAGAGTCTCTTGAAATCAGAAGTTAGACCAATAGTTTCATTCTGGAAAAATATGTTATCATTTTAAAAGTAAACTAAGGGCTTGGACGCCACACTGTCTTTTTGATATCTTCATCTTCTGAATCTTAAATATACTGCTCTGATCTTAGAAAGGATCCACCCAACGTGATGGTTTTACTGCTCAGTTGCCCCTAAAATAACAATTTGTTTGTTATTGTATTTGCCTTGCATATTTTGTATGGCATTTTACTTAATACAATAGCCTGGAATAATGAAATGCAAATCAATTATATTTATGTTTATAGCTTAACTATTTTACTCCTTTATTACAATTAAATTAAAATGTTGTTATGTGGTCTTTACATTAGTTTAACATTTGACTGCAGCACAGCAATTTGATTCTGAAGCGTTTTCAGTAGTGGCCACCACTACAGACATTTTCTTGATTCTTGTCTAGGATTTCAGGAAAGTGCTCCAGTTCTTTTCTGGCACAGACTGTTACTGTGATGGGGCTGGGTGCTAATGAGTGAGCCTCAGCCTAGGTGCTAAGACACTGTAAGAACTGAAAAGTATGATCAAGCAGAAACCAACAAAATAATTTGCAGTTTGTGAGATCCATCTTAAAGGTAAACTAAAGTATTTTTGGACACCACTCAGATCTTTAAAGATCTACAATCATGTTTTGACATACAAGTTGTCCGTGTCATTCAACTGGCTCGCTGACAGCTCTGAAGAGAACATGACATTGTTTCAGATTTGTCTCTGGGTTTAAAGAATATCACTAGAGAAAAAATGAAAATGTGTGCCGTTATTGTGTTGGAGGTGATGGCAATAATAGACAGAGGCAGATCTGTCTCCCACAGAAATTATAATGATATGTAATTATGAAAACGTTCCTATCTGTAGGAACTGAAGGGAGACAAATCACAGGATCCTCTTGTTTCTGCTCTTCTAACCCTACAAGAGTTCAAGCCCAATGCTCCATCCTCCCACTAATGTTCTTATGTTCTTCTGCCCATCCTAAATTATGTTATGTGTCTTTTCCACAAATGTCGGCCAGTGTGTTCTGGAAAACAGAAAAAACAAGACCACCCAAATAAGTACATTCAAATAAATCATATTTTTGTTGAATAAAGAAGAAAAAGATAAAGTAAAGATAAGTTAAATTTGCAACAAATCAACTATTGTGGCACGTTGAAATGTTTGTCCATAACAATTATTGTTGCTGAAGGAACATAGCGTATACAAAATGTCAGTGATAGACAGAGAGGGAGCGGAGATAAATGCAGGGTAGGGATTTAAATAAGCAAAAGAGATTGTGGCGAGCGGAGAAGAGCCAGAGGTATAGAGATGCAGGAGAGAAACGACCATGAGTGGGAGGGCGGTGTGTGGGGGTGGCACAGAATCAAGAACATTTCTCCCAGCAATACCAATACAACAGCAATTCACACAACAGCAAACATATCCTGAAAACCATTAAATCAGACCAGTGACTTCAATCTACATCTTGAAAAAAAGTCTTTTAGGAGAACACTATGGAAATAAATATGGAAATATTTCACAGCTTGGCCTGTCGTTATAAATGTATCTCATATCAGTCCCTGGCTCTTTCCCCTTATTCCTATATCTCTCTTCACGTATTTCCCCTGTTCTGTCGTTCCCTCTTTCAAATTCGGTGCGTGGGTTGAAGCAGCTAACTCTCTCAGAATAGCACTGCAGCTCTGTCTGTGTGAGTGAAACAGCCAGGAAAATGAAAAGAAAAGGACAATCCAATATGCGGCCATTAGCCCGACCACCTCCTCAAAGTCAGAACCTGTTCTGACTTTGTTCTAACATGATGACTCAGTGAATCCTTATCAATCTACCTTTTGTGTTCATAGATCTGAGCATCACCGATGAATGTTTTAATAAACATATGGAGTATGCTAATGTAAAAAACAAAACAATAATATTTTGAATTGGAAATGCAGTTGCTGGTCAATTGCATGTGTCCTGCAATGCAAGGATGAGTTTGGGGAATGAGAGGGTGATGAGCTTTGGACGCTTCCCTGCTTTACTTGGATGCCAAAGGGCCGAGTTCGAACATTCCGGAATTGTAATCGAATGAATGAAAGCAAATAAGGTGCAAACACCCATTGCAGCAAAGTATAGAGCTGAGCGTATAACCGCATTTCAACAGGTGTTTGCCGAGGAGAAATCAAAATGGCTTCCTGTGACCAAATACCAATATGAAAAAATAACTATTATTGTAACAACTGTGGAAGCGAGGCGATGCTGAGGATTATTGCGTTGCACCTTCGGCTGCAGCAGTTTTTTTGTTTAGGAATAAATGCTGCGCAATGTCTTCGCATCATCCAATTGGTTTACGCACCAGCTCTTCAAACAACAGGCGTTTATGAGTTCACAAGTTGCTCACAATGTACAATCTCGCTCTTAATGGACATGGCTTGCAGCAGGCTCAGTGCGTGGGTGTACCCGTACCGGTGTGTGAAGTCCATTGTACGTGTTTTCTTTATATCAACCCTACTTCAGTAGCAATAGTTGAATAGTTCCAATGTGATAAGTGGCATGTTTGAATGCAAAAACGGTCGAGTATGCATTTTGTAAAATGGAATTGCATAGCGCAGCTTTCAGTCTGATGTTTTGTTTGACAGCCTCCAGCGCATCTCATGCGTAAAGATACAAATTACATTCCTCAAAGACAAAGCAGGCAGTAAAGGTTATTTCTGAAGTGTTGCTCCGTGAATTGCGAAGTACAGTTGTGTAAAAGTGAAAGGTGCATAATGTCGTGTCTTACCTGTGCGTTTGCTGGGGTCTAATGCTGGAGGAGCGCTGGAGAGCCTGCGCACTTCACTCACTGTTCTTTTGCCTCTAGCACAAGATTTGGACAGCTTGGGCTGTAGATGCCGAATCTCCTTGTACCAATGTTATTCCCATTTACAAGTCATCCATTTTCATGTTTTCAAAAACGACAATGTGGCCTAAAAAGGTTTGCTGGTGCCTATACGCAAAAAGTATAAAAAACCCAGATTTACATCTACGTGGATTGATTTGAGAAGTTGCCGAGCGGTGCGCCAAAGCTGAAAAGTCAAATGTAACTTTCGTGTGTCTGGTCCACAATAACGCTGAGATGCTGAGATGCTGAGAGACGCTGAGAGACGCTGAGGCACCGCTGCAGTCGGCCTCGCGCTGCTCGGCTCTGCACGCCTCTGATTGGTCGCTCGCGCTGCTGAGATGAAGCTCTCTCGCGCTTTTACAGACTAAAGTCTTTAGACCTCATTCAACTGGTGGCGTAGCCTTTTCGTTTACTATGCGCTACACATGTTCATATACATTTATCTAAAAGGAATCAGGGTGCAATTAACGACACCAAAATAATCATCAATGATGCCTGTTTACTCTTTTGCCAGAGCTCTGAAAACCATGAAAGTAACATCAATTAAAATGACTTAACATTAACACCTATGCATTCACGGGGACCTCTGAGACTGAAGGTCTGGCTGGGTTTTCTTCGTGAGTTACAGCGAAAAGAGACAGAGAAACGGTTGCCACAGCAACTGTGTCATTATGTTGGTGGCAATTATGAAAGCGATAAAAACGGGGAAGGGGAGAGGATTGGCGCAAAAGCTTTAACACTGGAGCGTGAACGAAACTGTCAATTAGTCCCAGTTCTACATTGGCATTTCAAATGTGTGTTTATTCTGGTTCTAGGACATGGACAGATGACCATATAGAAAAGTGTTATGACATTCATTGCAGTGTTGCAACATCTGCAATGAATCCACATGCAAAAGGAAGAAATCTTCATAGTTTGAGCCACTGCCTGTAAATAAGTGGAAGGTTGGTAATATTCATGGGATTGAAATGTGTGAAGGGGTTCCTGAGTGCTGTCTAAGATAGCCTTGATAATTACCTGCATGGCAGGCAGTTATTTGAGCACAGGTGGGTGGGATGCTTGTCTGCAGAGGCCAGTGGAGCCCTGACGCTCCATCGGGGGCACTTTCACGCACAGGCGTGGATGCAATTACAGAATCCTTTATAACGGCTATTCCATCACTGCAGAACACTAAACAAAATGAAATTGCTCACCTCGCAAGCTCATGCAGCTTTATGGAAATAAACAGCATTGAGAATTGCACGTAACACAAAAGCATTACCATAATGCGACTTGATTTTTAGTTTATTAATGTATATCATTTAAAGATATCTTTCAGTCAGTATATTGGAGAATCCTGACTGAAAAGAAACATTAAAACATATGGCCGTTGAATATGGATACCCCCTCAGCTTGTTACATGGCATGACACACACACTTATATTTCTGATTTTCCCCAGTAAAAAAAATATACTTTCACAACCAAAGCTCTCCCAACCCCCTCCCATCTCCAGATGTTCACAAAACAAACTAATTCGTTTTCGGTTTAATAAGAGCATTACTGCGCAGTACACAGTACCATCACAGCAGAAAAGAGAACTGTTAAACAACAATGATCACTGCAAACCTGACTTGACCCATGTAACGGATAGAGGTCTCAGTAAAAAACAATTTGTATTGTCCTGCATTTTTAGAATAGACTATGGTAAAAATACAACTTTTTTTGTAACCTTCAAATAAATTCCAATATCAGGGTTTATGAGAAGTCCAATGATTATAAATGGGACAGACTTGATGGAGAAGTACAAAGTGGCCTCTGGTAGAAATAGTGAAATGACAGTTGCAAACACACTTCAATGTTAACATACACGCACACACACACACACTCACTCACACATTAGAACAGAACATTAAAGCCGCCTTAATGCACGTTTCTTATCTGCTTTCTTTTTCCCTGCTACACTATTGTTGCTACTGCTGTTGGTATTGCTGCTGTTGGCGGTGCTGGCTCCATTCCCCAGAGGTGCTGGTGTTGCGACTGCGCTGGGTCCTGCTCTCTTCGTGGGGTCTCCTGCATGTTTCTTTGGCTGAGGGCCATCGTTAGGGTCCTGGTGGGTCCCTGAGGTGCCGCCAGGGCCACCCATAGCATGGATTTCTGTTAGCAACCGTGCTCGAGACTCATATTCTGCATAGTCCTCCAAAAGTAGCCGCCCAGCCTCTTCATTCAATGCAGACTCAGGATTTGGATGGATAAGCAGACACTTTATAGTCTGAAAAGAACATAATTATTACTAAAGAAATATGAGGACAAAGGTGGTACATGTGATTTGGTCTTACAAGTAAAACATGTCTGAGGCCAAGCTCTGCCTTCCAGTCCCGCTTCAGCACGTTGACACAAATTTCACCTTTGTGGCCGACATTGGGGTGAAATATCTTGGTCAGAAAATACCCCTTGGGTGGAACAGCAGGGAAATCCTTCCCGAGGACCAGCCGCATTCGGAAAATGCCACCAGCAAACGGAGTTCCCTCTGTCAGAGTATTAAGTATTTATTACAGAAACAGTATGGCCAGGCTAAAGAATTGAATAAAATTATGGGGGGGTAAAAACTCAATGATAATAATTGAAAATAACATGAGAAAGCTTAAGGGGCAGAAACCTTTAAAAAAAAATTGAAATCCTACAAACATTTTTAAAAGTATGGATAGATTTAATTTAAAAGTATATTGATTTGTTCAGTAACTTACCAGGTCCTTCAATGGATGTAAGCAGCTCTGTTATGTCTTCTTCACTAGGGTAAATTTTAATTCCCTCAGGGGGGTCTGCTGCCAATGCTGATACCTCTTTATAGACCAAGCGAAGAACCTGAGGGGGCAAATTCTCCACATTGGAGTTCTGGAAAGAGAAACAAAAATAAGCGGCTTCATTATCTACTTCAAGGGGGGGGGGGGGAAATTGCATCAGCAATATTGATTGATGGTTTATTAGAATTAAATATTGATTTGATGCATTATTGATCCCATGGTATTCTAATAAAGTATATAATAGTTTATGAAAGGCTTTAATAAAAACATGTATCATATGTTGTAGTATTTTAATTATAATAGACTTTCAGAAAGTCATTTCAGCAAATGAAAAAAAACATTTTGATCCATAGAAAAGAAAAACATTGTGGCAATAGAAGAGGTGCACTTGTGTGCAATGTTGAGAATTCACAAAACGCTTTTTCCTAACTTTTGACCGTTGGCAGAACATACAATCTTATCAATAAAACAAAAGTCAAACAATCACTCTGGGATCAAATATTGAGCTAATCAATAATGAGTAGTACGTTATATAAAAATAAATCGGAGGTTTGGTTACAAATTTTACATTAAAAAGGCAGGCAAGAAATTGAATCACCATTTACTGGTCTTAACTACACAGCTCTAAAGACAGCCCTTCGGCAAATGGTAAATATATACAATATCTTCACCAGAAAAATAGTTAATCATAAATGTTCTATAGTCAGTGAAACAGGCGACAGCCTGAGTTGAATACAATAATAAGGAAAAAATAAAAGTATTAATCCAAGTGTATCTCAAGGATTAACGCTATATGATGTTAAATGACGTGCGTCTATGTTAGCAACATAAGTAGCAGTAGTAGTAGTAATTAGTAATCTTTCTCGAGCTCTAACACATTAACTACACGTTAGCTAACGCTAAATAACCCATGGCATCATAAAGTCAGACTCGGTCAGCAAAACTGGGTATTATTCTCCCCCTTAAATCTATTTAGTTTATTTATAATCTAACTTCATACGTGTGTTCAGCCGAAGATTGCAGCCTCAGTGGAAGCTCATCATCAACGCAAGCTAACACCTCCATCTACTTATTTATTATTCCATTAAAACAGGAATTGTCTACTCACACGCACCACAGTGGTCATGTTTATAGATATATATACAAAAACAAAATTAATAACTCATGTAGGTAGAAATGTCGACCATACTTGAAATTAAAAAACGACTGATGGCTAATGCTAACACCGAGCTAGCTAGCAATTAGCATTTTAAAAATCCCTTTAGAGAACTTACCATCTTCAAGAACACGTCTGCTGAGTTGGCTGTGGTCTTTGGACGAGCAGATGTTAAACTTTTCAGAATGAACGAAAATGTAAAAGGTTCAGTAGTAGTGTGTCTGAGGGTTGTGCTTTAAATGGTTTTCTTTTGGTTGACACAGGAACAAAAATACGACCCACAGTTTAACCTGCGTCAACGGACCAATGGCAGGGGGCGTTTGATGTTACGCTACTGACGTACAGCCAATCAGAGCTCAGGATTCTATCTGCGAAACAATGGTTTTCGCTATCATCCAAACAGAGGCTCAAGTATCAGACAGAGGCAGTAGATTGGCCCGTTTGAAAAACTCACACCTCCTCCACCTCAGACAAGACCATATAGACTGTACATATTCAGCATATAAAACTTACAAACATATTAGCATAAAAGGCACAAAATATAACACGTTATTACCGAAATATTCTATTTATCTATTTAATATGCTATATTTAGTCTCTTGTGTTATCTGTTATGCAACATTGAAATTTTCACACTTTCGAATGAATAAAATATGTCTATTTTACTATATTATTGAAACCAGGTTTACTCTTCAAACCATCTCTATGTCCTACCCATAATTTCTGTGAAAAACACTTTTTTGTGTTTTTACTTGTTTCTTTTTCATTAGTTCCCATCAGAACATAGAGCTGTGGGACCATGTGGTTAAATGCTACACTGGTAAGAAAATTGTAGAAACAATTATTTTAGAAAATAGATTTTACAATATGCACCATTCACTTAGTACACTGAAATTAGCCTAGATCTAAATCAGGAATGTCCAAACCATAGCCAAACTAAGGCCCGTGGGGAAATTGCGGCTCTCTGTTCACAGTGCAATCCACTTCAGCTCAGTCAATATAGGGATGGTAGCTTGCTGTAAAGCTCAGTCCCTCTGGAATTCACCTGCTGACTTTATTTGTATTAAATAAAATTTGTTTTGATTGTTACAACAGTCCTTTAATGCTGCTCATGTAGTTGATGAAATGGTCAATTATAATTTAGCCATTTGTCATTCCATTTTGTGTTGTTTGAAAGTTCAGTGTCCCAGCTTAAACCAGAACTTGTTGAAGGCTTTACAACAGCTGAACAGCTGGAGAAAGGAAGCTTTCAGCTGTTGGACACCACTGAAAAGTTGTTAGGTGAAATTTTATGTAGTCAATGAACGCCAGCAGAGGAAAAAATATGAGATGGGCATGGCACTTGTAATGGTGAAGCTGGACATACTGTAGTGGCCAACGCTTCACAGGTCAAAACTAGAGAGGACAATCTGGTGAAAGAGGTGGAAGTGCTGTAGAGTCTCAGAGCAACAGACAATCAGAAGTCCACGAGAGCCCTTAAAGTCAGTTATTGTTCTACAAGATGCGCATGAACTAAGCATCCAACAGTTTGACAAACAGCTCAAGTTGGTGAAGTTGAATTTGCTCAAAAAAACAAGAAGCAAGAAGAGGTTCAGGAGAAGATCTTAGTGCTCCAGTAAATCTAGGACAAAGATATAGAGATGGACGTGATGAGAGATGCGATCAACAAGTCCAACAACCGAGGGGATCAAGCTAAACCTGCAGATACAGGAGGCTCAGGAATCCATAAAAGAGGTTCAAACTCCAAACGGAAAAAATGCCGATCGATTTCTGAATGAGCTGAAGCAGGTGTTGGAGCGGGAGAAGCAAGAGAAGGCTGCTTTTTTGACAACATGCGTAGACCTCAAACAGGGACAGAGGATAGTAAAGCAAGCATGTTCTCTGCTGGAGGTATAGTTCAGTGCTTTGACCCAAAAGCTAATGGAAACAGAAATAGACTACTCCCTGTTGTTACAATACAATACAATGTATTCGTGTATAGCCCTAAATCACAACAGCAGTCATCTCAGAGGACTTAACAAAACCATTGAATCAAAGAATCTACAGTTAAGGCACAAAATATACACATATGTAGGCCATAGGGAGTGACCAATGTCCATGAATGTTAGAAGACTGATTTTGAAAGTCAGAAGTTTGGCTTGATTCATTTTTACACGTTAATTACTTCCCTGTTGTTCCAGGTCGACATCCCATTTAAATAAATAGGTCTGCAGTGTGATGCCTATTATTTGTTTCCTTAGCCCAGGTGCTGGAAAATTGTGCCAATGTCCAAATATTTATGTAGCTGATAGCCTTATGTATTAATGACCAAGCTGATAATACAGCATTACAGATATGAATAAATATCCCATCTATGTCAAAATTCCAATGAAATGTGATCACCTAAAGCTGTGTTTCCGAAACTTTTTGTAGCCGTGGCACACCTTTTTGGTTGAAAACACTCACATGGCAGACCACCAGCTGAAACTGATACAAATATGAAACTTTGCAGCTTTTAGTGTGAATTTTAGTACTTTATTTTATTTTCACATTATTTTGACCCATTATGTGATATTGGAATATTTCCCAAGGCACACCAAACAACGTATGAGATGGTCATTTGTCATTTAGCCAACTTCAGCTCTGTCATAGCTCATTATAGAGCTCAGAACAGCTTAAATCGAGTCAAAGCAGTTTTACAATCCGTGATGTGGGCCCCTGGACAAGCCTGGTTAACTAAAATGGCCTTCTTACTTATAGTTTGAGCACCCATGTAAGTAAATCTTTAGCGCCTTTCACAGACCAGAGTCACAAAGCGCTTTACAATTGTTGTGGGAATTTGTCTCTCACTCCACACAGAGATGGAAGTGGGGTAGCCGGTACACTATTGCATTCATTTTTAGGTGTCGGGGAAACCGGTGCACCTGGAGGGAAACCTACGCAGACACGGGGAGAACATGCAAACTCCAAACAGAAAGTCCTGGAGATGGAATTGAATCCTCGACCTTCTTGCTGTGAGGCGAGCGCTATCCACTGCTCCACCATGCTCTGCTCTATAAGAATGTGCTATTTATTGGGATAAACATTAATCAACATGTGTCCATGTAAACATGCCAGATTTATCCGTGAAGGCTATTCTAATCAAAATTATGTGATAAAGCATTATTCATTTTCATGTGATACGATTGACAGCCCAGGGCATAGTGATGATATGGAAATTATTTGCTGAAGAGAAATTGCAACAATAAGCTTTAGGTCAACAATATTGATGTAAACGTATTTCTCTGTATATAAATGTATTTGAAGATAATTACAAAACACATTTAGGCTCATTTCTAATTTTAATGAGGCTACCACTCATTAAAAATGTCTACACTCCCCAAAAAAATCTTAAATTTAACTAGATCTTGGCTCTAAAGCAGTTTGGGTATTTAACAAGTTTTCACATGCATGTGTTTTAGTGAAAAAGAGATGACCAGCCCTCACGTAGTCAATCAGTTTTGTATATAAAATATTTTATAATAAGATAAAGGCAGCCTGCTGTGGTCTGGTTTATTAAAAACGACTTAAACAATATAATTTCTGTTGGGAAATATCCAAAACGTATTTATGCAACAAACTAACATCAGCTGGGTATTATAGCTTCTCGACACTAGATGGCGATGCAACATAAAGTCACTGATGTTGCTCACGGAGGAAATAAGATTTCCAACCATTTAATTGTATGTATTAACTGTTTATATTTAATTCGTTGTAAGAGTTCAAAATGAATCTGACTCTTGAACGATTTATATAATTTTACTAAAATCACCGCCAGCGATGTTTACAACAACACGATCGCTGACGGTCACTTCCGGTTTGGATGTGACTGTCAGTGCCCTGCATCTTCTCTCTTGGAAATAGCTTTATCAGCAGGTCAGTTGATTTTTCTGAATCCCTGACTGCTATCCGAAACTTTGATTGCGCATATAGCAGTATTACTATCTCTACACTCCATATTAGTTCATTATATTGCTAGCTGACTTTTGAATTGATGCTAGCTTCCTCATAACACCACAGCTAACAGTAACTAACAGTATCACTGGTGCCTGCTCTGTTTAGTTGAGGACGTTAATGTGATGTAGTTATATTTTACAGCATGAATGAAGGAGAAGTGTTTCATGAGAAGCAAAGGTTGGAGTTTTGCGCGATCCACGCTCTGAACAACGTGCTGCAGGAGCGGGTGTTCACCAAAGAGTCTGCGGATGACATCTGCAAAAGGTTTGGAACAGTTTTCATTTACGGTACTGTATGATGATTCACGACACCTCTTAATCTGCGTTTAGGCTAAAGCAGAGGTGTCCACACGTTTTAGTAAGAGGGCCACTTTACTTTAACCAGGAGCTGATCCCAGATTGTAAAACTTATTTGACTGGATTCTAGCTGTTCTGAGTTGTATAGTTAGCTATGACAGAGCTGAAGTTGGCTGAATGACAAATGACCTTCTCACCAGCCACATTAGCACCATTAACGGAATTTTGTGGCGCAATCAAAAACAATTTATATTATGTACAAATAAACAACAGCAGAAAAGAAGCATTTTCTTCAGCAGTATTATTAGTTTTGCCTTCATCCAGTGGTTGCACCTCACAGAGCGTTCATTATACTGTGTGTGTCATGTGTCTGTGCTCTTGAAGCTCCGAGCATTTCAAGCCTCCCTGTTCAATGCCTGACCTAATTCCTGTTTTAGTTTCATTCACAGCACAGTTATTAGTCGGTGAGAAAATAGGATCAGCTGTGTTGGAATCATGCAGGTGGGAAATAAATAGTCACTTTGATAATTTTGAAACCGATATGAAATAATATATGGAAAATAGTCATAGCCTAGTCAGTAAAAACAGCAGGAAGAGAGAATATTTCTGCTTGAAACTTGAATCTTCACAACCAAGACACTTGCTATCTTTTTGATGAATGTAGATAAGGTCACAACAGTGAATCTTTTGGCTAAAAAATAGTTTTTTTTCCCCTCTTTTGGCAGGCTTGCTCCACAGTGTATGGTGAATCCTCATCGCTCAGTGTTGGGCACAGGGAATTATGATGTTAACGTCATCATGGCGGCTCTGCAGTGTCGAGAGCTGGCTGCAGTGTGGTGGGACAAACGCAGGTGAATGTAATGCAAGGCTGCCTCAGAGTCTGTATATCACTGCAAAAATAGTTACTGTAGAAAAGGGGGCTTTGATTTTTGGAGATTGTGTTATTGAATATTACACAGTTAAAATAATTTAAATGTAGTTTGATATTTATTATTATTATTGAAGTTAGCAGCAGTTTTATACAGTAGAGTAGAAATAATTGTTTTAAATATAACTGTATACATTTTTGGTTGGTTTTGTTGCATTTTTGATTTATATATACAGCATTGAAAAAGTCTTGACAAGGTTTCAGTCAAACTCAACCAAACTTGAAACTAACTGGTATTTAATTATTATAATATAATTATAATGATAATCGTTGGTTTTATATGGAGCCTATACATTTGAACACAAATGTAGTCATTACTTCAATCATGTTTTTGCAGCAATGGTATTATTTATTTCATGTTTTTCAGAGCAATACAGAGTCTTTGTGTATCGAAGGTCCTCGGGTTCATCCTCAATGTCCCGTCGCGTATCTCTTTGGGGATTGTCTCACTCCCGCTGCGACGGCGGCACTGGCTAGCTGTTCGCCAAGTGATGGGACAGTACTACAACCTGGACTCCAAACTGAAGAACCCCGTCAGTATCGGAGGAGAGGCCAACTTACGGTTAGTGCAACATACAGTGGGACAGAATAGTTTTGGTTTTTTTTTTTTAATGAGGGAGGCCTGTAATTTTCATCATAGGTATTAGTATATAAGTCTTAACAGCTTGATGGTTATAGTTAATTGGTTTGGATGGAAAGAATGGTAAATGCAGAGGAGTAAGTGGTTAAAAACCATCTTGGCTCTGTGACTCTGACTCTGAATCACATGAATCTGACATGACTCTTGTTGCTGGAAACAGTGGCGCGCTGTTCTTTATGTTGTTATTCTGTTTGTTTGTCGTACACAGCACTTTTCTCAGTGAACAGCTTTCTCAGGAAGTGGCCGAGATGCTCTTAGTCGTGCGAAGAGATGTGGAGGAGGACGGATCGTGGCTGATAACAGATGACCTCAAGAAGTGATGCCTTGTCAATTATTATATCTTTATGAGCATGATTCAAAATGATATTCAATTTTTTATGGACATGCTCAAAATAGAACATCTAGTTCAGGAAATGCACTCACACAAACTCCAAAGAGAAGCAAACGTGGAGACTGGTCCAAACTAACCCATTGTATTCGCATCTGTGAAATAAATATTTACATTCTAATACATCGGAAACAGTGTATGGAGCTAAACAGTGAGCAGAGTTCTTCTGGTTTTAATAGTAAACAAGCGTGTGTACTACTGTCTATCCATACTATCTAAACCTCTTTTCTCTGCAAGCCAAAATTATAGTGCGTCAGCGGGCTGAGGACCAAACCTATTTGTATTTTTTGGGACAATAATAGTTTGCAATGATTTTTAAAAAGATTACCGGTCAAGTTATTAATATCTTGAACGTTGGAAAAAATTCTCCTGCCTTATAAAGCGCCTAAAACTATTTAAGGTTTTAATCAACAAGTCTTTGCCCACTATTGAGTTCCACAGTGCTCTACTTACCTGCCTGTAGTCGTAGCATCACACCACAGAAACCTTTCTATGCACTGCATTTCATTTGCTCTTGGTTTCATTTGTGTGTTTCTTAAAAATACCCCTTGTTGCCATGAAGGCCTCACTTTTTATTTCTGTTTTGTGTCTGTTACAGCGTTAGGCTGTGTCCACACCATGGATGTATGGTTCTCACTTGTCCTAGGGCTTGTTTTTTGGTTTAATTCAGATATAAACCTAGTTTTATTTGGTGCATGTATTAAAGTGAACGCACCATTACAAACCATCTGTACCCATGTAAAGTTTACTTTCTAATAATGTTGTGATTATTAACACATGTATGAATACTAAACAACTTATTCCTGTGTTTTGAGATACGATTGTAAAAGAGACTGATTTATTTTTGTTTTGAAACTAGCAAAAAACAGTGTCTTGTGACGTTGGTGGCTCCTCTACTTTACTATGCATATCCAAAGACAATGTTTGTTGTTGACACTAGTGAATGAAACCATATGCATAATAATCCTGTTTATAATATTCAAAATGTATTTATATTAAAGTTGTGATTTTGTAACATTGCGGTGCTGTTGCGTTTCTTCACAGAGATAAGTCAATTGAATTTCAAGTTATTTTAAGTTATTTTTATTTATATATTAGACTCTTGAGTGTAAAAGGATGCCATTCAAAAGGAGCATTGGTAATACCTTACAAACTCAATTGAAGGGTGAACAATGTTGGTTGGTAAGAACGGGGGATCGATGATTTCTCCAACATACCATAACATATATACACAAAACAGCGTGGAGAAGTTCCAGAAACCCAATGCTATATATAGTGTTTATTGCTAGTTACGGTAGGGCCACTGCAGCACCAGTAGCAGTATATTGCTGTGTACCTGTTGTCAGTGGAAGGGAATTTTAGTTTTTCCAGTTTGTAGTTCTCCATGGTATTTAACCAGGGCCTATTGCGCCCCACATTTTTTTATTGAAAGGTTCATGATTATATAGATATTATAGACAGTGAGCTATACAGAATACCATTAGGTAAATACGAGGAAAGTACAGAAATGCCATCTATATATATATATATATATATATATATATATATATATATATATATAAAAAGTAAAAATTCAAAACAAAAAATACTGCGTGAGGAAACGGCATAACCATTCACAGAAAAAAATGTGTCATGTTGCTATCAGCGGCAGTGCTTTTCTACAACAATATTTATATAAAACGTAAAAATAAAATGTTGGAATATTAAAGAAAGCCAGAGGTGGGCAGTAATTTGTTACATTTACTTAAGTAACATATAAACTCAAAACAATTGTACTTCAGTAATTTTCTGACACCATATATTTAACTATTTTGAATACATTTTTCTGTTTTGGTCAAAGTCTAAATATAGATATACTGTATGTGTTGACAATATTCAATGACACATCTTTCTCATTTTTCTTACATCTTGTATTCAATTTGTCATGTTTTGTTTTCATAAACCAGTTGTAAAGTCCCAACAGTTACTTCCATATCCTAATCTTGTTTTCTCTTACTTCAGTACAATTCTGTTACTGCTGCCCACCTCTGAAGAATAGAAACGACATTGCAGTAACTCCATACCATCTGAACTGCTCATCACTGTTCACAGTTTACACAGAAGTTTCACAGACATGGGGTAAACACTTTGACTTTCCCCCGATCCTCCAACATTTACGCAGTCCCGTTGCTTTTAAGTGCTTTTTTTCAAAGAACAATACTCAGTGGTTCAGTTGTTACGTTTCATAGATCTCACATCTAGCATTCAGCTTATTTAGATTAGTAAGTTTTCTTTTCAGTAAAGTGTCCATTCATATGAAAACTAAACATTTTTTCTATACAATTCCTAACAAAAAAAAATATTCAACGTGAATACAAGTTCCTTGAATGGGCAGGGTTGGGGTGTGATTGACCTCCCCCATATCCAGTCAGCATGCTGGGAGAGTACTGTTTCCAAAGGGGTGTGCGAAGAGTCGAAAGGGCGGGACATAAGAAGAAAGGGGAAAAGAGAGAAAAAGACAAGTTATTTAAAACATTAATCAAACATGTACATTTTGCTTTCTTAAAACTAAAAAGAGCAGAGCACTACATTAGCATATAAATGAACCCAGGGGTGTCTAAACAGTTTTACTGTATGGTTTTCTGCTTACTGAACCAGAACCAGAATCAGAATCCTTTTTATTGCCATGTGAATAACAGGAAGTCGCAAACTAGGAAATTGCTTTGGCTCTCGGTGCAAACAAGTTAAATCAGAATAAAATCAAAGGCATGCATAAATAAAAATACATAAATACTGAGAATGTTCCACCATTACTTAAAGCCAGGGTACCTTGGGATTAAATAATACAATAATTTTGTTTCCATCACTAGTTTTCACATGCATGTATTTTTGCTTTAGATCCGATTTTTCAGACATAAAAGTGAAAAATAGTAGCCTCAGCCAGCCCATCGGCGTCCAATAATGACTTACTGGGCACTTATGCAAAAGAAATAACATACTTTTACTAGACTCTCTGTGACAAACCTAATGCACAAAGACAGTTAGGTATGCCTGCTTTAATTGTAGGTTTTAAAGGTGCACTATAAAACCCCTTCACAGATATGAGCTGCACCTCATTTAGCATACATACTTCTAACACCATACTGTGGAACATTCCAGGAACAAGAATGACTTTTTTACATCAACAAAGCCTTAATATCAAACATACACTATTTTTCTCTGCACCTTAAAATGAGAACTATAATATTTTTATTTTAAAAACAAACTCCTCATGTTGGAAAATTCGCCAGGAACCAAGAAATTGTGTTCTGAGGGCCACTTTGGCACTCGGATCATAGTTTGGACACCCCTGGCATAACCGATCACTGAGAACAAAACAATGTCACATATCACTTTTTGGCTGCAATTAGAGATAGTGACACTGACAGAAATGAATACCACAATATGTCAGTCTTCAGTATCCAGAAATGAATCATGTCAAACCAAGATAAATGTGTTTAAAAAAGCCTTTAAATTATGTATGAGCTGAGAAGCAGTTTTATTCACTTTATCATTCGTCTTAATTGGAAGGACAACATTGGAATGGAATACAATGCGGATGTAAAAAATGACCCATGGATGAGGATATTTCCAAGCTGATAGATGTCAGTTGTCAGCTGGCACCAGACTAATGCTAAGCTAATTAAAAGGCCCAGAGTGAGAAAGCTCTCATTAAATGACGTCGGTAAACAAAGAGTTAAGCCTCTGTCCATTTCATTAATTTGAGCGTCTATCGAAGCAGCAATGACCAAATGGCAGAGATCACAAGAACAGAGGAACTCACAGAGGGGGGTGGGGACTGCCTGTCAGTCAGGGGAAGGCTCTCATAACCAGGGTTGCCATTGGAGGAAACGTTTTGAGTCCTGTATAGAGATAGAAAGAGACAAGGACAGAGGAGGAGGAGGATGAGGATGAAGAGGGAGATCGGGGTCAGACACATCAAGAAAAAAAGGCAGGGGAAGCCGAGGTGCGACAGGGACCAAGAGGAAGAAGGATAAATATTGATTAGAAAAACTCTATAAATGTGGATCAAATGACGCTGAACAAAACCTATAGATTAGCACTGTGGCTAGAGCATACATTTTAGTGTCAATTGTAAAGTGCCATTGCAATAATAATAATCGAGCATATTTGTGCTTGTCCATGATAATCAAATTCTCAACACAAAAGGTGTATTTTGCACATTCAAGAATTAAAAAAACAAAACACATGAATGACAATATCAAAGTTAAAAAATATATTTATATCATAGAAGTTTTACATTTTAGATTTTTTTTCTGATTAAAGGTGATGTCAGTAACTTCAATTGCATTTCATTGTTAAAGGAATGCATATTTCTGACCTCATGACCCTTTACTATCATCAATTTGCATTTTAAAAATAAATACATATATATTTTAAATAGTCCCTTCTTTTGGTCCATCATCATCACCATTTAGATTTGCTGGAGGAGAATAGAATGATCAACGGGGAGGGTTTGTCTTTGTCCAATCAGAAATTTGTGTCGGTGAACATGGGTGGGTCTAACTGGCCGTTTTATAAATATTCTCTCCGTCTTCACAGTTTGAAAAGTCACTGACATGTACCAATCAGAAAGTAGAAGGAAAGCTTTCTTTTTGTGTTGCCAGATCTAATGATACCTTGTATTTTTTGTAATTATAATGGCATACATACAGTAAACCGTGAAAAAGTGCTGTTGTTAGTATTTAATTCATATGCATTTATTGCTAGAGAACCACCGGTAAAGGGTTAAATAGGAAAATATATTCAGGAATGTGGAAAAGGGTCAAAATAAAAGGGCGATGAGCAGTAATAGCAAAATGCAGCAGAAGATAGAGTTGGAGAGAGGAGGTCCGATGAAGGACAGTGTTGGGAGGGTTACCTATTGGACCCTGAGCCTCACCGCGCCGCAGGAGTTTTTAAGCCGTGACAATGACTCAAAGTTCAGTGAAATGAGCGAGTGGCACTACATCGTCTGTCCTGAAACCAACATCCGGATAGACAGACACACAGACAGACAGACAGACCTGGAGCTGAGTCTGGTTCTGCCTACACTCTGCTCTACGTGCTGTCTGTGTGTCCGTCTGTTGCTCCATCACTGCACTATGTCTGTGTCTGTCTACTCTCCCATGTCCATGTGAGTCTGCCGTGTCTATGCTGAGAGTAACTGTAGCGTTACACTGTTGCTGCTGACTAATCATGACTTATTAGTATTTATTTACTCGTATCTGGTGTTTCTAGTGAACTATTGTGTGGGGATTATACATGTATGAACAAACTGTATGGAAATTCTAAATGTTTAACTCTCTTTGCCCTGGATCTGTATGATGAGTGTAAAGGACCAGGTCTGGGGTAGGTAGATGTGGATTATGAAGTTACTCAGAAACACTTGATTGAAAGCAGATCTGTCTCACTGTCTGTCTGTCTGTGTGTCTTTGTGCCGGTGTTACTCACGGGAGCGGCGGGGCACTAGAAAAAGGGGGTGTCCACCCGGACCCTGGGTAATTATAGAAGGGGGCAGTGGCCCCTCGTTGAGACCCCGAGGACGTCTGTCTACGTGCCTGATGTGAGGTGAAGGGGTCCTCACTCTCACTGTCCGAGTCTTCATAGTCTTCAGATTCACTGTTTGAGACAGAGAGCGACAGACGAGTTATTCATAGTCATAATGTGGCACCAATTATCTAAGAGAGTGTAAGATTGAAGTGAGAAGGAATGTTCTGCAAACAAAAACTTTCAAATGTCATGTACTGAATTGGGCAGTGCCAGGATAAGTTTTTCCTCTGACCTTGGGAAGCTCCTCCATGCTCCGGGCAGAGAACAGAGGATAGCAGTGAAGGCCAAAGCCGAGAGGAAAGAGTAGAGCGACAGGTACAGCAGCCCCTCCATGCCGTCATAGCAGAGGCCTTTCAACGAGTCAATGTAGTCCTGCCACACAACATAGGTTTAGTCAGATAAGTCGAACGCCATCTGATGTGAGATGGAGGAGCATATCTTACTTTGTTCAGGCCTCGACAGTTTAGCAGTGCCACGAGCTGATGGAAGTTTCCCTCTGTGGAGTTCAGGATCTGCTGGACCTCCCTGAGTGATTTCTGTAATAAAGCAAGCGTCATTAGAGACACGCAACAATTAAAACCACACTGAACATAATTACAGTGACATTACCTCGGCTTTGGGGAACTGTGGCAGAGCGTTTCTGTCTAGACTGGACAAATGTGTGTGAATGTTGGACAGCGCCCTCTGAGACTGGGTCAGCAACTGCAATGAGAAGGCACAGAAGCATGTGACTAGAAATACCTTCTCAGAGACACTAATTAATCACAACCAAACATATTGTTCGAAGGACCCATTACTTTCATCATAAAACGAAGGGAAATGAGCGCCGCTATTTTAGGGCTATTCAAAAATATCCAGAGCGACTGACAGAGGGAAACGATATTATGTGGAGGGTGTGCCAAAAGAACCACTACACCCAATGACAACCTAATCCAAACAAGGAAGCAAAGAAAAATACTTTTATCCACCACGGATGATTAGAGTATTAGCTACTCTTAGTCCTGTAAGAAAGAGTGAAGTTAGGTGTAACTCACAGAAAAAAGTTGGACCGATCTTTGGTTTCACGAGTGTTAACATTTATATTGCACCCCTTAAAAATATTCCGGTCACTTGTTCCTTTGCATTTCTTTTGACATCTCCATATGCTGCTGTTTGTCTGGTGTCTGGAGGACTGTGCTATTATAATCCTTACAATACAATTTACAATATAAAGGGGAATATGTTAGACTTTTTTTTTACTTTTGGTCTGATCAATGTAGTTTGTGATTATTGCAGCTTAGCCGTGCAGGAAGCTAGCAAAGAAACATCTTCAATGCTACTGTTTTTATTACCTGCTGATATGGGCTGTTCATGCGGCGGTTGCAGGTCAGATAATAATCCAGCACATCTAAAAGATCAATAAAAATATCAATACACAATATAAAGCATGATGCATCAACTATAGTTATAATATGACTGGAGTATACCTGCTTTACCTGCACTAGTCCCACTGGTGAACTGGGTGGAGTTCAGCACAAATGAGTTTGGGTCCGAGCAGAAGTCACTGAGGGCCTGTAAGAAGAGAGAAAGTTAACATGGAAAATCGTGTATGTAAGGATTTATTCGCCCCACAGTAGGGACATTTCAGTGTTGCATAACAAGTGACAGACAGTAGGAATGAGGAGTACACAGCACAAGATAAATGAATAATAACTCTATACTAAAATAAAATAAAATCTGAAATAAAATAAAATCAAATCTCCAACTCTAGCATAAAAAGAAGCAGTATAAAATATATATCTTTAGCATAATACGGAATATCAGAACTTTATTTCTATTGTACTGTACAGTATGTACAGTACAATATAGGATTACTTTTCAGACTAATCCTAAAAGAAAGCCAATAGGACGAAATGGCTGAACAAATTTCCCGCTGAAACCTTGGTCCAGATGACTATTATTAAACAATTTGATAATGTATTTTTTTTACATAACATATGTCTTAATTGAATAGACTGCTTCAGTGATATTCGCCCCAGTAACACACTGACCTGCTCCCGTCAGGTCTGAATCTAATGCCATCGATCTGTGCTGTCTACATCACATTCTGCCCTCGTTTCACTGCTGTTTCAGCTTTCACTTCTGTCTGCATTAACCCACATGAGTCAGACCCACACTCACACAGATCTACAAGAGATAGAATGTCTGGGGTTGAAATGTTTTGATTTATGTAATAGGCGGAGACACACTGTTTCTACAATAAGTTGGACTAGTTTTTAATTTGTCTGCTTGATTTTATTATTATAACATTGTGTGTGTGTGTGCGTGTGTGTGTGTGTGTGTGTGTGTGTGTGCGTGTGCGCGTGTGTGTGTGTGTGTGTGTGTGTGTATGGGAGGGGGGTGTATTATAATAAAGGGTTAATATAAAATCAAAAGTCAGATTTTTAAAAATGTAATATTATTGTTTTTGTGCAAAAACCTGACATAAATGTTTATCATACACTTAACCGAATATATGGAGAAAATCTACAAGTGTAGTCCAAAAAGAAATCACAACCTAACAATTAAATTAGTCCAATCAAAGCAAAATTACAAGCAAAATTAAGACAAAAATAAGACAAAAGCAAAAAACAGCCCTCGGAAAATACTGAAGGAAAGATTACAAATTACATTGCAGTCTGTAAAATAGTCTTAACCCATTAATACGATAATGGTCTTGTATCGAACAAACAAAACTAAACAAGGTAAGTGTGCTGTGTGTTCTAAAGCCACAAATAGACAGCCCCACCAGAAGAGGGAGTAGGAGCAGCGTGTAAAGTTTGCGCCCTGAAGAGCAGTGGTGAGTGGGGCAGATAGGAGGGCAGGCAGAGCCACAAGCAGCCCATTGTCTGAGTGAATGACCAGGGACAGAGCTTCTCTATGTGGGCCGCTGGCTTTGGGACATCTCCCGACAGCGCCGCAAACACTGAGCAGCCTGAAGTGGGCAAAAACATCCACTAGAGATGTCTGGACAAAGTGAACAGATCTGAAGCTGGGGTACCTCACTTCTTTATTTCATAATAAATACATGTGGTTTGTACCCGACAGAAAGAGTCTCGTAAGAGTAACTTATATTCCGTCTACATATTATGAGCATACTTGTAAGACTGAGAGCTGAGAGAGGACCATCCTCACCCTCAGCCTATTCGTCACTTTCCTGTCTGAAAAAGCTGATGGAAAGATGTGAATCCATCCATCCATTTTCTTCCCCTTAATCCATTTCTGGGTTGGGGGGGGTGACCAGAGATGCCACCCAGTACACACCCAGATGGAAAGATGTGACAGAACAAATACTTGCATGTAGAACTAGTGACTGAACAAAACTGTTGAATGGGAAAATGGTTCAACATTTGGAACCAAGAAGCTTGTCAAATGATTTTTTTAATTAATTGGTTTAAAATAAAAAAGAAGTCAAATCAATGTTGGATGATCACTGATAGCTCCGAGACAAAGTAACTGTCCAAAAACTGCTACTTTTAACAATTTCTTATCAAATGTTTGAGTAGTCTACTTCATGAAAACTTTGATATTCATTTATTTCAGGCAAACACAGGAGCATCATAGTTGCTATTATCATAAAAAACATACCGATAACAAATTCTAAAAACAATTTTGCCTGTAAGGGAGTGGGAAGAAAATAACTTACAGATTGCTACAAGATTGACTTCCTTAGTTGACTAATTGTTGCAATAAATCAAATATCAACGATGGAACTTTTTCTTTTTACACTTTGGTTATTATGTGTGTCAATAATCAACACTATTGTAAACTTAAAATAAATAGAATAGTATGAATTTCCTATTATGACATCTCATACCATCTCAGACCAGAGCAGTGCCCTCTATAGGTGCAATGCCTCAAAAACCAGCCATCTTAGTGTAAAACAAGATCCCCTAAACGTCTGCATGTTATAGCTTTTACGATTTCTTTACCAAATCCAAATACAGCTCTTTAAGGAACAAGACAGTTTCGACAAAGCCTTATGTATCTGGTGCAGTTATTATGAAATGCACTTTCCTCATCCTCTTTCACTCACAGCCTCTTCTATATTTACCTCAAAAACCAAACACCCACCTCTTAACTCGCACACAAGAAACACAGAGTTCACCAACACGCACACTCACATTGAATCTTTAATCTCTGCCCTATTTTTCTGCTTTTTGGTCCTCTGCCACCGCTGCAGCGTTCCCTATGGAGGAAGCTCTTTTCACTTGAGCACAATAGAGGCAGAAATGACAAAACATATGACACAAGACTTTACCATACAAAGCCCCAGTTTCTGCTAAGGATGTAACAATAACAGTGATACTATGATACAGTGTAATTTTGCAGGTATAAATAACGTCAATATATTGAGTTACGAGCGCATACACCTGAATCCATTGCCATGCAACCCAAGTAATATGTTCTACTTTTACATTTACCTATGATGTATTTTATATTAGTCATCTCAGATTAAGTCCTTGTTGCAAATTACATGTTATCTAAATGTCCATATTGGCTGTTTTACATTTTGTTCATTTTTGTTACTTGAACAGCTGGTCATTAGGGAAAGAATGGAGGTTTGTCAGTTCTTCATAAAAAGGATGATTAGTTGTTAATGCTGTCTTTACTCTCAGACTGTTTCACCAGGGCTACTTACCACTACAGTGGCAGTCTCCAAGCCCAACGAGCCCCAGCTGAGAAAAAGGGCCAACCACGCCAGCACCGTCATCCTGTAGAGATCAGGCAACTCTCTCAATGAACAGAATTCTATGATCAATAATCTCAGTAAATGGAGAATCTTACAAAATAAGAAGCCAGCGGGCCTGTTTGGCCAGTCCCAGCAGGATGAATAAACACACAATCAGGTCCAACAGCAGCAGTAGTACATATGAGAGCCACCTGAGATACAAAATAATCATGTGTTTCTGTGATTGTCAATGCCATACACATCTTTTAAACTCTGAATCTTTGGTGTGTGTCACGTCTCACCTGTAGTCCTCATTGACCATGAGTGTGTTGGCGGCCCAGCCCGGGCTGAAGGGGCTCGGCATGAGGTTGCCTGAGGGCACCACAGTGGGGGCCACAGAGGGTGGAACAGGGGTCAGGGGGATGATGGAGGCCCCTGCAGTGCTGCTGTCATTGCCCAGGCCCATGTCCAAACTGCCTCGGGCCAAAGAGATGGACGACAGCATGTTAATCACGTTTTCAGACAACCTCCTGCAGTTTCTCGTGGACACGAGGAAGGGTTTACTTCCTGTGAAAAGTTCCTCCATTGAGGACAAGGGGCCGGTGACGGACGATTGCAGCCCACTAATTGTGTCCGAAATCTGCAGGGAGAGAGAAAATGGTGCGATGAACAGAGTTAAGTGGATCAGGAACCACAAACTGTGGTCTCAAACAGCAGTTGCAAAGTGCAGTGTTGTGGGGTTAGGACTCTTAATGCTGCAGATAATGTACATCAGGGCTGCTGTGGGCCACAATTTATAACATTAAAACTAAGTGTGTCGGAACATAATGGACTTCTCATAAAGCATTATATCACCGTTTCACTTTTACAAAAGTTACGTTTGTTTATTATTGTAGATATGTATGAAATAATGTAGGTCTGTTTCTCTTGAAATTTTAACAACAAAATTGGAGCTAAAAAATAGTTTTTGATTTGTATTTAATATGCAAAATCTATAAATTGCACATCAACTGCTGTTAAAGAATTGTTAAAGAAATAATAATAATAATAATAATAATAACGATGCATCTTTTATCCTGGTATGGGCCTCATTGTGCAGAGAGACGGATTATTGAATATCTTCCCCTGAATTGCTTCAGCAATCATCTTTTTCAACCATTCAAAATAGTGATGTAATCTTAAACCCAGCAATGTGGAGAGCGTCTGACCACAGAACAAAATCAATGAACCAGGAGGAGGTATGCGTTACGCCTTCAGACCACATCCACATAAAGTCCAGGTCCAGTCTCCATCCTCTCCTGCTTTTCTCGCCACATTCTCCACACTTCGCTCTTACATATGCGAAAACAGGCGGCACCGACAGTCAGCATGAAATCGCGGTTGCAGGGAGAGCACTCACCAGCAGATCGATAGAAGCGAGCGTGTAATTGGCTGTGAGAAGAGACGAGGTCAACTGATACATCCCATCATTAGCCTCGCTGTTGCCATAGAAACCGACGCCTATAGCAACGCTGGAAAGGGGGATAAAAAGAGACATGAGAACAGTGTGGGAGCGGGTGCACTGTAGTGTGTGTGTTAGTATGTATGTGTGTGTGGGTGCACTGTAGTGTGCGTGTGTGTGTGTGTGTATGTGTGTGCGTGTGCGTGTGCGTGAGTGTGTGTGTGTGCATGAGTGTGTGTGTGTGTGCGTGTGAGAGAGAGAAAGCAGAGACATGCATGTGATGTTTAATTCAGCGTGTATGTACATTTTAAATAAGTGTCGCGCGGAGTGAGAGCTGGAAGAACCATTTTTTGTTACGTTTCCGTAAAATAAATAACGTTTCCGTGGGATAAACAGGACAGGCAAACCCAGACTTCTATCATACGTGAAAAAGTGTGTTGAGCATGAGAAAAATATGCTTTAAGCCATTTGTAAAGATTATCAAAGGTAAAGCCACTGTCATAACGTGAGATTTTGTCCTGTCCAGTCCCAAGTTCAAGTTCAGTTTTGCATATCCAGTCACATTAGGGCTGTTGGGATCATAGGAGCAAATCAATTTGAGACATTTTATCAGGAAATGTTCACCACCAACAGAAAAGAAAAGGAGAAAAACAAATGGAGAGCTCTAAATCTGCAGAGTGAACGTGGCTTTGTATGAGGATACCAATAGTGCAATGCAGGGGTAAGGGATGAGGGGAGGGATAAGCTGGCTCTGGACTCGCAATGGTTAAGCTCCAGCAAGAAAATATAAGTGACGCTAAACATAAGGGCACGTTTACACATCTCTGTTATTTAAATATTCAGATTAAGGCAAAGGCCAGATGTTTGTCAAATCCCCTCCACTCAGAGAGGAATGGTACAACCCAATCTCCCACAAAGTATGTGACCCAGATTATAAAGCAAGCAAAGGGAGAAATGTGAGTGCTCTGCATTTCAAATTGTATCTATTCAAAGGCGGCTATAAATACTGCAATATATAGCCACAAAATAGATAAAATAATGTAATAAATAATCATACCGCATATGAAATATTTCTGGTGGAAAAGTGTGTTTTGAATGATTCTCTGACATATTAGGCTTCTTTAAAATATGATTTGATTAATTCATAGAATCTTTAAGTAGTTTTGTCAATAAGCTAATAAACGTGTAAAATGGACAAATACAATCGCAATCTCCAAATCTCCCATACCTGTGGCACTTACTGTACTCCAATACTGTATTATATATGCTTACTGGCTCTAACTATATCTTTCCAGTTGTCTATACCAGTATTTATCAACCAGTGATTTGTTTTGATTTGTTAATAAAGGCTTTGAAGGTTTGGTCAGCTGGTGGTGTGCCATGGTATATTTTGCAATGACAAAGGTGTGCCACGGCTCAAAAAAAAGACCTAACGAGACCTTTTTTGACAATATAGCTTCGCCTGGAATGTTCCGCAGCATGTTATAAAAGTAAAACATAATATAGATATAATCAGATGTCATTCCCCCACCACAGAAGTTACATGATGAAGTGAAGAGCGTCTAAAACTCTTTTCTATCCTGACATATTTGATCTAAAGAACAGAGTGGTGTCGTATGGCTCTAAAACCATGGCTCTGTTGCAGATGTCTGTCAAATGCATAATCCACTTTGTAACGACATAAGTGCATCCTGTCAAAGTGGCACTATCTTGAATACTGCCACATCTTTATAGTCTTTTTAGCACTAAAAGATCCCACATTAATCTAAAACTACTCAAGGAGTTTGTATTAGCTCACAACTTGAAGTAAGAAAGGCTAGAATCGGAAAAGCTGCTCTGCAGAAATGGAATGTAGTCACACTTAAAACAACGACAATTCCGGTTATTCTCAATTTCTCTTTGCTCGATGTACTGTCTTTACTGAATCTCTCGCACCTTGGGGTTTCCTTGAAATACGAAATATTAATTAAATGTATCACATTTATTTCTAAAGTTACTGTTGACTGATACTATTCTTTATTTTTATTTCTTGTATTAATATTATATCATAGGAGTAGTAGTCTAGACTACTAGTTTCTTCAAGAAACTTTAGCTTGAATTAAGACAATAATAATAATTAATGTTAAAGATAAAATATATTTATAGAAAATCAAAAACTAGTCCTAACCAATTACAAATCAGCCATTAGTTTTTGTGCGGTTAGTTTGATAATCCAACGTCCTCTGCATCGTGACTCCTGGACTAGATGGCGGCGGGCAGCCCGGTGGGGGGTGAGTGTATCTGGCCGCACTGACATCATCTTATGACAAACCCAGAGCCGTGTGACTGTCAGCTGTCATTGGTCCAGTGGGAAAGTGGCTTATGATTCACTTGTTCTCCATTATGTCGGCCTACTGTAGAAGGATTTGTGGTCAGGGTTTGACAATAATAATTAAAGCAGAGTAAAAGGGCCAACATTGTCTGCCATGTGATGACTAACCAACTGTCACCACACAGTTGTAACCCAGGTCAAAGAATTAGGCCAAACTAGACTAAATTAAACCAGAGACACAAAACACAATAAAACATAAACGAGACAAATCTGAACCATTTGTCTTGATCAATAGAAAATGGTAAGAACTGCTAGTTATATCTGTAGTTGACAAATGATTTATAAAAGAAAAAAGGTAGGTGCACTCTGTAATAAGGGCCCATCATCGCGGTGATGCCTCAACATTCTATCTCAGCAGAGCAATGAAACATTCATGGAGACAAGTAGAACCCTCCACACAGGACACATTTAAAAGGCATAGCATTCAGTGTGTCCATAGTTGCTCTGCAATTGATAGAATTTTAATGAATGTTACTCAAGCCAGTTATATATTAAACCTGTGACCTGGAGTCACCTTGTCTCTGACGAGAGACTTCAGATCTGAACCTTACATTTATGGTGCTTTGCCACTGTAATATAATCAACACATACAACATGATCATGATTGGATGTTTAGCCGTCTCACAATTATTAAATATCTGTATTGTTTATGCTGAGGAGATGATTAATAATTCATTTCCTTGGTTTTTGATAAGATAAATAGTAAAAGCTGAACAGAAGTGCCGACACACAAAGTGCACATGGTCTCACCAGCACAATGTGACAGACGCGACCGCCATCCAAGTGACGCAGCAGATGCCTCGACCCTTCTTCCCGCTGTAACCGTGACCCGTGCTGCCATCTTCATCATCCTCTTCCTCCTCCGATCCCTCGCTCCGGTCGCCACGGTGACAGCAGCAGTAGTGGATGAGGAAGCAAAGAATCACCAACAGCGAGATAACGAGTGCGATGGCCGATAAACTGGATAAAACCAGTAAGGTCTGTGGGAAATGGCAATGAAGGAGTGAGAAAAATGTTTACCATCACACAAAGCGCTTTTATTTAGTAACTAATGTCTACTATAAATAAATAGTCACAATTAATACACAATACACAATTAACACAAAGGTGACATCCATTTGAGGTCAGATTTTAATTCCTATATCCTATTTTACATTTTTAAATTCAAGTAAAGTTAAACAAGTCACTTTCCCATATCTGTCAAAAAGTCTTTGCCACAATCAGTAGCGAATGTTAATGTCCACTTTCAATGGTGTAGGTTTGGTTCCAATCTTGGTGGGGACATTCATTACGACCCGAGTCTACACCCATTGACACGGGGTCCAGAGTTTCTCCCCCAGAATTTGTTGTGTAATCACACACTATATTTGCAATAGTGTGTTGCCTTCTATACTAAACTCAGCTGTAGACTGAATGAGAAGCAGTTAAGGATTTTTTCTAATAGTTAAAACAAAATCAATTGGATCAGAGCTTCTGAGTTTTGTGTTGCGTTCATTCTAACTTTGTCCACAAGATGGCTTAAATGTTTATAGTAAATAAGATAGTAAATATATCCTGTATTCAGGATCAGGCTGTTATGGTTAACAACCTATCTCAAATATGCTGTCCCTGGCACTTTCTTGAGAGTGACTCTCATTGGCTGCCTCCTAAATAGCAAATACACAGTTATGAAACTTTAAAAAATCCCATATTTTATCTTCATAATTCCAGCCTCACCCAGCTTCGATATACCGCTTATACCGTTTATATCGCCCAGCCCTAATTTGATATTTCATTCACATTTGAATTGGAATAATACATGGTCGAGTCGTCAGCATACATGACAACTTCAGTTTTGTTTAGTACATAAGGTAAATCATTAGTCATTAGGGGCGACAGTAGCTCAGTTGGTAGAGCATTGGCCTTAAGGCCAGAAGGTCGTGGGTTCAATTCCCACCTCTGCACCTTCTCCACCGACTCCCACTGATGACTGCTGTCGTTGTGTCCTTGGGCAAGACACTTAACCCCACTTTGCCCAAAGCCCCCACTGAAAGATCAAGGCTATGCTCACACTCAGAGAGCAGCCGTCCTCCTGTGGACTTGGGTGGCATCTCTGACTGCCACCCCCCTGACCCAGAAATGGATTAAAGGGAAGAAAATGGATGGATGGATGGATGGATGGTAAATCATTAGTGTAAACAGAGAAGAGGAGTGGGCCGAGGCAACTGCCTTGAGGTAAGCCACAGTGACTATCAGATTCTTTAGACAGGGAAACATTATAATAGACCTGCTGACTCCGGTCTGTTAGATAATCCTTTATAAGAAACAACGATCTTGTTGAAAATCCATAGCACCTAGAAGGCAATTAGAAGGTCATGATTGATAAGATCAAAGGCTGCACTAAAACCTAAAAATATAGTCCCAACTAAGCCACCTTTATCTAATTCCTGGTACCAGTTGTCAATCATATGGACCAATGCAGTAGTGGTGGAATGATTAGGTTTATATGCATGCTGGAACTTAGTTAGCAGGCTGCAGTCAACAAAATATGTTTGTATTTGGTCACGTATTAACGTCTCCATAATTTTCCCTAAAACAGGTAATATGCTTATGGGCCTACTGTTTGCCCGGTTAAATAATGTATTTTTATTTTTTGGTATAGGGATAATTTTTTTCCATTGGGAAGGGAAGACGCCACTCCTTAAAGCATCATATATGTATGCTTTTTAAAACAGGCAAAACAAATATATAAGACCTAATCATAATGTTCTACATACATTCCAATTCAAAGCAACATTATCATACATCTTTATACTATGTAAATCAGGTCTGATTTCTATTTTGTAAACATATCAAGCACAGACCTGTTGGCAATGGCTGTGTCCGCCTGTGTCCCCGCACAGAGAAGCATGGACAGAGGATACTGCTCCCTCCCATCTCCTCCATCATCACGCAGCACGTCAAAACTCAGACATGGAGCTCCTATGAGCAGAGATCTGTTAGAAGGAAATAAAATATGCTTTTCTGGCATTTAGCATCACACTACTAAAATTTATGTTCAATAAGTTGCAATAAAGATCTTATACAATAAGCAATAAGGGGGATGGGGGTAGCATTACAGGATGATGCAAAAAATTAGAGCTGTGTTCTAAAAACGTATGTAAGCCTTCTTTTTATGTATAAAACAATGCTATTGGGATATATATTTTAGAGTTAGTTCTAATATACTTCTACAGTCGAAGGTTGGTACATAAGTATACCAATAACAATTGGCCATACTTTTAGCCGACTTGTTTTGATTCTGTGTAGGTTCGGAGCAGATCATTTCACCGCAGTGTCATTTTAAATGTATTTGGTTTAATTTCATCCTCCAACATGAGCATGTTTTCACTGCTAAGGCACAGACTGTTACCTGTCTGACACTCGTGGTACATGCGGTAAGCTGAGCGGTCCATCTCCAGATCTTGCCCGGGCGCCAGCGGCTCCATCCCTGGCACATACACCTTTTTGTCGTCGGCCTCTTCGTCCACGTCGCCGTCCTCCATCTCTACCCCCTCGTCGTCGTCGCTCACCGTGTCCTCCATCTCCTCCGCGACGGCTTGGTCCTCAGCAAACGTGTCTTCCTCTCCGGGGGCAGACATTTTGGCTTCGCTGTTTCTTCCGGTGAGCGGGGACCACGTGGTCTGAGCACGTGGTGTGAGCACGAGGTCTTCACTCCCCCTTTTTCCAGCTGCGGACTCCACTGGCGCTGTCCCCCGTTCTCTCCCCCTTTTACGGGAATTGCACTATCCTCTGGGCCCTTGTTTCCTCTGCCAGGAATGGTCAGTCTCCTTATTAGATTAGAACTTTTGTGTTTTGTATTTTAGTCCATGTAGCTTTTAAAAATAGTTTGGTATGTTCTAATTGCGTCCCCCAAAGTACTGTATACTGATATATGCTGTTGAAGAACAAATTTTACATATAAAACAGCTTATTAGAAAACAGTTTATTGTTTTATACATTAAGGTGGCACAGGGAATCCGTATTTGATGTATAGTAAATATAAATGGTTATAAATCCTATCTCTCAAAACTCTTTATCACATGTTTTCTTTTATGTGTTTATTTTTTTTAGATCAGCTATTTCAGTGAAAAAAAAGAGTACGAGCCCTCACCCAGTTAATCAGCTCACATACTGTTTTTTATAACATCAGTATCTATAAAAAACAGCATGTTGGCCAGATTTGTTCACAAAATGTTATTTAAACAAGACCCTTACTGTTGGAACAGGTTTTGGACACTTTTGGGCAGAAATCAATGTGAGCAAATAATGTCCGAGCCAGTTCTGGATGGAGATACATTATGACTATTGCACCCTCATGAGAAAAGTTTTTTTTTCGTTTTCTTCAATAATTCTAAATTGGAAAAGAATCTGAACAAAAATTCTGACCCTTTTGTAGACAGCCCGCCTGCAGGGTTGTCCACTCACTAAAAAGCCTGAGGACCAAGTCAACTTACACCCCGCTGCAGTGTACATGTCAGTTTACTTTAAATAGTTCACCCAAAAGGGAATCTATAAGAGCCATTATAGAGCCGGATCCCATAGGAAAACAAACACCCTAACCTTTAATGATACTACAAGCCTGCAAAGTAATCAATCAATATGGACTTCAATTTTCACAACACTAATGGTTGTAATAGACTAGGGTTGTTCGTCTGGTTATGTATATGGAGGCTTGGGAACATTTTAAAAGTAGGCTCACAATTAGGCAGATGGTGGAACATTTTTAATGCTATGAATGATTCTAAAAGTGATGGGGTTTTTGTGTGTGTGTGTGTTTTTTTTTAAAAAGACAATCAGACAATGTGACCCTGTTGTACTTGTAATTCAGTGTATTTGAAGCCAAGGGTTTGTATTTGCTGTACAAATCCTCCATAGGCCTAAACACACAGCAACCCTGAATGCTGCTAGACCAAAGCTAAAACAACACAAATAAATCAGCAAATTGTTAGATTAAACAAGTTTTGACTATTTGAACACACTTGTTGTTCTATCCAGAGAAAAGTAGTATTTAGGTGTAATTTCTGGGCTATTATGAAATAGGGAGAGTCGTGTAAGTATAATGGGTGTGTGGGAGTCTTTACATGTAGGGGCAAGTGAAACCTCGTGGTGCACTCACTCCCGAACAGTGAAAGACATTTCAGCAGCTGTTGTTTTGCAAAGATGAGAGACCAAAGTATCTAAAATGATTTAATTTAGAATTATTTATACAAAGGACAATAATACTTAACATCATATACAAAACATTCTTTGTAAACAGAAATAAGAGACATGGCTTGTGTGCACTGATCAGCTTGAATCGCTGTTAGCATAAAGAGCAGAGTAGCTGTAGCTTGTATTGACATATTGACGATAGAGTGAAAATAGCTATAGGTTATCATCTGATATCAGTTATGAACATCGATGGATGGTGAATAGGTTAAGTTCACATTTTCTCTATAACTCTTTGTTTTTGTAAAAATAAAAAATAAAATGTTTTATTCTGATACATCAAATTTTATATTTGATAATTATGGACCTTTTTGAATGTTTTGATGTCACGTGAACTCAACCTATTGTGTGACACTTTGTGCCCTGCCATCTAAGATTTAAAAAAGCTTACTACCACGCATACAGTCATTCAACAATCTTTCAGTGCTGTTCCTTGCATTTTTGTGCATTTTCCTAAAGGATCACTCAGGACAGCAGCCACCAGTAGAGCCTGAAGAGCAAAGGACTGCAGAGGGACACAGAGTACGGGACGGACCGGCTGCCTGCACTGGATGGCAGCTGCACAGCGTCCATGATCCAGTCTTCCTCAAGAGCCTCCCAGCCGTCCACTCCTCGAGTGGTTAACAGTCTGGCTCTTGACCGGTCAATGTCCTTCCTCTCCACTGCAGTGGGCAAAGTGGGCAGACTACAACTTTCAATGGAGGGTTCACATCCCACCTCAATCCAGCGGGAAAACAAGTCGGATGTGGCATTGAGGAGTTCCTCTGGACGAGACGGGTGAGTAGCAAGACGGTGCAGCTCTGTGTCCTCCTGGAACCTCTGTCAAAAAAACATTTCCAATTAATTCTTCTAGGTTTGGATGCATGTAGTAATGACACCAGAAGCACCAACATTAATTCTTTCCATAAACAGTGTAAACAACTACTGTAAGCACAGCTGCCTTGAGACAGCTGAAAGTGAGGCTGTTAGTCTGGTCCATCGGACACACACCCACCTTCTGAGCAATGTGAGGAAAGTGTCTTACCTCTGGACACAATGTCAATTTGCACTGGAGCCATCTTTCGTCCTACAGATTTGAGTAACCACACTCTAACTAGATAATTAACCATTATAAGAATAATCTTAATCTCTGTTAAACTGTTGTAACTCCAACATGGTCCCAGGAGAAGCCTGTTTCATTGTTACAAATGTTGTTTAATAAGTCTGAAATGCTGATTCTTCATGTTTAGTCCTGTCTCCAGAGGTTCACATGATGCGGGTCCCTGATTGAGTGTCTGAAATGGTTCATTCCTGAAGGATGCTGTACAATATGGAAATGTGATAAAATGTGGGAGTAGTCAGTACTGTAGAATCAACATGCAAGAAAAATAAAACATAAATAAATAATAATGGGAACTCGGGCTGAGGTCTTAGACAATGATAGGGTTAGATCTAGTGAAATAAATTGGGTTAGACATTGGTGTAGTACAAAAGTTCAAAACACTACAAATAATACACGTAGAAGGCAATAAAAAGAAGAGCCAAGTATATGGACAAAAGTATACCTCTGAGTTTATGTTGCTCTTGATTATTTTTTCCAGTGTCTGTTTGATATCTCTGATTAAGGAGCGATTTATATGTTCGTCGTACAGGTTTTTGATCAACACATGCCACGAATCCAGGAGAACGATGGCAGCTGGAAACACACAGCACTGGAGGCAAAGGCAAGACAACAACATTTAAATTAGGTTAAGATGCACAGCGGATGTGTCAAGCAGATGCTACAAGAACCACAACCACCTGTCAATCAATGCTATTCTCATAAAGTGAAACTCAAATTGTCTTTCTCATGAAACAAAAGAATACTGCAATACTAACATTTCCAAATCTATTTCGATACAAAGGTGGTCACTCACTAATTCTTTGAAATAATAATTCAGTATAATTACACATAACTATGTGGTGGTATACAATTTCTATTTAATAGCTATGGCTATTTTTTATAAATCAATATATCTCTCACCGGGTCATTGTCACAGAGGATGTTGCTGGTGTAGTGATGTACAACATAGTAATCCTTTGGAAACACTGATCGCTAAAAGAACAGGATAAAGAATATTTTTAGTACTCATAAATGCATACATGCATACATATACAGACATTCATATATACATAAATAAATGTATTTGTATATACTTCAAAATTACATTAAATTGTGTTTAATATATCAGTCAAACTACACATTTTGTCAGAATTCACTGAAAATGTTAAAAGAAAAAAACCCATATTCACCCGCCTTTTTTGATCTGAACAAATATCAATTAAGAACCATCGGCTAACAAATTGATTAGCAAAATAGTTGTTAATTACAGCCATAAAATCTTTCATTAAACATTCTTTTAGGCACTCAAAGATGCCTCACATTGCGTGATTCGCTCACAGAAAACCTGATGCAATCCATTCGACAGTTATTGACGACTTAAATTCACACTATTTACCCAATAAATATTATTACCAGTCTGTTAGACATAAACAATGCACAATTGTTAAGAGAGTTGATAATTACACAACATTTGAGCCTGGCCAGCTGCGCAACATCATCTGAATTAGACATGTCTAGACTTTTTCCAACTATCGTTCATATACAAGTCTGTCCATAATCTATCTAATGTATTATCTCATTCTGTACAATTGCATTTTAATAACATATAGTTAACAATTAGTAACAAAAAGTGCAACTTACAAATCCCTTTGCATTCATGTCGAGAGTAGTTTTAATGTTTCTCACACCTTCCAGGCCACATCCTCCACACAGAACAGTCCAGAGTGATAGAAAGAGCAAAACTGTGTTGGACACGAGACACATGAAGACAGATTATTGTTCTGGTCTCCGCTGTTATAAGCATCATAAAGAGAGATTATCAGTTTCCTGTGACAATGACTCATCTTGGGACTTACCTCAAGCCTGGGCCAACCATATTCATTCTAAAATAAGTATTTGCCTTGTGTTCTTAAACTTAACAAATAAGCAAATTGCTCACCTGGTAGTGACATCCTTTTTATCTTTGTGAGAATGGGCGCTTCTCCATTTCTCTGGTTGACAGCAAACACTGCAGACAGGCTGTTCTGTGTACGGCTGTCAAAGGCAAGTTTTCTGTGGGTTCAAAGGGTCTTTGACAGAATGCTGCTGTCCCTTCTTCACAGCTTCATTTTCGGTCCTCTCATCTCTTGCACAAGTTCTGCTTTGTTCCTTTGGTACTTTCCAAAAAGTCCATAGTAATCTCCTCACGTCATCCTGCTCTCCTACATTTGAATTTCCAACTTTGACAAAGTGGATTCTTCCTGCCCAGACAGCCTTTTGTGTACTTTACGTCCTTTCTTTTTCGTTCCTTCTATGTGCTGACCTATATATTCCCGTAGAGCCTTATTTGTCCCGGCGCCTATGCCTGGAAACGAGTTAATAGATGTGGCCTGCTCTTGTGCCACTCTGAGCTGCCTCCCTCTCTCAAAGTGAAAGTGCTGTACGCTGGTGCTGTGTGCTTGTCTGCTCCCTTTAAGTTGGGGCCCCTCCCACAGCCACACGTTTTACCTCACTATTGACGGACCGAGCCCCCTCCCCCTGTTCCCCACATTCCCTGACCCCCACCCCACCTCTCCTCCTCCCCCCTTTCAGCAGACAGAGGAGGCTTACTCATGCCGTTGGAGCGCATGTTTTTCATTTGGACTCTCCCCCACACCTCTGCGCCTTTGGATCCCCACGTCTCTCAAGAGCCACTGCGCAGTATCACTCAGTTTAATCATTACAAAAATAACTAACCTTTCCAAAAAAATCAAAGATTGTTTATACTGCCCAAGTTGGTAATTCATCTCTGCAAACTGTGTCCAGTTGATGGTTCTATGCAGCTATGTTTCCTAATCAGGGGTACAAAAAAATCATCATTGCATAACAAAAAGAATGCAGTTGCAATATTCTGTATACATAAAATCAACTAATAAACTAATAAAGTTTGGAATATCAAACACATTATTACAGTAATAACCATGAGTGAGTTTTTAAAGATATGTTTATTGTCTACTGACTGAAAAATCCCCACGACATAGTAGGGTTGAGCTGCTCTGAGCAAATTTGGATTTTGTTCGCAGCTGTGATCATTTGCCCTGGAGCAGAATCATACACAAACATGTCATAATCACAGCACAAAATGTCAAACTAGAAGCCAATTAACCTTGAGTTGGGTCACACTCACACTCCTTTATTTGGCAACATCCACACACACTTACTCCAATTTAGTCCCCTTGTGGATGGTTTACGTCTCGTTCTGCGTAAGTGTGAACACAGCGTTTGAAAAATGGCCAAACAAATAAAGAAACGGCTTCATAAAGTTCTTCCTTTGGTGAGAGAAAAATGAGATGGACTGACCCCATGTCAACGAACTCTCCCAGAGGTGTTGTCAACGGAAATGTCTTCACCTCGACTTTGTGTCTCTCCAACGGGTATAAATATCCAGTTAGTGCTCTGTCAGATTTAGCGTGCACATAAAATTTCCAAAAATTGTTCGTTGTTGTTTTTTTGTAGGATTAGTAAGATATGCATGATAGAAAACAGACTTGTGAGGTTTATGGTGCAAGCTTTGCCAACACTCTGGTTATTATGCAATGCCCTCTGTTGAAGTGGCCACATTTGTGCAGGTTTTATGATACTTTTGCTTTTTGTACTCATTCACTCTAGGTGCGAGTCAGTCTAAAACACATAAGGCCTCAATACTTTTAAATAAAGCCACATGTTGGTGAATTTTACTGACTGCAACTTCAGCAGACACTGGTTATATGATATAAGAACAGCAGTGTTTTTTAGAGCTTATTAAGAGCTCTAAATGTGCTGATATGGACCAATGTTTAGGAGGTCATGTCATGCAACTATTCTGTGTGTATCTGAAAACTCTAAACCGTAAGTGTTGTCTTTAACCCTATTGGAATGCTGGACAGCTGCCATCAAACAAATGAGTGGGAAGCAGCAGAAAGAAAGCTCTTTTCCCTCTTATGTCTACTCCCCACAAGATGGCACCATTAGCAGATTTAAAAGAACATAATTTGTGCTTTCTTTTGTTACATTTAGTATAGTTTTGTTTAAAACTAAACTTAACCCCCCTTTGTGTGTAGTGGAGACACTTGAAAGTGTTCCATGCATCTCTATCAAGATTACAATTAATTTTATTGTAAGATATGCAGAATAAATAACAATGAAGTGTGCTTATGGAATTTATTTAGTTAAAACAGCTCTGTAATAAGTTAAATGAAAATAGCATTTTTGACATGAAAACAATAAGGCATGACTTGCACGCTCTTCTACAATCTCACAGAAACACGAGTGTGCATTGATTGTGTGAGCAGCGGTGCACATTATTGCTTTTCCGTAAATATTTGACAGTTGTGTATTTAATCCATTGCTTTAAGAAGCTTTTGAGACATAAAAACGCCTGTGAATGTAAATGACTGCACAATAGTTTAATTCTGTGGTGCATTCTCGTCAAAGTACTGGGAAAGTATAAACATCTCTTTTCTGGATCCGTCTTGTTGCCATGGAGATGCAATTGCTTTGCTTGGAGTGTATCTTAGTATGATATAAAACTTGTAGTTGCCTCCACAGGGAGTAATTACTAGGGTTTGTTTGTTAGTTAGCAACATAACCCAAAGTTATGATCGGATTTTGACCAACTCTGGTTCACTTGAGGCCCAAAGCTGCTCATTATGTGCAACCAAACAAGTGAGACAAACATGTGTCCACCAGTCACTTTTCTTTTGAAACACATCTGTCAGGCTTTCACCCCCAGTGACCCAGACCAACAAGTGTGAATATGCCCGTTCCAAGGAAACCAGCCTTTACATGGACCAAATCTGGTTCACTTGTGGAAATGTGAAATTGATAAAAACATGTGTGGTGGTCCTCTAGTCACTTAAATCCTTTCTGTAGAAATGGTTCAGTGACGTTAGGAGGACTGCTGCATTTACTCCGGAAGTTCAATTTACCAATGAGTATGAACTGAAAGCACTTTTAGTCTATATCGAACTCACTTGCTTGTTTGCAATGTAGATGGAAAAAAGTTATGCAATACCATGGAACTTTCCAGGCAAAACAACCTCATTTAGATGTACCCAAGCAAAAAAATGGACCCTCCACCTGGAAAGATATGTACAGGACATGGTTTTTCCCTTATGCCCTCATTCAAAATGAGATAAAAAAATGATGTTGTTAAAAATGCTATAACCGATGTGTGTCAAACTCAATTAAGAAGTTTGCACATAAAAAGGTGATGAATAGCTGAATTCAGACCCTTATTGTTCCTTATTATTTAAAGCATTCCATGTTCCCTTTTCTTTCCCGCGCGCGGAGCCGCCTCTGCCTTTGTCTGTTATTGACTGGGGCTCCTCTCGCCTCCTCGGACCGCACTCATTAAATGGGTCTTGTAGGTTTTGCTCAGTCCAGTCATCCAGAACTTTAACAGTCTGACGTTGTCCTCCTCTCCCGCGCCGAGCAGAACCAGGAGCTTCTGTGTGTCCTCCCTCCCCCGGCCGTCAACTTTGGAGAATTTGAAAAGCACTTTCACTTTACTGGAAGAGGAGGAACAACACAGTTATTCACAAATCATCAAAACTCCAGACTAAATAGGTGTGTTTTATTTAGGTGGGGGGGGGGTGTCAAAATATGCATACATTATAAAGTATTTTTGTCTTCTCTAGGGTCATTTCAACCACTATTATTTTAGATTATAAACAGAATCGAATCAAATTTGCTCTGTGAAAGATTTCTTTAGTTTTTCTAACCTTTTAAAATACAGTTGTAAAAGTTGTAATCAAATCTACTTACAAAGAAAACATTGATAGAATTAAAATGCTGTAAATATTTTCCTGTTACTATGTAGTGGAAAGTTTTTCAAATAGCTTTTTTTTTTTAGTCATAGCTCTTAATTTTTTATTTTTTTGTGCCACCGTCTCAGACCCCTGCGTCTGAAAACTAGAGAATGTGCGTCTGGTGAGCGAGGCTTCAGCGTTCCAGCGTTGGCGGTCTGCATGATCTGGTCTGGTCTGAACGCGGCATTAAAGGTTTTTCATTTGATTATACCCCGACAGAAAGCACTGTGTGTCGTCACTTTGTATGCACTTCATTTCACGGCCCATAAACTTATATTAATAATTAAATTAACTGCAGCATTTCCCTGGCTAATGACTTACTTCATCCACTCCTCCTTCAGACATAACAGACAGTGGAACACAACATCCATGGATAAGTTTTCATTGGAAAGAGCCACTTCTAACTTATTTAACAACGTTGGACCTAGAAAAACAACAGAACACTGGTTAAATACTGAAATATAGTTTTAAAGCTTTATAAATTATGGTATTGTTTGGTTGTAGGTCTGCATTCGAATCGAAAGCACAATTTTTGTGTCGCAAAGACTGCAGTATCCATTCTAATTACCAAAGAAAAAAATTATAATTACTAAAAGTTGTTCTTTGATACATGCACAAAATCTTACGATGGAAACAAAAAATGTACTCGCAATCACAATGTTTGTCATAAAAATTACAATAATTTCTTTCTGTTTTGTTATGTTTTTATGAATGAGTGTTACCTCGGTCTGTGGCCTGAGTGTTTGCGCTGCTGATGTTGAACTGAAACCAGGAGGAAACACTGTCATCGCTCAACACTGAACTCAGACGATTCCTATTAGACGAAACATCCACCAGAACGGAAAATTCTGTGGAATAACAACATGAGTAGGTATTTCGTAATATCTGACACATATTCAGACAGACCTCTTGCAAGGAGCTAACTGTCTCTCTTATAATTGTATTTTGTCCTGGGCTTTCATTTAGTTTATTCAAGAAAAACATACATTTATCTAAAAGGATATCTGCAACATATTTTTAAGCTTTTGAGACATACAGACTCTCCAACAATAATGATTATGTTTCACCATTTATTTACTATTTATTAATTATGGTTTGCTGAAAAGAACTTAATCAAATCAGATTGGCAATATCTACAGTATCTTGACTGCCCTAAAGCAAGATTTGTCAATACATCAAGCAACTATATGGCTTTTTCAAGCACATTTCTGTTTTGTTGTTTAAAAAAGAAAATCTCATTCCATTCTTAGCCTTAATGTAAGTAATGTTTTTCTTTTTACCTGAGGAGCTGACATGGACTGGAATGGGAACGTCCGGACTTAAACCGAGGAAGTTGCATTTGTAGGCCTCCTCATACTGTCCGTTGTAAGGTATAGAGCGGACACAGCCGACTGGAAGTAAAGACTATTGAAAAACAAAAAATAATGTTATCAACAGTAACACAATTGAATTGGACAATCAAATGCAAAACTGTTGCATCTTGGTAATAGGGTGCTCTTGGAAGAAAAATAAGACTAAAAAACAATCCAGACACCCAGAAGAAAATATGAACAAGATTTTAATTAAAAAAGGAAACTTTTTTGAAATTGACCATGCCACCATTTTTATTAATGGCTGATCGAGTTCAGCCCTTTTCTGTCTAGAAAACACAATGACAATGATCAACCTTGAAGCATATAGCAAACCATATTTTTTTTTCCAAACTGTATTTCTATGACTGTTATAAAAAAATCCTCACCAAAGCTTAACATTCAAATCATTAAAAAATATATGTTTAAGGTCGATATAATATTTTGAAAGACATTGAGCTGAGAAATAACTTAGATTAACTTAAATAAGATTTTGACCTGTATGCGTTCTGTAAATTCTACACATTTTGATTTTACGATTACTCTATTGGGAAACTGCTGGCATCCAAGTTTCGGCTTCCAACAACCTCCTCCGGTTCTATAATTGATCCAAGACAAGTGAGTACCTTTAATATGATGAAGGCAGATTGTATAAGTCCAGGATCTGTGCTTCTCCAAATGACTTGATTACCCATGAGCACGTGCCATGCGAGATGGCGAAACTCGGCCACACCAAGTACCTAACAATACGATCTAATTAAATCCAAATAAATGTATAGTGCATGATACACTCAGACTCAAAATGCTCACTTGTCTCAAATGCCTCAGAGACCTGAACTTTGGACCAGTTATTTCTTCTAACTTTGTCTGATCAAAAAAAATATCTGGTACAGTCATGGTTTCATTTTGGTGCCACTTTGATTTTGGCCCTCCTTCAGCTCCTTCTCCGCAGTTCATTTCTTCTTCTTGCTCTATTCAAAAAGGACATCAAGACTGTATTACCTAATTTGTACTTATAGAAATACATTTATTGTCATGCGGGCAAAGAATGCAAGTACTAGTGCGCATTATACTGATGATTCACCTGTCTGTCTCTCTATGAGGACCAGTGTGTCCTCTGTGGGGGCTCCTTCCAGTAACTTTTCTGTCAGGCGGCTTCCACAGGCCTTCAACAGCCTGAGCACAATGTGAGATGTGTATTAAGAAGAATAGTTTTGTTTACTTTATTTAGTCATAAAGAGTAAAATAAATATTCAACACAGCATGACAGATAAAGTTCAGGCTAATGTAAGAACCTTAAAGTTGACATGTAATAACAGGACTTACAAACTGAAGGAGGAGTGAAGGCTGGCCCACAAGTGTGGGTGCTGGGTGAGGGAGGTGAGAGAGCGAGCTGCGTTACCGCTTCTCTGATGTGGAAACACAGGTGAAAACACACTGTTTATTCTTGCAGCGCGTTGTGGACACACAACCTGCTCGCTGTCAAACACCTGCAAAGATGGGGTAAACAATTAGCATGGTTTAAGGATTTAACATGGCCATTAGCGATTGTGGTTCTTACTTTGAGAGCTGTGCTTTGCAAACTTTGGATTGTTAGCCTGAGGTGACGTAATAGAAAGGGCCAGGAGTTGATGAGGTAGATTCTGTCCATAGCCACCATCACAATGCTGTACCAGCGCTGAAAGCCTCTAGCCAGGCTGTCTTTAATGAAGAAGGTGTGAGAGAACACAAACCCGTGCTGCTCATCCCCAAAGAAAATGGGGCCTTCTCGTCCTGGACAAACCTAAAACAGTGGATAGTTGAAAAATGAAAAACCAAATGTGTTTCTCTTGATGTCAGTGAGGAGGCCCTACCTCACAGCTGAGGCTGCGGACACACGCCTGTCGCACCACACTGAACAGCTGAGACTGCCTCGGGTGCTGATGACTTAAGAAACGAATTCCAGTCTCATCATCAATGCTCACAAATCCCGGATGAGACGCAGGCAGAGATCTACATCCCTACATTAATCATCGATACACATTCAGGTTTTAATGACTTCTACATAACTGTTTATTTCATTCCAGTCCTATACCTCACACATCTCTCCTCTCTGTGTGGCAGTGCAGCTTGCCCTCATGGTTAACCCTTCTCCTTCTCTGTCACCATCCCGGTCTCCAAGTGCCACCCCGAACTGAGAGGGGGCAGAGGGTGAAGGGGGGTGGAGAGCCTCCGTGCAGAACAAAGTCCTGGGACCATGGAGCTCACAGAAGTGACAGAGAGCCACCAAAGCATTCATCTGATGAAAAAATAACACATTATTCTTGTCCCCAACTTCAAATACCCACAACAGAAGAATCTGTTTAAATAAATATAATAGACAGCAAACTACTACCTTGAACGAAGTGACTGGGGTATCACAGAGGCATTGTCCAGATATAGCAGATATTAAATAAATTAAACGCCCATCAAACTAAATTTAAAGTTAAATAATATAAACGAAGACTATGTTTGTATTAGGTTCATAGTTATAAGGATTTGAACTTACATTTAGGTCCTGAAAGCCATACTTCATGTGTTTACGAGCGGCTGATTTCTGTATGTCACGTGACAGTCACGCGCTTCAGCTGTGTATGGAAGTGACGCAGTCCACGTGTCCAAAAAAGCACGTTTAGAAACTATACTTACTAAATATTCATCTTTGTGCTATGATAGCCAATCAACCTATCAATATCATACATACATTAGTGAAGAAAATTGTATGTGTTATCGCTACAGACAAATCATGACTACATTACCCACAATCCGATGCTCAAGTGACAAGCGTCTTCTAGGGCTAGGGCTGCATCCAAATTTAGAAAAAAACATCCTTTTTTTGCGCTTTGAAAAATACATTTTATTTAACCAGAATCTCCGAGTTTGGTTAAGTACAATTTAACACATTTTTTCAGATGTGTTAGTTCTTCAGTGTAATTTAACAATAGAAGAATGGTAAGGAAGGAATTGTATTTAAGAATTTGGATGCAGAATGGGTGTGTCAAACTATTTCTTAAAATTAGTAGATATGTGATATTTCATTGGTCACGTATACGAATAATACAAAAAGATTTACTACTATTTTATTGGGCGGTTATTGTTATTTCCCTACATTACTTCCGCACTACAGTCCGCGCACTTGAAACGAAACTTGGATTTCCGTGTCAGTTCAAAACCTTTGTCAGTTCATAAGTTGTCTCGACTGTAGCTGAATCATGGCTTCATTAGAGCTTCCTAAGGACTCGTGTTCAGCGGAGGAGCGGGGAAATGACGCCCACCAGAGTGACCCGATCCACAGCCAAGAACTCCCAACCGTGCCCCCAGACGCCCCAGACGCCTCTGACGAAAATCACCCTTCTGGTAAACCCGTCACGTGGAATTAATTCATAAGTTAAATTTGACCCATGAGATCTTGTTGATATTCAAATCTTCACCGGCTTATTTTACATTATATTTGAAAAGTTGCCATTATAGACTGCGGTTGATATTTGTTTTCCTGAATAAAGATTGAACTGGGAGATAGGAAGTGAGTCATGTTGGCCAGATTGGAAAGATTAAGAAATGTGTGTGTAATATGCTAAAAATACATTTACTACACCTAGTCATAAATGTTTTCAATTCTCACTCATATTTTCTCAGAACAGGTGTAATTAGCTATCTGTTCTTAATTCGCTGGACTATGACACGTAAAGATTAGTGCTTTACTTTTCAACTCGCTTATAATTACATACATAACGTATTATAACAATACCCTTCTGGTCCACTATGGCTTTGTCCAGATCTATTCTTTGGTCCTTGATTTCTAGTTGAGAATCAGAGGAAAGGGCTCATTCCAGGGATTGTGAGTCATCTCTGGTATGAATAAACATCTCTCTTATAAAAAGGACAATAGGAAGCAAGACTGAGAAAACATTGAAAGAAAGGGAATAAAGTCTTACATTATTTATGGTAGACTATGTTTTTTCTGTTTAAGTTGAACTGAATCACACTGGCAAGAATAAAGCTGTTTTGTGCCAATATTATGTGATGGGAAGATGCCGCTTTGGTGACAAGTGCAGGCAGTCTCACTGGTACGTGATACATAAACAGCTACATGAGGAATATTAAAGTCTGGAACACTGTCTTTTGATGTTTCATTGTTTTTATAGTGAGTTCCCGTTGGAATCAGAGACCGTCGGCAGAACTGAAGATGAAAATGAAGATTCAAGCAAGAAGAAAAAAGTTAAAGCTAAACAAAGAGAGCTCTATAAAGAGAAGGGTAATTGCACAAATATATGGAATAATTGGATGGAAGTCTTAAATTATGTTCCGTGACTCCAGTTATTAGAAGTTGTTTTTAATATTGGCAGAGAATATGTTTAGATAGATAGATACTTTATTGATCCCCGTTGGAGAAATTCTGGTGTCCAGTAGCAGCAAAAAAAAAAAGAAAAAAGACCAATAATAATAATCAATCATACTTATACATCGCTTTGTTAGATAGTTAAAGGCACTTTACAAAAACATGCAAATAGTTCAGCTGTGAATTCAGCTTAAACAGGTGTCTCATGATGAGGGGTTTGAAGTTCTGTGTTGAGACTGAGTTCCTGTCAATGGGAGTGAGTTCCAGAGAGTGAGGGCAGCTTGAACTTTGAACCAGTTAGATGTAGATCTGAGTTTTTCTCTAGTTACAATCAAATATTAACCAGTTCGGAACTACACTGAAAACCCTTATTGCAAATGTAAAACCCTACAATAGAAACAAGGACATCCTCCAGCTTAATTCTCGTTAAAATTATTCTGCAGAGACCACCAAAAAGCCACGAATGCGCACAGCTGATGACGTCATCTCCAGGATCCTGTGGGATTCTTCTGTCGACTCTGATCAGTTTGTGGTAAGTTTAAGAACATTTGTGACAATTTCACGTTTTTGTGCGCAATTTACTCACAATTATTGGCATAATTAACAGTGATAGCTTTAATTCATCTTTTAGAATATGAAATATAATCTCAAGGGAATCATATACGAATAAGTATGTATAATAGAATTTTTAAAAATCATTTGACTGTAAAAAGTATTAGAGGTAATATTTTGTTTTAAAAGGCATAATTTATTATTGTTTCATGTTAATCCTCATTGTGTTCCATTTTTGAGACAACACATTTAAACAGAAGGGGGAGACTCAAAAATATTGTTTTGGCATTTATGTTTCCTTTAAAAGAGCATCACACTTTGCAGATGCTATATGTTGTTCTGTTTCGATGTTTATTTTTTGAGATGAGTGTAAAGTAATGTTACCATGACCTAAAAAGCCAAAGTTTACAACAAACTAATTGATTTGATGTAGTGTATATATTTTTGTCAGAAAAGTTTAATTGCAGTATATATGCTACGTTTTACTTCAGCTACAATTTTTCAAGCACAAATCACTATATTTCAGCTGTTGATCTTGTTTTTTAAAATGTATTTCATTCTTTTATTCACCCTTTTCTTATTTGAAAGCACTGATTCTGGTCATCCTCAGGTGGGCTATGTGGACCGCTTCCTCGGGGTGCTGGAGCGGCCCTTTGATGACTTTAACTGGGACACAGACCCGTGCGACTGCGACTATACCACGGAGCTGGCTCTGCCTCGACACAGGATCCAGTACTTCACCTATAGGGGGCAGCGCTTGTGGGACAGGCACAGCAGGACCGACAGGGTGTTTGGCTCCACAGGACAAGCTCTGGCTCCCCCATTTGGTGGGAAGGCGGAAGTAGAAGGTATGAAATAACTGTAAATAAAATTATATTTAAAAAATGAACAAATATGTATTACATTATAGCATACTAAATGTGACTTGAATGATTTATTTGATTTTTTGGTGAATCTATATCAGACAAAAAGTTGAATTCATCTTAAAGACAGAATGAATGAAAAATCAAAATCACACTTCTTTCTTACAATGTTTATTCTTTGTTGTCTATTGCATATACCAGTATTTTTTATGTACCAACTTAAATCATGAAAAATGGTATTATTCTTCATGAGCTGGAGGAAACCTGTGTGGATAGGGAAGTCTGGGCGTCACCCGGCAACAGATACCAGAAGATGGATAGATAGTTGGATTTTACCTTGTACAATTGTGGTTTAGAACACAGGGAAAATGTTGCCTGCAGAAATTAAGGCCATTGATTCTTTCTGCTAGTATGCTATTATTTTTCATTATTATTATTTCCAAGTAGTTTTCTTCTTTTCTCACAAAATAATTGTTTTTGCAGAAGAAATTGAGACACTGCAGACTGATGTAGAGACTTGCACAGTGAATGGAGATGTGGAGAACGAGCGACAGAATGAGATGAATATTGACGCCTCTGAGTCTGATCTACAACCACCGGGGCAAGATACAAGTGCCACAAACAGGTCTGTAGCTTATACTACAGCGAGACTACTGAGATCACATGTTTGAGCCCTATTAGAAACAATTCACTTTCTCAAGACTCTTTGAGTTGGGATATTTTATGTATTAATTATGAAAAAACTGCTATTTTTTTACCAAAACATCAGTCATGACATTTACCACATATTATGAGTTCAAACTTCTGAATTCGATTAATGTTTTCTCACAATAATTATAAACATTAAAATTTGACGTTGTATCACCGCTAAATTACATATATGTATCATGTTTTGTTTTTTCTCTTTAGAGCGATGGACAGATCAGCGAATGAAGATGAGGAAAACCAAAAGCAAGAAGTAAGGTCCACCAATACTAGATACTACATATTCATATTATATATATATATATTGAATATTTAATGAGTGAGTTAAAACTGGGGATTGAGACTACTTGTAGTGCAGTTAACTTACTTTAACCAGTATTCCTTATTTACAAAATTGATTTTGGAAACTTTAGTCAATACATCCCTGCTGCCATGCAGCCCTAATACAGCATGGCAGTAGGGATGTAAAGATTATTATTTTCCGCTGCGGTAGGTTATTTGGGGAGATTTTGAACCTATGGTATACAGCTGGAATGTCTCACAAGGTGCTGGACAAAGAGCATGAGTCAGACCTTGGGTGTGTGTGTGTCAGCAGAGCATAACGCATCCATTCACTTCTACATTTAATGTCTGATAACAAACCAGAACAGTACTTCTGCCATAAAACCCTCTCTGGTCGATAAAGTGAGCGCCACACCAGATAACAGCTCAACCCTGCGATGCCTGCAGTAACACAGGGTTGAGGGCATCGCAAGTCAGAAACATTTCTCTGCCACAAACCTCAGCAGAGGACCCCGGATCCCGTACTTCCGAAGAATCCCCCAAAGGACACCCCAGGGAACACGGTCGAACGCCTTCTCCAAATCCACAAAGCACTTGAGGCACTGGACGGTTTGCCAGAATCTCTTCGAGGCCAACTGATAGTCATGCTCCATGGACTCTCCAAACTCCTCCCAGTCCCGGGTTTTTGCCTCTGCAACGCTCTGGGCTGCGGCACGCTTGGCCAGCCAGTACTGGACGGCTGCCTCAGGAGTCCCACAAACCATCATGGCTCTATAGGACTCCCTCTGACGGCATCCCTTACTGCCGGTGTCCACCACCGGGTTTGGGGGTTGCCATCGGGACCAGCACCAGAGACTGCGACAATAGAGGTGGAGAACATAGTCCACTCAGACTCAATGTCCCCTTCCTCCCCGGGGACCTGGGAGAAGCTCTCCCTAAGGTGTGCGTTGAAAGTCTGTCTGACAGGGGGCTCAGCAAGACATTCCCAGCAGACTCTCACTACGCGCTTGGGTCTGCCAGGTCTAACCGGCTTCCTCCCCTGCCAGCGGATCCAACTCACAACCAGGTGGTGATCAGTTGACAGCTCTGGCCCTCTCTTCACCCGAATGTCCGAGACACGCGCTCGAAGGTCAGATGATACGACAACCTCCGGCCTAGGGTGTCCTGGTGCCACCGTTCTTCCCAATCACCCCTCTCCATGTGGGAAATGATAGTGTCACTGGCATTTCCCACATGGACGTTGAAGTCCCCCAGGGGAATAACGGAGTCCCCGGTCGGTGCACCGTCCAAGAGCCAGATGTGGTGTGTGCGGACTGGGTTGCCGAACCCAGTCCGCACTGAACTCTGCACCACGGTGGTCGGTCCACAGGAGGGTCGGTCCACAGTAGGGTCGGTCCACAGTAGGGTCTGCCCACGTTGTCCTTTCGGGCTGAGCCTGGCCAGCAGACGCTCATAATCGAGCCCCAACCCCAGGCCTGGCTTCCAGGGTGGGGTCCCGGCTGCGCCATGCCTTGCGACGTGACGGTTGTTGATAACGTGGTGAGCTTTGGACTGCGCTTCGTCTGACTCGTCACCCAAGACCTGTTTGCGATGGAAGGTCCTACCAGGGGCATAATGCCCCAGACAACATAGCTCCTAGGATCATCCGAGTACTCAAACTCCCCCAACATGTTAAGGTGGCAAAAAAAAACCTAAAAAAAGTTTTCCAATATGATAAAGACAGCATGTTGTATTCGGTCTTGTTCACAAAATGTTTACAATAGTTACAAAATAATTCTTTATTTATAAAAAAGTGAGTCATCTCTGCTTTAAAACCTTTTTAGTCTTAAAGTTTTTGAAATGTTGCCACACCTCACAATTAACGTTTATATATTTTTGTCTCAGTAAGACAGGACTATATTTATACTGTATTCTCTAGTTATACAGTGTTAACTGTGCTTTATAAATGTATGGTATTTGACTGATCTATGCACATGTGAAGGCCCTCAACGTGGCGGAAGTTCCTGCCGAGTCAGAGCAGCAAGAGGAAAGACCCGGCGGCCGACCTCCTAAGAAAAGGCCTACACACTTCGTGACATTCAGGGCCAACACGCCGTCCGTCCTGGCATGTTTCGAGCAGCTGCAAGCAGAGCTCACGGCTGCGCTCCCCGCCTCCGCGCCACATTGGAGCAGCATCTCCTGTCTCCACGTCACGCTGTGCCTCCTGGTGCTGCCCGGCGAGGAGGAGGTACAGGCCGCTGTGGAGGTCCTGCAGCGCTACGCCAGGTGGAACAGAAACCCCCCCTTGACTCTGACCTTTCCCCTGAAGCTGAAGCACTTCAACGGGAGGGTGCTGTATGTGAGCCCCCAGCCGCGGCTCCAGCTCCAGCAGTTCAACAGCGGTCTGCAGGAGGCGTACAGGGAGCAGGGCCTTCTCCATAGAGACTCTTTCAACCCGCGCTACCACCTGACCCTGGCCAAGACCGTGGGCTTGGACGCGGACCGCATCTTTCAAGGCGTGGAGAACCTCAAGGTGGGAAGAGGATTAAACTTTGGCCGTCTGCCCGTCAATACTTTGCACCTTTGCACCATCGGAGGATGCGACGAAGATGGATTCTATGACATTTTGTGCACAGTTACTCTTCGGTAAAAGTTATTGCACTGAGGCCTGTCACAATAAGAAGTTTGGAAGCATGATAAGATGGAGCAAAGATGCACTATTAAATAAAATTATTGAAACTACTTTCAATGATTACTATTACTATGACTACTTATAGAATTTTTATTAATTATGAATCCCAGAAATCTATTTCAGTAGACAATTTCATTAAAAACCGCTGATAATTTGCCACAAAAGTGAAAGTATTCCTCTGTTACAAGGAAATAACAATATATCACTATAGAGACAATGTTCCGTGTAAGAATCAGCCGACCACAACCGCTGATCCTGAAACTTTGAAACTTGCTATGCTAAATGTCAGATCTCTTTGTAACAAGTCTTTTTTAATCAATAATTTTATTTGTTCTTATAATCTTGATCTTATGTTCATGGCTGAAACTTGGCTTGACCAAAATACAGAAAATGCAGTTTTAATAGAAGCATCACCACCAAATTTCAAATTTGAATCTGAAATACGGGAAAACAAAAAAGGAGGAGGCTTAGCTGCCATTTTCAGAGACCACTTTGTCTCCCATAGAAAACCTCTTGGGAAGTTTCCCAAGAGGTTTTCTATGGGAGAAAGAATATGTGTCTTTTAAAATACAACAAAAACAATCTCCTCCGATACTCTTCATTGTCCTATACAAGCACCGCAGTCATGTCACAGTTTTATTGATAATTTTACAGAGCTGCTTTCAGTTGTATGCACAGATTTTGATAGCTTAGTTATTACAGGGGATTTTAATATTCATGTGGATAATGTTATTGACAGAAATGCAAAAGAGCTGAGTTCTGTTCTTGAATCTTTTGGTCTCACTCAGCATGTGAGTGGCCCCACCCACAGCAGAGGGCACACTCTAGACCTGTTAGTTGCAAAGGGGGTGAACATTTCTAATGTAAACGTGGTCGATGTTGCGCTTTCGGATCATTTTTGTGTATTTTTTGACATGTGTTTCACTAACAAACCACCAGTGGACTCTGCAACTGTACGAAGAAGACACATAAATGAAAATACGGGTGAACTATTTATGGGAATGATAAACTTTGAGAATGCATCGTATTCTACTGTAGATGAACTGTTTAACTCTGTCACCTCTAGTGTTTTGAACGTTCTGGACACCATCGCTCCTGTGAAGGTTAAAATAGTGAAAAATAAGCAGAAGGCGCCGTGGGCTAAAGCAGACTCGGTCAGGGCACAAAAGAGAGAGTGCCGGAGGGCCGAGCGGAAGTGGCGCAAGTCCAACCTCCAGGTTGATTACGAGATCTTCAAAGATAAGTTGTGCGAGTTTAACCAGGTGCTACGTAGTACGAGAGAAAGGTATTTTTCTGAAATGATTGAAGGCTGCAGCAACAATCTGCGTGTTCTGTTTTCAACAGTTAATAGATTAACAAACCCCCCTGTTCAGATGCCATTAGAGCTAACTTCCAAACGTAAATGTAATGAGTTTGCACATTTTTTCAATGACAAGGTTCAAGGCATCAAAAACGCCATTGTCTCCAATCCACAGATAACCATCCAACAGCCAGAAAGGCTCTTTGAGCTAGCTTACTTTGCACCTGTAAATGATCAAACTGTCCAAGAGATAATCTCCAGTTTGAGCTCCTCCACATGCAGCCTGGATGTACTGTTAGTATTAGATAGCAATATGGCCTACGTGCAGGACTGTACAAGGACTCTGATTATTTTGACTATGATGTGACTGTCTCTTTGTGACACGTACGTCTTTTGATGTGTGACGTGACAATGACTATATAAACTGTGTACTGCCTTTATTCTGTCTGAGAGAAAGAAACAAAGGAAACCACTGGAACTTGAGAGAAACTTAAATAAACTTCCAGAGTTTGGCGCACCACAATCCGTCTCTGTCTGCTGAATCCCTGACAGATTTGGTGGAGGATGTGCGGCTCAGTGTGTGCCATTCTCTGGATTGTTTTGAGGGAGTTTTCCTTGTTTTCTTTTTCTCGGCGTGGGAGAGCTGAGAGTATCTGGGGCCTGGGAGCGGTCCAGCAGGCTGGAGAGGCGACCGGCTCCGGGACTCTTTTTCGCTCTCTCACTATATTTTTTTGTGTCCTGTTTTTTGGACTGAGCATTTAAAATTGTTTTCCCATGTCCACATTCCGGGGATTTTTGACGTGCGATTGGTCTCTGCCGATGGAAACTAGTTCTCGGTACTAGTGAGCGCTGGTTCATGATCTGGAGACCCGGTTGGACGTGGAAAAGCTGATATTTGGTAGACCTCTCGGACAGTCCTTGGATCCTGTTTGACAAGAATAAGGTAAGCAGACACCTTTTTATATGTAAAGTCTGTATAATTGGATACTAGCTAAATTTTGGTCTGTTTTGAGGTCTACCAAGTGTCGTATATCTATAGATATGATTAGAGAAAAAGGAACCCCTGACGTATTGGGGTCCCTGTCCTTTGAAGTAGTCAGGGCAGAGAGAAAAAGGAACCCCTGACGTATCGGGGTCCCTGTCCTTTGAAGTAGTCAGGGCAGAGAGAAAAAGGAACCCCTGATGTATCGGGGTCCCTGCCTTTGGAGTAGCCGGGGCAGAGAATAGAAAATAGTTAGTGAAACCATGGTGTAAAAATTAAAAGTTATAATAAAAAGGGAAATTAAACACTAAGAGTGCCTTTTGTTACAAGTGTTGAAATTGGCCATTTCTAGACTTGGATGACAAAAGTATAAAGAACAACATCAGTTATATTAGCTTAAAAAAGTAATCTTGAAAGTTCTTCTTCTTTCTGTTTTTGCATTTTTGCTAAAACACTACTTTCTGCCTGTGTGTGTGTGCGCCGCTCTATCTTGCTGCCGTTGTCAGGGGAAACGGCCCCCTCCTTTGCTACTCCGGCTCTGAATCAGAACAAAGCTACTGCTTTAGGATTTTGGCTTTTCTTAGTTGTTATTCCGTTAAATTTGCGAAATTTGCCATTGAACATTGTGTTATGACACAGTTAAACGTTTTTAAACACCATTAGTGAATAAGTTTTGAATATTATGTTTTTTGAAACCCGAATATTAGTGCTAAAGCTGTGCAATTCTTTTTAGACCTAACATATTTCTAGATTCCATTCTTTAAAATCTGCTGCTTATTTCTTAACTTTTTGTGAGTGTTTGTTTTTATGTTTTTATTTTAGTTACAAAAGCCGTTTTTCAAACATTTAAATTAGAATCTGTGTTAAAAGTGATTATTGATTATAGACTTCGTCTAAAAAAGAAAGAGGGAATTAGGATTAGCTGTAAAAGTATTATATTGAGTTCTACCCAATTCACATTCAAGCGATGACTTTTTTGTTTTGACTATGCACCTGACCTTGCTGCTCCTGCTGATGCACACGGCAGAGGAGACTGGCTCTAAAATGTGCTCCAATTCATATTGACTTAATTTGAAAAATGCTGCAATTATTTTAAATTAGTAGAATATATGCTGAGATAAATGTTCAAGTGTAAAAGGGAAAGTCCATAAAGTGAAACCCAAGAACGCATAGATAATTAAACACACAGTACAAAAGTACATAATACATATTTTAAAGGTTGAAGGTTTAAGAGATTTGAGTCTTGTTTTTTATTAAGAAAGAGTTTCTGGTTTTAAAAAGTTTCACATTAGTAAGATAATAAGTAATCTTTATTTACATAGCGCATGTTGAAAAACCCAGAGCGCTCCAAAATTGTTTAGACTTTAGAGAGAAAAACAATCTCATTCACAAACTGATATCTGTTGTTTTGATTTGACTATAAGGTTGTGTTCCAGGACCAAGGGCACACACTGTACTGGACTGCGGGAGTGGACACAGAGCTCAGACCACAGGAGCCCAGAGTAGACCCACCCAGCCACAGGCCACAGAGCTAAGAGCAAAAGGGCAACAATGCCACCTCTACGCCCCTCCCCCCACTACAGAAGTAAGTGGGAGTGAGACCGGGGCCATGAAAGTGGAGGTTTCTGGAGGCAGTGATGGGTGGAGCATCAGGGAGAGACCTAGAGGCAGTTGAAAGTGTGTCCACGTGGTTAAATCGACACAGTGTGACCTTTAAGACCTGCAGGTGGTTCGAGGAGTCTAGAGACACAACCCCAAAATTCACACCCTACATACACACACACACACATACACACACACACACACACACACACACACACACACACACACACACACACACACACACACACACACATTCACATTTACATATAGATACATGAAAAAGCAGAACATGAGAAAAAAGCATTTTAAAAGTTTACTCCAATGTAAACAAATATTTTTAATTGTCTATCACTTGAATCTTCATTTGAATCAGTATTGTTTGAGACCAGAAATGTTCATTTGAATTCTATATTGTCATGGACTTAATTGACGTCTGTCCTGACACTTTTGATTTGTTGATTTTGTACTGTGTGAAGTAATTACATTGATTAGGATTAGAATCAAAGTGACTAACCATACACAGTGCCTAACTGCAGAACAAGCTGTGTACAGGAACTGTGACACTGCACCATTGACCAGAAGTGCATCGCAAATGACCTGATGTGCTTCAAGTGAAAAGACTGTATCTGGAGATCCGATGGGCATCTGGAGAGACCAAAACCATGGCTTGGACCCTACTGATGTCCAAGATGACATCTCTCGAAATATGACCTGACCTGATGACGACTGAGACTCACCCTCAGAGGAACCTGAGGATCTGAGAGAGAAAAACCTGGGGAGTGATTGTTTATATTTTTGAAATGCCATTGATGAGTGCTAAATGAGAGAGATACTCATGATTCTTTCCTTTGTTTTGTTTGTCCCTAGCTTCTGGACATCTGATGATCTATTGGACACAGAGATTTGCAGAACAAGAACCAGCCAATGAAAACGTCTATTGCCGATGCTATTGCCACAACCAGAACCACAACTGTGACAAATGCAATATACATGTTAAGTATTCAGACATCTGACAGACAAAAATCTTTGAAAATGATAAAGTATGAGTATTGTAGCATTTTAGTAGATGTTAAA